CTGGACCACTTTCTTAAACCATATACCAAAAAAAAAACCTCCAAATGGATTAAAACCCTAAATGTAACACTTGAAACCATAAAATTCGTAGAAGAGAGCACAGGTAGTAATTTCTCTTACTTGGCTTTAGCAACTTTTAGAAAAGTTTCTACCTATGTCTCTTCAGGCAAGGGAAATATAAGCAAAAATAAACTATTGGGACTACCTGAAAATAAAAAGGTTTTGCACAGCAAAAGAAACCATTGACAAAACTAAAGGACCACCTACTAAAGGGACATTTGTGAATGAAATACCAATAAAGGGTTAGTATCCAAAATATCTAAAAAAACTTACACAACTTAACACCAAAAACCCCCAAATAACCCAATTAAATAATGGGCAAAAGACACCACAATAGACATTTCTCGAGAGAAGACGTGTACAGATGGCCAACAGACACACAAACAGATGCTCAACATCACTCATCATCAGGGAAGTGCAAATCAAAACCACAATGAGATATCATCTCACACCTGTCAGAATGGCTAAAATCAAAAACACAAGAAATAATAAATGTTGGTGAGAATGTAGAGAAAATGTACACTGTTGGTGGGAATGCAAACTGGTATAGCCACTATGGATGACAGTCTGGAGGTTCCTCCAAAAATTAAAAATGTAATTACCATATGATCCAGCAATTCCACTACTGGTCATTTACCCAAAGAAAACAAAACCCCTAATTTGAAAAGATATATGTACCCCTATGTTTATTGAAGCATTATTTACAATAGCCAAATTATGGAAGCAGCCCAAGTGTCCATCAACAGATAAATGGATACAGAAGATGTGGTGTGTGTGTGTGTGTAATATTACTCAACCATAAAAGAATAGATTCTTGAATCAATCTAGAGGGTGTAATGGATGTATCTAGATGGTATAATGCTAAGTGAAATAAGTCAGGCAGAGAGAGATAAATACCATATAATTTCACTCATACGTGGAATTTAAGAAGCAATACAAATGAAGAAAAAAAAGAAACAAACCAAAAAACAAACTCATAACTATAGAAAACAAACTGACGGTTACCAGACTGGAGATGGGTGAAATAGGTGGATTAAGAGTACACTCCTCGTGATGAGCACCGACTAATGTACAGAATTGTTGAATTGTTATATTGCACACTTGAAACTAAGATAACACTATATGTTACATTTTTAAAAATTTAGAATTAAAAAAAAACCCTTAAAACTTGGGAAAAAACCCTTAGAATTAAAAGAAACCTTTAAAGCCTTAGTGGCTTTATTATTTTTTTTTCCTTAGTGGTTTTAAATAGTTCAACAGGTCAGTTTTTTCTTTTGCAATATTGTTCATCTATATCAGAGAAATATAAGACTTTCCTTAATTCTAATATATATGATTTAGCTTTAAAGTGATTAACAAAGCATCTTCCTAATACCATGTCTGAGGTTGAGGTCCTATTTCTTAAAGACGTGCAAAAATATTTTACTTTGAAATGAGAAAAGACTTAAACATATTCTAGCAGAAACTCAGACAACCAATGAAATCAAGTTTGATGGTGCTTATAGATTAAGAGCATGTGTGAAGGTTGGCATCAGAGTTTTGAGGAACAGACCAAGGGAAAGGAAAACATGATGCAACATCACCAGACCCTCAAGTCTATGGCCAGGGGTGGACAAACTAGGAGCTATGAGCCAAATCCAGCCATGCCCGTTGGATCTCCTACTGTCTATGGTTGCATTTAAACTACGGCTACAAAGTTGAGTAGAGATTGAGACCCTCTGGCCTGCAAATCCGAAAATATGGACTATTGACGCCGCTCAGGGTATGCTACCCCAAACCGTGGCACCTTGGCATATTCAATATCTCAAGCTCAAGGAGTTTGAGAAAACAACAAAAGCAAGAAGATCGTTCTAAACCCTTCTGCCCTGAATGCAGGAGATAAACCCCACATGTGAGAGATACCCTCCCCTTGTACTGAAGGAGGGGACACAGAGGGGCTTATCACCAAGAGGGACTTTAGGGCCGAGAAGACTGTATAAACAAACCTTAATTTTTCAGCATTTACTACCCCTAACCCAAATCCCTGTGCCTTGTCAATTCTTCACAAACTCATTGTTTCTTTGTCTAAAAGGTTTAAAATCTTCCTGCTCTGGTCATGTCCCTGGGTCTTCACTCCCTTGTGAAAGCCTCCCATGTACATATAAAAATTCAATGATGTGTCTACACTTTTCTCCTGTTACCCTGTCTTAAGTCAGTTTAATCCTCAGAATCAGCCAGAGCCCCAAAGAGGGCAAGGAGAATTGTTCTCTCCCCTGCGCGATCTAATCCTACCCGGATTTGTTCAACCTTCCACAGGTGATCAAACCAAAGCAAGCTGGTGCATTTTGACAGAGTAAGGAATTCCAGGGTTTCATTCCTGAAAGTGTCCCAGCGTCCCTCTGGGTGTGTCTGGGGAGAGCAGACCAGGCCAGGTGCACCCTGGCTCTGGGCCGTGAGAAGTCGCTCACACATTTCAGCATTTCCCTGCAAATCCGGAACTGGAGGAGGGATACAGCCAGTGGCCTCTGAAAATTCAAGACACGCCTGACCCACTTGTTTTCAACCCAGTTCTGAATCTTGAGGTTAGAACTTGACTTAGGTGACCGCAACGGCCACTAGCTGGCCTTCATGCCAGCTGCCAGCGTTCCTCTTTTCCTCCATCGAGGATGGAGAGGACCAAAGCCAGCCACCCAAACCTCTTCGCCTTCCATCAGTGACTGCATTATCACCTTATCGCCTCCCTACCTCTAGCTATGTTCATTAGAACCCTTTAGAAAATAAAAAAAATTTTTCTTTTTAAAGAAAGCTCTACCAATCCATAAAAGTTTAGGAAGCCCCGACGAGAATAGCAGGCACAGTGTCTGGCCAACGTGAAGTGCTCAAATATGTGTTTAACAAGTGAAACAGATGACACATATACCAGCTGCTCATACTTTTCCCCACCAGCAGGCCTCCAGCTCACTCCGGATTAGTCCTCACCCGGTGGCAGAGCAAGCTCGGCAGCAGAGGGGGAGGTGAGCGAAACCCCGCAGCCTGCAGCTCAATCAGGGCTCTGTCTCTGCGTCTCCCCTGCTTCTCTGGTCCCTGCCACCTCCTGGGTCCCGCCCCACAGGCCTCCCTCAACCTCCATGGACTCTCCCAAGGTTTATGCAGATGTAGGACCCAGCACCTCATCCCGTGCATTCTAGAACCCTACCTGGCTCATCCTGATTGCTCAGAATGCTCTGCTTTGCTACTACCCCCCACCACCACCACCCCTGCCAATCTACTCAGTTTCCTCTGGACCCCATCCTCTCCCAGCCCTGAAGTCCAGATTGAACCCAGGCATCCCGACACAGCCTGTGCCTGCACAGAGCATTGGCACAGCAACGTCTGCGAGGGCATTTGTGATATTTTGTAAGATGGGCTCGGCTCTCCTTTCCGGATGTACCTATTATAGTTATTATGAATCATTAACTAAAACTCCTGATGAGCTGGCCCCACCCGCCAGCCCGCCCCCTTCCTTTCTCAGGCCCTCCAGGGCTCCAGGCTAGTGCTCACTTCTTTCTTCTTCCAGCCCCGGCTCTTTGGATCTCCGGCTTCCTCTGCACTAAGATTATTATAATTGCTGAACTGCTGTAAGACATTCAGATGTACCTGACAAGATGCAGACTCTCTGAGGATTCATTTTTCCTTAGTTGGGTTTATTAATAGGTGCAGGTTTGACGTTACCTGAAATGAGCTTTTTCTTTTTTTTTTTTAACTGCACAAAGAAACGTTCGTTTTTGTTCCTCGCGGAAGGAAGTAGGGCAAATATCAAGGCCCAATGTTTTGCCCTTCATCAAAAAAAATTCTTTTAGACACTGACTCAGAGCCTCTTAAGTAGACCAGAATTCATCCCCACAGTCAGGCCTAGAGAGGAAAAGTGCTAGTGAGGGAGAGCAAGGATAATTCAAAGCACGCAGAAGGGCCAAATTTGGCTTGATGTCCTCATTAAAAAAAAAAATGACCCCCATGGGAGTTTTGTCTGAATTTGGGCGGTAGGAGAGAAGCCAGTTCTGGTGAATACATTAGCAAATTTTTTAAAAAATTGTTTAGCAAACATGTTGAAAGCAACATGCCAGTCAAAGCTCAGACTCAAATGATTTTCCTTGCCGACATATGGCATTGACTTAATGGGACAAATGAGATAAATAATATAATCATAGTGGATTCCATGTGTTTATAATTGTGCCTTTGATCTATACAGTGTGAAGTGCTTTGCCAACATCAGCTCACTGATCTTCCCCGCCACCTTCTGTGACATGTATGGGGCTGCTTTTATCCCCCTCGCTTCACTGAGACGCTAAGAAGTAGAATGTCTAAAGTCATCAGCTTGTAATGATGAAGCTAAGAAAAGATCCTGCCACCCATGAGTCCTGCCTAATTCAGTTTCCTGGCTATTAAGACTCGGCCTCTTCACCAGGGATTCAATAAGCAGCTTAGCTCCTGGCTTCTGCTTCTCTCCAAACAAATGGCTGCAGGTACAGGCAGGGGGTATGTGAAAACTTCACTCTGATCTGACATTAATTTTAATGCACCGCATCACATTTTTTGGTTCCTTTCCTCCACCGTTCAGCATTATCAGTCAGCTTCTTCAATGCCCAAGAAAGAGACTGGGGTAGTGCCCCCCCACCTGTGTGCATATAATTATGTTTTTTTTTTCCTTTCTTTTTTTTTTGGTATGTTCTCTGGAGTCTCTATGAAAACAGAAGCTGCTCAAATATAAGAAAATCATAAAAACAGACAGTAATTGCATAGAGGTGTGCCTTTATATTAATAGTGGTGAGCTCACTAGAAAGAGGCTGCTGTAGGGTTGGACTGGCTAAGTTTCTTTGGTGACGTTCCAACAGAGGCCATAAAGGCAGCCAAACACAGCATGTTCTGTTCAGTCAAGGATTCTAGAATATGCAAATGTTGCTCATCAGAATAAGCTCAGATACCTAAAATTTTCTATTTCTTCATTTTTCTCTGAAAGCTTTCTTTCAAGTTCTGCTTTAGCTTCCAAGAGTTCAAGCTGGAAGCGAAGAATCTTGCTTTCATTACGTTCCAGAGCTCCCTGAAATACATAAATTAAAAGTACTAAGTTAAGTCTACTTTTTGAATGCAAAAAAAATTTTTTTTAAGTGATGTATGTCACTACTGTAAGCTCTCTTTGGAGTTGCCGGAAGAGCTCCAAGTTCAAACCAGGTCCCTGAAGATTGGAACAGGATGAGAGACAAGTGACTGCTTTTGTTTGTCATGTCACTCACAGCTTTGACATTCCTAGGGCTCTCGCCTGTAGTTCAGGAACTAGAATTCTAACACATTTTTTTAAAATAGAGAATTTCAGTCTTGTCTGTGACTATATTTAAACCTTTTAATTTATTACTCTTGACTTCGCTTAATGTAGTTCATCTTCAGGATGAATCAATAAAGGGATCAAAGGTAGGATAAAGGAAGGTGGTAACTCCTCCTTGGGATCTTTTATTTGATTCTGGACATCATGGAGGAATAGAGAAAAACTTGAAAGCATTCAGAGAGCAGGAAACAGGCTAGTGTCCAAATATTGTCAGAGGAAGAACAATAAAGGAATTTAGGATGTACTTGACACATGATACTCGGTGTGAGCCATCATCACCATAATTATTAATACTACTTCAGATAGCTTGCTTTGACAGCTAAGGAAGTCTCCTGCCCCTCTGAGTATTTAAATCTAGGCAAGGCAATTACTGCCAGGGATGTTATAAAGGTGATTCAAGTTTAAAAGTATAGCTTTGATTAAATCTTTAAAGCCTGTCCCAAAGACACAATTTATATAGAAGTAGAAACAAACAGACAAAATATTTGGACGATGCTACGGAAGATGTTCCTAAAGGGCACAAGGTGTGACCACAATCTACTGGGCAGTTACCAATCGGCAGATCGTCCTGAGGGCAGGGGTAATCCTTATAGCCTTTTCTGGGGTGTGCTTACTTACCACGTACAACCAAAAGTGAAAAAGTAAAAACTGCGTAGCAATTTCAAGATAAAAATAGGAAAGACGTTAGGAATTTTAATATGTCTTAAGGCCTTGCTGCTGTTCCCTCAACACTACCTTCAATATAAAAGAAAATAAATCAAAAAAACCCAAACAAAGCCCAATGCTTGGAGATCAATTTCCTGCAAGGAAACGGTGCCCTTCCTTCAGGGGAAACTGTCACCTCTCACCCTCTGGAATCCACAGAGAAAGTGAATCTTTGGAGAAGGCGACCCGGGATAATTTGAGTTTTGTGGCTTCAAAAATAATGTGATAAAGTTTCTCATAAAGGCTCACCCAGGAAAACAAATAACCCAATTTTACAAATACGTGTCCAAGTTGATGAAGTATTTATGGATGCAGCAAAAGACAAAACTTGGGAGATGTAAATAGAATATAATGCCATCTAGTGGTAGTCACTGGTATCAGGGCCACCGCCTGCCTTTCACCTGCGATGTGCTGATAAGTCAAAACCCGAAATATCTTTGTTATATGGGACCCCAATTGCGCCCGCCCCATCGGATCTCTCACTGGCTCGTCATAGTGCTTGGAATTTCTACCATAAGTATGACTTCTTTAGGTTAGGGTGGTGGCTTTAGAAAGTCCCGAGCCAGCATGGCCAGAGGACCCAAGGGAACAGGTAAATGAAACAAAGCTCACCAACTTTACAAGGTTACCAGCCTTGCTAGGTGACACACCAACCACCACGCTACCAACTGAAAGGGTTCTATATAAAACGTAGAAGACCTCAGAAAGGCAATTATGCATAAAAAGGTGAGAGCTGTGTCAAAAGCCATGGACTTGACAACTCCATATGCAGGACACTATGGACACGGCTACCGTCTGGCAGGTTTCTTACAGAAACATAGTGATAAGATGCACTTCACAGACATTGCTTGGCATGGAGCAGTCCTTTAGGGTCTAACTTTTCCATGATCATACCTTCCAGAAAGATCTGTTTAAGATGAACTGCTTTGCCTTTTAAAAATCATTTTCTTGGTGCGCCTGGGTGGCTTGGTAAGTGTCTGCCTTTGGCTCAGGTCATGATCTCAGGGTCCTGGGATTGAACCCCACATTGGGCTCCCTGCTTAGTGGGGAGTCTGCTTCTCCCACTTCCCAACTGCTTGTGCTCTCTCTTGCTATCTCTCTCTCTCCTCTCAAATAAATAAATAAAATTAAAAAAATATTTTCTCAGTTGGAGGGTGAGTGATGGGATCTGCATTTTAAGTACTAGGTGCTTAGTCTAAAGGAGAGTCAAGCAGATGAAATTCAGCTACAAGAAAAGAGGCTTTGCAGGCAGGGTGTGTTAACTGCTTAGTGAACGTGATGGATGACTCCTTTTAGCTCACTCTCTTTGGCAAAAAGTCTTCTCAGTGGCTCTTTCAATCACTAGCACACACCCAGGGATGAGGTCAGAGATTGTTCCTGAACTTTTAATCCATAACACTCAAAATGCTCCTGTCAAACAGTCTGTACAAAGATGAGCTTTTAGGACAAATGTTTGAAAGCATCACTTTGAATCTCATTTTTAAAACTAAACGGTTTGTGTTTTGTTTTGTATTGGATTTTTTTGGGAAAAAAAAAGTGGTTTCACGGACTTTTTTTTTTTTTTTAAGATTTTATTTGAGAGAGAGTGTGTGCACTGGAGATAGAGCAAGCACGAGTAGGGAGAGAGCAAGGAGGCTCTGATCCCACAAGTGGGTTGCTGAGCTAGGAGCCTGATGTGGGGCTTGATCCCAGGACCCCAAGATCGTGACCTGAGCCAAAGGCAGGTGCTTAACCAACTGAGTCACCCAGGCACCCCTCACTGCCTCTTTTTTAAAGAGAGGAGGAGGTAGAGGATATTTATCCATTCAGCACTCCGCAGATGTTTGTTGAACCGCTACTACACACCAGGCAACGTTCTAGGCCAGTGCTTCTCGACTGTTGGTGTGAATATGAACCACTAAAGGATCTTGTTGAAGTGTGGATTCTGATTCAAGAGAGCTGGGGAGAAGGCTGAGTCTGAATTTCTAACAAGCTCCAGGGCGATACAGCTCCAAGCAGCTGATCCGTGGGCCACATTTTGAATAGTGAGAGTCTAGGCCCTGAGGATAAATTGATGACCAAGATAGACACGGTCCCTTTATTCATTGCACTTGGTAGATTTGTCACCCTGATTGCTTATCCTGCCCTCTGAGCCTCCATTTCTTCATCTGTGAAATGGGGCAATAGTTTCTAGGGTGATGACATAATGCATATAAACCATTGGGCACGGTCCCTGGCATCAAGTCAACACGTGAAGAAGCGCCATTTGGTTGCTGCTCCTGCTGCTGCTATTATTACTAGAATGTAGACTTTCTGCTCTGTCACAGGGACAAAAACCTTCCCAGCTCCCTGGAGGTAATACCTCTGCTTCTTCCAGCGCCACTTGGACTTGAGTCTTCTCTTGTTCAATCTGTTTCTTGACCTTTTCCATTTCACTCAGGTTCCTTTTTCCTTCTCTTACCTGATTCGTCAGATTGGAAATCTCTTCTGGAGAAGGAAGAAAAGCAGGTTAGTGAAAGGAACCAGCCTCAGACCCATGATTTGGGGTACAGCAGACTGTTCTCCTGAGACCGTGGTCATGCCATCCTTGGAAACGTGATGGCAAGGCCACCAATGGCACATATGGGACCCTTGTCTGAATGCAAAAAAAAGTCCCTCTTTCTTCAATATATCCTTTTGCCACCTGCCAGGAAGCTGTCCACCACAACTGGAGAGGACGGCGCTTCTCAGAGTCCTCTCTGAGGACTGCGCTGCACAACCTCTAAGACTTTACATGGTGGGCCTGCTTGTCGGAGCCCTGCCAGATTGCACCTGGTGGTGCCGAGGCACACACCTGGGCCCCCCGCCCCCACTTTGGTGTAAGTGCTTAGCTGTTGAGACCAGTGGCTGCTTTGTGTCAGCCACTCAACACCACGCACCATTGCCACGGGAACTTAAAGCAGAAGCGTGTCACTGCCTGCCAGAAGCTGATGTGTGAGCCCAGATCAACCCTAGAATCCAAAGGAGGTCAAGCGCTTGAGGGTTTGTGGCTAGCCTCTCATGAACACAAGTCTGATGGAATAAGGCAACCAGAGTGACAAAACCAACACCATTCAACACTGTTATCGTCAGTTCTGCTCCTTCCTGAAGGAAGCCTCTAGGAACTAAGAGGTGTGGGGTAGGGCCAAGCGGCTCTGGGCATTACCCACCATCCAGAGGTGGGTGGAAGGAGCTCAAGAGCTTGCTGCTCCTCTGGTTCTGAGCTCCCTGGCTACGATGTGATACGACAAGTGTTTTGAAAAGTTACAAAACCAAACCCTCTAGATGACAATCTTTATGTAGTGAATCCTTCTCTTAGAAGCTCTCTCCAGAAGAAAACTTGGGGCAGTGGTTCACCACTCAGGATCACTTGGGGCAGTGGTTCACCACTCAGGATCACTTGGTTCCTGCCAAGCCCCAACCTAGACCAAGTGTGATCTCCAGACCAGCAGCACTGGCCTCAAGGGCAATCTGTTAGAAATGCAAATTCTCAGACTCTGCCCTAGACCCGAGGGACTCTGGGGATCTGGCCCAGCCAACCATTTGAACAAGCCCTCCAGGCGGTTTGGATGCAGCTGAAGTTTTCTGACCACCCTTACAGCACCTTTCACCTGCCCAAGCTCACTGATCACGGGCTATGTGGGCCAACAGAGAAGCCAGATTCATGTACGCCTCCATCAGTAACGAGCTTGCTCCTGGGGCATCTCAGGGCTTGAATGCACATCACCGATGGTGCTGGTGTAGGTTGGCAGCCTCTCTGAAGGGCTGTTTGGCAGTGTCTCAAAATTTCGAAATATATTCCTTTAGCCCAGCAGTTCCTTTTTGAGGAATCTACCCCTACTGAGGAATCTACAAATCTGAAACATTATTATGTGTCCACAAATACATGCACAGAGTGTATAGTATAGGATTATTAATCGTGAAAAATCCTACCTAAGGATTTAGGTAGATTTAGATAGAGTCTAGTTACATGAATGTTGATCATCCTTATTACAAAACACTACGCAACTATCAATAATCACGTGTGAGGTCTCCACGTACTGACATGCAAAGAGAATCACGAGGCACGTGGAAGGTAGATAGCCGGTAGGTAAGTGTGTGGGGGCTGGAGACAAGCCGGCTGGGCTTAGATCTCCGATCTGCTTCCGATCAACTCTGAATTTGGACAACTTGTGAAATCTTACACGACTTGATATAATCTGCATTTTACAGACAAAGAAACTGACACATAAGACTGCTCTGAGAATTAAATAAGGAATGGTTATATATACGACAGAGCCTGGCGCGTCACGTAGGCTACAGAAATATTTGTTAAGTTAGAAAATATATTGATGGATGAAAAAAATAAAAGGTGTGGAATCCTGAGCCGTCTGAGTAATACATGCATGAACGTATGCATGGGAAATCTCGGGAAGGCTGTGGATGATCAAGAAAATTCTTAATAGTGGCCTTCTTGACACAATGAACCTGCGGCTAAGGTAGGAAAGTGGTCTTATTTTTAGAACTTGATAAAAATAATAGCTGTAGTTTTTTAAAAAAAGAGTATTAAAAATGGAAAAGTTAAGACCCAAGTGGGGCCAGGACCATGCTGAGGTGCCTGCTGACAGCGGACAGCCTTGCCCTTGAAGCCGGGGCTCCCCCTGCACCTCCTTGCTCCTGCTCTGGCTCCAAGCCCGGCTCCGAGTACCTTGGAGACTCTTGTTCACTGTCTGGAGGGTCTCCCGGCTCGCGGTGCTCTCCTCGTAGGCGTGTCTGAGCTCCAGGAGCTCGGCGCTGAGGGCCCGGGCCTCCCTCCGAGAGGCCTCCAGCATGGCCTGTGACTCCTCCTGCTGCTGCCTCCAGTCGTCGAGGCACCTGTCAAAGTGCTGCTGCTTCCGGCCCAGCACAGCTGCAGAGGAGCGGGCCTTCCTGAGGTCACACAGGGTGTCCCCGAGCTCCAGCTGCAGTCGGTGCCTGGCCCTCTCCAGGGTGGCGTTTCTGGCGTTTGCCACCCCCACGGCTTCAGCGGCCTCCTGCAACCTGCTTGCCAGCTTCTTCCTGAGAAGGGGAGAGCCGAACAAATGGCAAGAGAGGCGGCAACCCTCAGAGAGCTCACCCAGCTTGTCTTGGATTAAGACAGGGGGACGAAACAGGGTGGCCCCCTGAGGTTGGCTAAATGGCACCAAGACAAAGAGCTCACGTCACCCGGATGGCTGCTGACCACCATGACCACCATCGTCCGGCTTGTGTGCCCGCGTACGCTTCGTTCCCACTGCCCTTTGCCAACCTGATTGGTCTTGGAACTCAGGGGTCTCTACTCCTGTAAATCTTTGCTTAACCATAAACCTTCTTTAAGCCATACAGACCTTACTGATGACTCCATTAAGAAGCTGGAGAACGAGGAAGGTTGTACCCAACATCCCCCCAACAGTGAGCGGCTGTTAAAAGTTCGTAGGCACATCTAGTCTTGAAAGATCTCCTTGCTTACACCGCTTCCAAGGAACATTCTTTGGTTCTCTCTTGCTCGTTCTCTCTCCTTCTTAGTGTGTGGCTCCTGAACATGCCAAAATTCTGTCTTTCCTCTGAATTTCTTCTCCACCTCAGCTGCTCTTCTCAAATTTATATACTCAAATCCATCCCCTTGTTATGCTCACTTCGCAGGTCCCAGTGCTCGCAGGGGTGAGGGTGAGGGGGACTCTAGCCCCCCGGTAGTCCCTCCAGCATCCTCTCAGGTGGAGTGGTTTATTAAAGTGCTTCTTTATTAAAGTGCTTCCTCCACCGCCCCCACAATGCAGTGCTCTGAGGCTTTCTAATGGATGAAATGTGTTCTCTCGCTCACATCTTCTGCAGGGACGCTGGCAGCCCCATTCTTACCCATTCATTACACTTCTTAGATGAAAGGTACCGTGTGTACCCAACCTCTTTCTGATCTACTATTATTAAACAGAAAAAGGTCCTCAGGAATGAGCATGTGCCACACAAGTAGCCCCTCAGACCAACGTGGTCATAAAGCCCCTTTTTGGTGGAATCCTGCAAAAACCAATCTACGCTCAGCATCCAGGAGGGATCTGATCCCCAACAACTACTCCTTGTCCACTGGCTTTCTAAGCATAGTAACTTCACGTCTTTGCTTTGTTTTCCTTAAATGTTAAGAAGGGATCTCTTTTTCTTTAAAGCCTTATTTATTTGAGAGAGAGAGAGAGACTGTGTGTGTGTGAGTGGGGGGAGGGGCAGGGGCAGAGGTGGAGAAAGAGCATCTCCAGCAGACTCCCCGCTGAGTGCAGAGCCTGATTCCCACATGCCTGAGATAATGAGTGAGCTGAAACCAAGAGTCGGACATTTAACTGACTGTGACACCCAGGTGCCCCAAGAAGAGATACCATATAGTGACTGTTGTTAACAATCCGTCTTGCATATTTGAAAGTTGCTGTGAGAGTAGAGCCTTAATGGTCTCACCATAGGGACAATAAATGGTAATTACATAGGGTGGAAGATGTGTTAAGTAACCACATTGGGGTAAAGACTTCGCAATAGGTACATACATCAAATCATCACATTGTGTACCCTAAACATATTTAATGGTATACAGGAGCTTGGGGCCCGGATGGACCTAGACTTGGTCCCATGAGCATGTCAATGTCTATATATGTATATAGATATATCTATCTATATATATATACACACAAATATCAATTAAAACTCAATAAAGCTGGAGAAAAAAGGAAATTCTGATGCTTTATCCCACCTAAAACTGGGGTCTTGTAAAATAATTACGTGTATTTTAGCTACTTAGAAATACTCAATTGGTACCAGAAAAGAAGGATTTTACTTTGGGCAACCAATTGTCTGAGGGATAAAGGGGTTTCACCAGGACATGGGGCCATCAGTGCTAAAATCAACCGGGGCCACAACTCCATCAGGCAAAATGAACAAATTGGTCACCCTCATTTCACTGACGTCATCTACATTTCATACCAACTACCATTTGTTCCCCAATTTGCCAACCACAGCTTCTTACTCAGTACTAGAATCTGTAAGGTGTGGAAGATTAAGAAACGAAATCCCTGTTTTTGGGGAATGTGACATTCAGAAACAGTCAACTGGGTCTCAGGTGAGCTTGATTCAGCTAAACCAACTCATTCTATGAAGCCAATTAAAAAAAAATAGAATCCTAGATTTTTTTTTTTTGTAGTTCTGCCTCTCTCGGGTGATTTAGAAAGAAAATATAATATGGGCAATGTTTTATTTATTTGATATTTAAGTTTGGGGGCACATGGGTGGCTCAGTTGGTTAAGCAACTGACTCTTGATTTTGGCTCAGGTCATGATCTCATGATCATGAGATCGAGTCCTGAATAGGGCTCTGTGCTGAGTGTAGAGCTGCTTAGGAGTCTCTCTCCCTCTGCCCATCCTCCCTTGCCCCCTCAATTCTCACACACCAGCTCTCTCTCTCTCTCTCTCTCTCTCTCTCTCTAAAAAAAATAAGTTGGAAGGAGAAGTAGTATTGAGATATCATCATGTTGTCCATTATTTCTCTTTAGTTGTCATGTACTACAGGACAACAATCTGTTAGCAACAGATTCAACAAATCCACGTGGTCATAAGCAGTCTGTATGCTTTCCCTCTTTTTTAACCCTCCTGAAGAAACCTCCAAATGCTGCGACTGGTAGGGACTTTCACCAGCATTCTTCTACCATAAAAAAAAAAAAAATCTGACTTTAGAAGCAAATGGCCTATTTCTAATATGCGGAGCCATTTCAGTTCAGAGCCCCACTTTTCTGTGGTCAGTGTTTTTCAAACATCCACTGCAGGTATTCTTAGTATCCATCATCCCAAAGCCCTTTTTAAGTTACTGTGGCTTCAGAGATGGATCACTTGGTACCCCTCCAGGGACAGGACACAGCGACTGTTGAACAAGTGCACAGCCATGTCTCTCAAAGATTGAGGTGGAGAACTGAAAAACAATATTTTTGGTTGAAACTAAAGAGAACTGGATTGATCTGCCCTGAGTTTTGCTAAGTTGCCAAGCCAGGGACATATTCTTTTCAGTAAACCTTTAATGACTATAAAGCTGGGGTTGGTCTGACACTTTCTCTCAAATTTACACAGTCCTTTGACCTCTGAACAAAATGCTTCAGTTCTACACCCTTGAACCAGGTCTTGATTCATCTAGGCCCCAAGCTCCTATAGTTCCTGAGAAGGACTTCTAAAGCCTTTATGTAGTGTTGGCTGTAAAACTGATATTCTAACCTTAGAGGTGGTCTGAGGGTGACTTCTTTTCAAAGAAACTTTTGGCCCTGGAGGCATATGAGGACAGATCCTGATATGTTTCCAGCCATCCCTGTCCATCTTCACAGACCACTTTGTAGTCTGCAAGTTGTAGACCAGAGACATAATTGACTTTAATGTATAGGGATGTACACACATGAACTCAATTATTTTGATGTTCCAAATGAAATAGAAGATTTTAAGCACTAGCCCATTTCCAAGTCATGTCTTCCATGAAGACTTGCCTTGCACCCTAGAAAGAGCCTCCTTTCTTTCACCAGGACCTCTTTATAGTCTTTAGTACTTTGTATTCTGTTATTTTTTGGCCCTGCTAAAGCACGTGCTCCTTGCCAGCAGTGGCTATTTCAGCTTTGGTCTCGGCCTTATTCACACACTTGGTAAGGATCTGTTAAGTGTCTATAGCGGGCCTTGAAGACACAAGTCACTATCCTCACCCTCTGCCTCTGGGGTGGGGACAACCTTGCCCCACTCACTTGGCATCCTCCAAGTCCTCAGTCCTCTGGGTGATGTCATCTGCGTACTTCATTCTCCACTGCACCATTTCACTGTTGCCTTTGGAGAGAGCCCGGAGCAGCTCAGCCTTAGCCTCTTGTTCTTCCTCATACTGCTCTTGTAGAAGGTCATGGTCATGCTTGGCTGACTGCAGGGCCTGGGCCAGGGAACTCTGTGACTTAACAGACACAACACACATTATAAAGGGGCACTGCTACCATTAACAACGAAGGGCTTGGAGGTGACATCTCTTTTTTTTTTTTTTTTTTTTTTTAGATAAGGTTAATAACAACCTGCCACAAATTCAGGCTGAACCTGAACCTAGTAAGATAATACCAGGGCAAGAATTTGGGATGAGAAAGGATCGAGTATCTAATTGCTGCCATTACAACAGGGAATAGTGTTCTATTTAGGGAAATGCTCACCTGACTTTGTGGGCTTCAGCAATAGGCAGGTCTGGGGAGTTCTGGAAATAGTGGAGAATGCAAAGGTAGCAAGAACATTCCCTATCATTTAGGCAGTAAGGTTTATAGTTAGCACTATCTAACATTCAGATCTGATCTGGTCTAGCTTTTCATTCGTTGATGAAAAAAAATCTTTTATTTCATGTGCAAATCTCTGAAAACTCTCTCTTATCACTTTGAAACAGCACTATACAATAGAACTTTCTACAGATGAAAATATTTTAGGGGCACCTGGGGGTACAGTTGGTTAACTGTCCAACTTTTGGTTTCTGCTCAGGTCATGATCTCAGGGTCATGATCAGGCTCCCTGCTCAGTATGGAATCTGCTGGAGATTCTTTCTTCTTCTCCCTCTGCTTCTCCCACTTGTGTTCTCTCTCTCTCTCTCTCTCTGTCTCCCTCTCTCAAATAAATAAATAAATCTTTATTAAAAAAATGTTTTATATGAACACCATCCAATATGGTAACTATAGCCACAGATAGCTATTGAACACTCAAAATGTGCTTAGAACACTGTGTGGTCAAAACTGAATTTTAGTTTTAATTTATGTAAGTTAAAATTCAGATAGCCACCTGCAGTGGAGTAGCAGCTACTGTACTTTTTAGACAGCAGAGCTGAGTTCAGTAAGCATTTCTGTCACTTATGTGGCAGTCTGGTTAACCTAGAGGCATCATTCCTATAAGATAACCTAGCCTAGTGGGAAGAACCTAGCCTAGTAGAGCCTGTGCCAGTCCTCATGGGTCCTTTCCGTAAATTAGAAAGAAGTATCTTCTCAGTCCTTGGATGCAGCTCTGAGCGCAAAAGGCTTAGTTAATGGCAGCCTCAGCCAGATCCCCCTTGGGCAGTGAAGGAGGAGCTACAATACACAGTGACTCTGAGAAGGGCACAGGCTTTGAAATCCAATAAAATTGGCTTTAAATTGTGACCCTAACCCTCTTATATATTTACTGAGCACCTGTTCAATGCATTAGTGTTTACAGAAGTGAGTGAGATGAAGATAAAGTCTTTGCCCTAAGGAGCCATAAAGGGGTGAGAGGATACACAAAACGAACATATAAACAAATTATTTTTTTTTAATGCTGACAGCAGGAAGGAGCTAAAACAGAGTGGCGATGAAGGATGTTTGACTCTCTCGTCACTGCCCAAGGGCCTTGGGGAAGGCCTGTACACAGTGGAAACAGCAACTATAAAGTCCTATGGCAGGAGAAAGGGTAGCTTGTGTAAGAGTCAGAAAGGAGGCCCGGGTGGCTGGTTGGGAGGAAATGAGTGAAGCAGATGTAGGACGTCAGAACACAGTAGGAGGCTGGAGCCAGAGCAAAAGGGCCTCTGAGGCCAGCTGGAGGCCACTGGGAAGTCAGCCAGAGAGGTCTTCTAAACTCTACATGAAGTCATCTCACTACCGGCATCAATTCCTTCATGCTCTACTACTAGCTGTTTGTCCTTGGGCATGTTATTTTTCTTCTCAGAGCCTTGGTTTCTCCATGTAAAAAGATATAATCCTACCCGTTTCCTAGGACTTACACAAAGATTGAGGTAACATGAGAGAAATATCTAGCAGAACGTCTGATACACAAACCATGGCAGTCCTTTACAAATACGTATATAATATAGAAAATAAGGAGAGTGGAGAGAATGAAATAAATTATTTAAAAACATAAGTCTACAGTCTCATGACCTCCATCTCAGGGTAGACGCCTTTGCAGGGGGATTATGTACAAGTGAGGCACTGTGGGGTTTACTAACAAGGTGCCTTGAAGATGAATGAAGAATTAACTTGAACTACCAGAGCTCAAAGAATTTCTCTCTCGTGTTAGTCACTATGCTTTCACCTTTAAAGCCACTTCCACTGGGGTCACCTGCTAGCAACATTATATATATCCTCTTGGGGAGAAGTGACCAATATGTAGAAGTTATTGACAACTTAAAAGTAATATTGAACTAAGCCAGCCCCATTTATTTCCTTCTGGTCTTTTGTTTAATTCCACTTCTTGGTACAATTCAGAATCAAAGATGTAAAATGGAAATCCACAGTTTCCTTGCTCTATCTAAATCTGACAATCTAGGCAAGCAATTTGAACCACTGAGGAAGATCCTTCAGTAATCAAGGTCCTTCCCTGCACATACAAGGTGCACCATGTTCTTTTTCCCATAACTTCTGGAGCACTTTTCTTTTATATGAGAAGATATTAAGGCTGACCCATCAAGCACTTTTTTTTTTTTTTTTTTTTTTTTTTTTGCACATACAGTCAAGCCACCAGTGAGAAATAACAGATGCATTACTTTGGATTCCTCTTCCAGTTGCCCTTTCAGTTCTTCTATCTGCCGAGTGAAGTTACTCCTTTCCCTGGAAAGTTGTTTTATCAGAGCCTCTTTTTCTTCCAGCCTCCTTAGGAGCTCACCTATAGAGAGATTTCACAGAGTAGTTAATCACGGCCTTCTTCTTCATCTAACTGCCTCCTCATATAACTTGTTCACTTGAAGGACAACCACAATGATTCCTACCACATATTTTTAATATTTAGAAAGCATCTGAAAGCCCAGGTATCAGCATAACCATGGCAATGACCTGTTTCAGGACTCACAAAAAATCCCTAATAAAGAACTGATTTTTAGCATTAAGTTTGGGTCCATAACAGGGAGTATTAGCTATCAGATACTGAGACTCTTCTGTGAAGTAGGTAATACTATCCAGCTTAATACTCCTTACTCCTCAAACATGCTGGTATCATACTACCCACTTTACAGAGGGGGAAACAGAGCCTTATGCATGACTGAGACATAAATATGCATAGCTAGTAACTGGTAGAGGTAGATTCAAATTAAGTTTTTAACACTGAAGAGCACAGTCTTTAATGCTATGCTCCCTTGTTTATGTGGCTCTACCAATTTCCGGCTATATAATTTTTAGGTAATCACTACTTCTTTGCCTCTTTTGTAGAATGAGGATAACAATAAAAAATTGTCAGGGAGCCTGGGTGGCTCAGTCGATTAGGCATCTGACTCTTGGTTTTGGCTCAGGTCATGATCTCAAGGTTGTGAGATTGAGCCCTGTGTTGGGCTCTGTGCTCAGACTCTGCTTTAGATTCTCTCTTCTTTCTTCTTCTCCCTCTGCCTCCCTCCTGCTCACAGACATTCTCTCTCTCTAAAATAAATAAATATCTGGGCAGCCTGGGTGGCTCAGCGGTTCAGCGCTGCCTTCAGCCCAAGGTGTGATCCTGGAGACCCAGGATCAAGTCCCACGTCGGGTTCCCTGCATGGAGCCTGCTTCTCCCTCTGCCTGTGTCTCCGCCTCTCTCTCTGTGTGTGTGTGTCTCTCATGAATAAATAAATAAAATCTTAAAAAAATAAAATAAATAAAAATCTTCAAAAAATTGTTAATAGAAATTAAATGACCGTGCTTTGTGACTAATGTGTTTTCACTAATGTGAATGTGTTTTGCATACTAACTGCTAAATAAATAATAGAAATAGTCATTAAATAGTGGAGGAGGTGACCCTGATGGGGGGAATTCCATTATATTGCAGTCTACCCTCTCTCTCTCTCTTGCTGATGATAGGACAGAAATGTCTTTGTTATTAGCGGTGGTACCAAATGCTGAGCCAATCCTGGGCAGAAACAGTTGCTTCTGTATTTTAATTAGCACAACACTAAAAGGCCACAATATTTATGAGCCCCACATCTCTTGCTATAAACAAGTCCTAAAACTCTTAGCATTATAATGCTTCCTTATGTTTGGGCCAAAGCAGAAAATCTCAAACGTTTTGGTCTCAGGAATACTTTATATGCTTAAAATTTATTGGGGGTCCCAAAGAGATTTTGTTTATTTGGGTTTTATTTTGAGTAGATAGAGTATTTGAAATTAAAAGGGAAATTTAAAATTTGTATTAATTCATTTTCAAATGATAATAAAAATCTTGGTGTGTTAAGATGTTTACATAAATAATTTTAAGAGGAAAAACTATTTTCCAAAACTCCAAAAAAGTTAATGAGAAAAATGACATTATTGTACATTTTTAAAAATCTCTGGGTTACTAAAAGCTAGATTTTCATGTTTGCCTCTAAATGCAATCTATTGTAATTCACTGTTTCTTTGAAGTATGTGAAGAAAATCTAGCCTGTCACAGATACGCTGGAAAAGGGAGATTTATTTTCATAGTCTTCTCAGTTAATTGTGACCGTTACTTAATACTACAACAAAATTCAGCAAATAGACATTTGTCAAGGATTAGTTGCAATATGTTCCCCTGTTCCATTAAAATCCCTGAGCCTATCCTAAACTTTGAATGGATCTTTCACCCACACATGACTGTATATCATCATGCAGTGGTGATTTGAAAAATAAGTGTTCACTGAATTATACAGATCTTGCAAAATGTTGACACATTCCATTATATAATATTAAAAAAAGCATTTTTGTTAACATCCACTACTGATCTCATCAGAAAAGTCTTCAAGAATTGAGAGCATCAGGCTCATGATGGCATGTACACATTTTCCAAAATCTGATTTTTGCTGAAAATCTCCAGTTTTATTATTGGCAACAAATAATGTCAGTTGTTTTCCTTGAAGCGACAGGCTCACTTTGTTCACTTTTGAGAAAATATCTGCCAAATATCCGAATCAGAATAAACATTGTTTGTCAATTGTCTTTTTAAGTATACAGGATGCTCCCCGAGAAAACCTGCTAGCTCAGCTGAGGACTTAATCACACATCACACTTCAGAGGGGAGGTGGGTGGGAGTGGGCAAAATAGGTGAAGGGGATTAAGAGCACACTATTGTGATGAGCACTGAGAAATGTATGGAATCGTTCAATCACTATATCGTACACTTGAAACTAATATAACACTGGAATTAAAATTTTTAAACTTCATAAAAATATAGAAGTGTTTTATGTATACTTCTTGTTTTGTCCGAGAGAATATTAAAAAGATACGTATTTGGGGTCAAGATGTAATACAATTAATTTTTACTGCTTCATTAAGGACATTTTTACTTGAAAAAAAAACTGACCTTTTTTTCTTCAAACTCTGAGTGCGTATCAGTGAATATGATTACTAGTACAGTGTGGTGCCACTACCTTGATGCATGATGAGGTTCTAGAAGTTTTCATCATCACTGCTTTTGCAGCATCAATATAAATCGCAAAAGAACTTAGAAAGCAATCACTTTAACCTCATAGCCCCCCAGAAGGGTCTTGATGATCACCAGCGCTCTGTGGACCAAACTGAAAATCTCTGAGTGACAACATCATATTGAAAAGGAGTCTGAAGAAATGCCAATCCACTAGGGGGTTGAGACTGACATATCACGTATCTTACAGAACAAGTACTCATTTAACATGGCTTAATTGATCACGTCTACCACTGGTCGGCTTTGAAAGCAGAGTGTGATATGTTTGATAGGGCAGGGCGTGAGACTAGTGGTAGTGGCAAAAAAGCAGCAAAAAATCTGGAGCATAGAACCCAGTGAGGTGAGGGGAGGTTTGGATAGGTATATACTTAAATTTTAATTCACACAAAGCCAAAAGGTAAAAATAAGAATTAAAGGAAGAAAAGGTCCTCTATCCTGAGCAGAATTATCACCTCACACCCACTTTCACTTCACTCACTTACCCACTAATTTCCTCATCAAAAAAGTGAGTGGAAAATTAATGCCAATAACTAGGGGGAGGTAGGCAGTGCCTATCACAATTTTGTACAGCACATCATTCAGGACCCAACATATGGGTATTCTTCAGTCTTGTCACTGGACTGCGGAGTCCACAGACCACATCCTAAATGGCAGAGGTCAAATTGGGGGCTTTGTAACAAGGCCAAGTGTCATACACCCTTCCCCCACTAAAGGGTCCCATTCAGTGTCTCTGCTAGAACCAAAACTACTTTCTTCTGGGCTTCTAGGTTTATAGTTTTGCAGCCTATTTTAATTTAGCTTTAATTCAAGATGTAGCATCTAGAAACAGGTGCCCATTAGCAGAAGAATGTGATATGGTCCAAGTGGTCTTTATTCTCTTTTTAAAGTGTGTGCCTCTGGGCATCAAGAATATTGTTTATTTTCATTGATCCAAGAATTTGGTCTCTGGGAATATATTCCTAAAAATAATTCTAATTACAGAGAAACATCTAGCCACATACTGTTCATAGCAGAAAAACAAGACCAGTTACAAGGTTAAGTAAACTATAGTTCCTCTACTTGATGGATTAGAAGCAACCATTACAAATGACTAAATCTGCAAGATACAAAAAACAAAAACAAAAACAAAACCCAAAAAACTACAAACAAACTTAATGACAAATTGAAAAAGAAAAACTCAAATAAATTGCCACAATGTAAAAGACTGGGGGAAAAACAACCCACAAAACACACACAAAAAAAAAACCCTATCAATGGAAGCGGATAGCAGAGAGTAACCATGGGACATTTTTCTACTTTTTATTTATCAAATGTTTGTGCAGCACCAAAAAGTGACAGGCATTGTTCTAGATGATGGACATACATCGATGAATAAAACAAAGCTTACATGAAGCTTGCATTCTTGCAGATGGAGATAGAAAAATAAGCACATTTATCATTTCAAGTATGTAGTTTGTTTGAAGGTATTAAATACTATTTAAAAAAGGAGCAAAGAGAGAAAATGGGTTGAGAACAGTCAAATGTCGCCTTCTCAACAAGGCCTATACTGACCTCCCCCAGATATCTGTTTGATTAACCCTCATCTTCAAGTCTCTGGAGAATTATTAGAGTATTCCAGGCAGAGGAAAAAGCTAGGGCAAGACCCTAGGATGCAAGTGTGCCTGGTGTGCTAAAAACATAGTCAAGGCAGAATGAGAGAAGGGGAAAGTAGTAGAAGAGGTCAGAGAGATAATGAGGGACCCAATTACGTGGCCTTTGTAGGCCACTGTACAGACAATGGCTTTTACTAAATGTAAAAAAAAAAAAAGTATGGGTTTATTATTGAAAATTAGAAAAAAATGCCTGTTTCAATGAGGTCGACATTATAAAAAGCCATGTCTTACAGGCTGTGTGGACAGCCCTGCCATCCTTTGATCTTGACAGTTGCTTCATCCAACTGCATATTGCGTTTCTCCTTCCTGAAGGAGAGCTGGGCAGAGCTCCCAAAGCAGCACAGAGGTAACCCTCACTAGACCAGAGCATCTATCTGCGGACAAGGTTAAATCAGAGGCTGCATTCCTCCCCTAGAATCTCTAAATGCTCACTCAGTTTCAGTGACTGATTGATCATCTCAATCGTCCCTCCACCAGGCTGCTGGGACTGAGACTCACTCACAGTGAAGCAGCACATTCACTTACCATTCTCACTCCATAACTTTGTCTTCTGTGCTTTCAGGTCATTTGCCAACTGAGTCACTTCATCTAGTTTTCCATTTGCTTCATTCAGGCGCTCTTCATACAGACTACAGAGCTTCTCAGAGTTAGCCTATGAGTTGAGAATGAAGGATTGGACAGGGGTCATAGAGTCCATGATGAATTAATTAGCTGCATAAGAAAGGGAGGTGTGGTTCCTGGGACCCTTGTGCTCTCCTCTGCTCTGAAAGACCACAGTTAACATTTTGGAAACTGTATCTTCTAATTTCAGCAAACACTATAAATTCAAGTTCTGGGCCTTTAAGGGGCCCAAACTTCTTAGGCTATAGGTGTCATATAGGAACCCAACTCTCTGGGTATTGGGACACTCCAGAATTCTTTGTTCTTCTGAAGAAGGAAACATGCCAAATACTGATGAAGTACATAATCACTTCCTGACATTATATTATATATTTAACCATTTTTTTTCTCTCGCTAGAATAGGTTTCATGAAAGTAGAGATGCTATTTGACCATGGATAACCCCTCAGTGCCTAGAATAGTGTCGAGCACATTCAAGAAGCTCAATAAACAACTGGTGATGTTCAGAGGAGGGGGGAACAGAGGAAGAAGAAGGGAAATCCAAAGGGCTGACCAAGCAGTATAGGAGAAAGTAGATAGACCTGAGCTTAATAATGGACATTTGAACTGTCAAGGCAACTACATCCTCTGGGTCACTAAGGCTGCAGGCTCGAGGTAACCCTCTTGGGTTAACACTTCATTTCAAAACTCCAACTTCTCAGAATGGGCTGTTTGTGCTTAGAGAAAAGGATATGCCGTTTGGCCTTTGTATTTCTACCTAAGCAACCAATCTAACCATAAGATTTCTGCCACATTCTGGAAACTAATGCTAGTGAATTTGAGACTCAAGATTCTTAAACAGGGGATGCCTGGGTGGCTCAGTGGTGAGCCAAAGGCTCATTTGCCTTTGGCTCAGGGCGTGATCCTGAGGTCCTGGAATTGAGTCCCGTATCAGGCTCCTCGCGAGGACCCTCTGCCTGTGTCTCTGCCTCTGTGTCTCTCTCATGAATAAATGAATAAAATCTTAAAAAAAAAAGATTCTTAAATAGGATAAAGAGCTGCCTGATGCAAAATTGTTGTATCCCCCTTTATCTAGCTGTAATTTGCATCCTTCTTATTAATATGGTCAGAAATAACATTGATGGTTCCATAGTTACATAGTCCTATAGGTAGCTGTTTGTTTTGCTCTTTACATATATTAAATCTCAATCTATTCAATAGTCCCATGAGATCTGTTTCTATGAGGAGTGCGTGGAAAAGGAAGAATAAAGAAAAGACTACATCAGTGGCATTCCAAGAAAATGGTGATGTGTATAAAATCTGGTGGTGAGCCTAACGGTCTGAATGTCAACCTAATTTGTGTGATATAGCAATGGCCAAGGACCAGGAGCTTTTAAAAGATGCCAGGTTTAGTCCTCTGGGAAATTCCTGAATCAGCAAAAACCTTGGAGACCTCCAGCTAGAGCCAACTCTGTGTTGAAGATTATTTTCTTCATGCTTACACTAGTTACAATTCTAAACTCCCATGAAAAACTACTGGATTACATCTTCTTATAACCCCAAGGCAGTATACGGTGCTTGACACAAAATAGGTACTTAATAAACATCTAAAACAATCAAATTATTGCTTTAGTGAAAGACTGGCCAACATGCCCACTAAAGTTTACTTAGAGGTCATATTCAAACTTTCCTTATAAGCCCCAGCCCCCAAATTTACCTTTTAACTTGGTCAAGGTATTATCCACTGATCAGCAAACAAGTGAAGAGCCAAATCAGATTCATGCCCATTTAGAGGCTGAAGAGGAATATCACATAGTTCAAGCTCGAATATGTTCCATAGCACACCCGGGGTTGTTGGTGATTGTGTAACCAAACTTGGTAGAGGTCTGATGGCCAGTTTCTCATACAATGCCATCAACATCATATAGGTTAGAGCCCTGATGCCAAATGCCAGGCACACTCAATTATCCACACTCTCCACTGGCTACTAGAAAAAAGCCATAGTAGTGATGAATGTAGCCATCTTTAGATGGTCTGAAAGTTCTAGTTATATTTTAAATGTTGAATAGGTTTGCTCTCACTCCTAAAAATAATTTGAAAAAGTTGGCACACTCATTCTTTTCATCAAGACATCCCTTAAGAGTTCATACTGACCCTGTTTTATAAATGAGAGAATAGAGTCAGAGAGGCTAAACACCTTGTTCAAATTCATACAGCCAGGGAGTGTTGGAATTGGGATTTGAACTGATAATGGCCTGTGCAGAGGCAATGGGGAAAAAAGTTAAATACTAGATTCTGAAGTATCTGTTATATGAAGTAGGAATGACAAAGGGAATGGTACATTGACATCCTCGTTGGCTCCTACTGTCATGAATCCTGAGTGCTGGTGGAAACCGGATAAAGATATGATTGCTGTGTGAACCATCTTCATTTTATGTTGTCTCCAATAATAAATGACCCATTAACTGGGACAGGAGGAACACATCCAGGTGTGAGAAATGGCACTTATGTTTATGACCCGGAATATTCTATGCTATGCACCTGTTTGCTGACGGTGAAAGAACACAGAGCTCTATAAGACAACTTAGTCAATGGTGTGCGGAAACGGCAAGCAAAGGAGCCAGAGAACCCCCAGGTTTTAAGAGACTTGTGTGTAGTAAAGCCCAGCTGGGGTTCTGCATATTGGCAGAATAGGCAACCACCTGGGCAGACAGAAAAGACACTTGCTCTTAGGCATAGCTTCAAATGGTAGGTATTCCTAGGCAATGTTAACCACTGGCAGATCGTTTTCAATTTACAATGTATTTTTGTAAGCAGGATCCACAAAAGACATTGCAATTGTTTTTCTAAGGGTAACCTACACAGGGATGTACCATTCAAATGGGTTGTACTTTCAAAAGAACTTCAAATTTAAGCATAAGGACAGGTACTAAATTTTCATACCAGGAAAGAAGAGGTTAATGGAATAATGTACATTCATCTTAAAGCTGATTCTTAAAATGCTGCCTAAAAATGCCATCTCCCAGAAATGCAGGAACCAATGGGAATTCAAAATAATCAAGATAATTGTGAGATTGCCTATAACTTCTAAATTTCCCTGGGCTTCTCTGTCAGCATAATATACTCTTTCAAAATGCTTCAGCTTCCACTGTACCACTGAGTATTGGCATTCCTGGCATTATAATTCAGGAAAAGATGAAATAAACAATTCAAGAAAAATTTTAGCATAATGTATATGCCTATGAGAGTGAACAGAATCAATTTATCCCACCAAGAAATATTTAAGGCAGCAGCAGAATGCGGCCACCCACCAACATAAACAGAATTGGGAGTCGAGACTCGTCTCTACCATGACCGTGTGACCTTGAGTAGTCATTTAGCCCCTGAGCCACAGAATTCCCTAGAGATATATGAAAAAGTTAATGCTAATACTTGAAGACGCAAGTTACGCATATCATGTAGTGAGAGTAAAATAAGACCTAGTTTCTGCCTTAGAGATGCCTTCTGTTTAAGTAGAGTTAAAAGACTATATAATGCAGTAATCCAAGAGGGATCCCAAAAGTGCTACTGTACTTCTGAAACAGATAAAGTTTTAATATGGAAAGTTGAACTTGAGCATTCCAGGGAGAGGGCTTAGTTTGGAAAAGGCATATCGGTGGGCAAAGGATATTTGGTGGAAGTCAAACATTCTAACTTGGCTGAAATAGAACGTCCATGAAACAAAGTAATAGAATCTAAAATTGGCTGAGCAGGCTGATTCAGATCACAGGTCATGGTGTACCTTGAAAAGCAGCAGTTTGAAGTTCACTGTTAAGCAGGGATGTGATTCTATAAAGCTTGTCTAGAAATATTCATATAGATACTATATAGGATAAATTGAAAAAAAGAAAAACTCAAGGTGAGAAAGATAATCTAGGAAACCACTTTAATAATCCAGTTAAAAGGTAATGAAAGTCCTACCTATTTGTGGGAATAGAATAGGAAATTGTAAGACAGTGAAGAATTGACCTGCTATGAGAATTGACTGGAAAGCAAAGAACAAGAGAGGAAATAAATAATTAGCTATAGGCTTATAGCCTGGGTGATAGGAAGAAACAGGGTGCCTGTGACGGAAATGTCCAGAAGAAACCCGAGATTCAGAAGAAGGTGATGAGTTTGGTTTTAGACACGCTAATTTGAGGAAAAGAAGACATTACTGATTTTGAAAGAACAACCTAAGAGAATACTCTTAAGAAAAGCAGGGGAAATAAAAGACACTGCAGGGGTTACAGGAGCGAGGAGGTAGTGAGGTGTACACATCTGCTGGACCTAGCCTCGAAAGATGAACCCTCCATGAACCACACTCTTTGGTATTCACACCTTGTGCAGATTCCATACCCTGTAAATCACTCCACTGCATGGTAAGTCTGCCTCACTAGAATTGTTGCAGCTCTGTCTTGGTCTTTTATGGTACTTGCTCTTGTGCCTTAAATTACCTCGTAAGAAGCCCAAGTCCCCCATGGTTGCCATGCTGTGAGGAAACTAGCCACATGACAGATTTATGCCTAGGCCCAGTCATTCTAGTTAGTTGTCCCAGCCCAGGAACCAGACATGGGAATGAACAAACCTTCAGATGACTCCAGTCTCAACTCTCATCTGAGCTAAGTCTGTCAACCCTAGAACCAAGAGAGATGATAATAAATTGCTGTTTTAAACTACAAGATTTGGGGATGATTTGTTATATAGCAATAGATAAATGGAGCACTACTCTTCAGTCAAGGAGACAGAGGGAGGCAGATATGGATAGACTTTGTTTTCCTCCTCCTGGTATCTGAGGAAAAGTCTTTCCTATTTTGATTTGTTTTTGCAATGGGTGAATAATGGTTACATGGAAAAATATTTTATTCTTTGGGACGAGAAAGAAAGAAATGGATGAGCATAAGAAAAATATAAGGTGAAGAGAGAAGGTCTTGATCGTATCAGTTAGGTCTTACCATTTATTGAAAAGGATTTAGAAAGTCAGGGTTAGAATCTGAGGGAGGATTTTGTTTAAAATAAAATAGAAAGTGAATTAGATGAATAAAGAACTTCTGAGAAGCGATGGAATTCTAGAGGAAATTGGAAAGTATGAAATTCATATCTAATTAGTATGGATTTATGGTGAACCTATCAACAGTTTTATGACTGACTTCCTACTAAGATGTGCAGAAACAGAAGAATTCCTGAGATTAACAAGAGGCACAGTAGATTATAAAGAGTAAGGACTTCTAGAGGCTCATTTGGGCTGAGGAAAGCAATTGAAGGCTACAGGGCATGGAGAAGGAATGCTTTCATTGCTGAGAGAAAGAGGAGTCCCAATAAAAGGCAAAATACAGAAGAGACAGAGGAGAGAGGACTTAAATCCTTACGAGATTTATATTCTAAGATAATTAGGGGTGGGTTGGCAGGGATGATGGAGAGAAAGAGAAGGAAGAGCAGGGTGGTTGTGTTTCTTTCTACTTAATATGGTTTTTAAAGGGAATTAATGCTAAATATTTTAGGAGCCACTCAATCTCTCTAAAGAAATGCTGTATTTTTTTCTGGCTATGGTACATGCAGGTTGAGCTTTATTGTTGGTTTGTCTCTTTTCCAGATACCTGTACCAATTCTGCTCACAAGGAGAATGTGATGCTGGCTACAGGCATACCTCGGAGGTACTGCAGGGTCTGTTCCAGACCACTGCAATAAAGGTCATACCACAAAGAAGCAAGTCAGTGAATTTTGTTGTTTCCCAGTATACATAAGAGTTATATTTACACTATATTGTAGTCTATTAATTGTGCAATAGCATTATGTCTAAAAAATCTGTATGCCATAATTTAAAATGCTTGATTGCTAAAAAATGCTAACCATTGTCTGAGTTTTCACTGAGTCACATAATCTTTTTGCTGGTGGAAGATCTTGCTCAACATTGATGGCTGCTGACTGATCAGGGTGGTGGTTGCTGAAGGTTGGAGTGGCTGTGGCCACGTCTTAAAATAAGACAATGAGTTTTGACACATCAATTGACTCTTCCTTTCATAAGTGGTTTCTGTGTATCATGTGATGGTGTCAGATAGCATTTTACCCACAGTAGACCTTCCTTCAAAATTGGAGTCAATCCTTTCAAACGCTGCTAGTGCTTTTAATTAACTTCATGTAATACTGTAAACCTTTGTTGTCATTTCAACAATCTTCAAAGCATCTTTATTAGGAGTAGACTCTGTCTCCAGAAACCACTTCCTTTGCTCATTTATAGGAAGCAACTCCTTATCCGTTAAAGTTGTATCATGAGATTGCAATCATTCAGTCCCATCTTCAGGCTCCACTTCTAATTCTAGTTCTCTTGTTATTTCCACCACATCTTCAGTTGACTTCCTTCAGTGGAGTCTTGAACTTCTTAAAGTTCTCCAGAAGGATTGGAACCAACTTCTTTGAAACTCCTATAATGTTGATATTTTGACCTCTTCGTATGAATCATGAATGTTCTTAATGTAGAATATTCTTAATCTGGAATGATGAATGCTTTTTAGAAGATTTTCAATTTACTTTGTCCAGATCCATCAGAATCACTGATGGATCTGTGGCAGCTATAGACTTAAAAAATGTATTTCTGAAATCATAAGACTTGAGAGTCAAAATGTGTCCTTGATACACAACAGGCTGCAGAATGGCTGTTAGCAGGTATGAAGACAACATGAATCTTGTTTTACATCTTCATTAGGACTCTTTAGTGACCAGGTGCATTGTCAATGAGTGGTAGTATTTTGAAAGGAATCTTCTTTTCCAAGCAGTAGGTCTCAACAGTGGACTTCAAATATGTGTTGTCATTCAGGCTTTTTTAATTTCTACAGCACAGGCAAAGTAGATTTAGCACCATTCTTAAGGGTCCAAGGGTTTTCGGAATGGCAAATGAGCATTGGCTTCAACTTTAGGCCCTAACAAGAAAGTTAGCCTGCCTTTGAAGCCGGGCATTGCCTTTTTCTCTCTAGCTATGAAAGTTCTAGATGACATCTTCTTTCAATAGAAGACTGTTTTGGTCTACATTGAGTTTCTTTGTTTAGAGTAGTCACTTCCATGAATTATAAGCTAGATCTTCTGAAAAACTTGTTGCAATTTCTCCATCAGCACTTGCCGCTTCACCTCGAAATATTACAGAGACAGCTTCCTTCTTTAAACCTCCTGAATGAACCTCTGCTAGCTTCAAACATGTCCTGTAGCTTCCTCACTCCTCTCAGCCTTTATAGAAGTGGAGAGTTAGGCCTTTGCTCTGGATTAGGTTTTAGCTTAAGCGAATGCTGTAGCTGGTTTGATCTCCTATCCAGACCACTAAAACTTTCGCCATATCAGCAATAAGGCTATTTCACTTGCTTATAATTCATGTGCTCACTGGAGTAGCACTTTTAATTTCCTTCAAGTATTTTTCCTTTGCATTCACAAGTTGGCTAACCATTTGGCACAAGAGGCCTAGCTAGCTGTCAGCCTGTCTTGGCTTCCAACATGCCTTCCTCACTAAGCTTAATCATTTCTAGCTTTTGATTTAAAGTGAGAGATGTACAACTCTTCCTTTCACTTGAACACTTAGAAGGCATTGTAAGGTTATTAACTGGCCTACTTTCAATATTGCTGTGTCTCAGAGAATAGAGAGGCCTAAGGAGAGGGAGGGAGAGAGGAGAACGGCCAGTTGGTGGAGCAATCAGAACACACATATTAATTGATTAAGTCTGCCATCTTATATGGACATGGTTCTTGGTGCCCCCAAACAATTACAATAGTAACATCAAAGATCACTGATCACAGATCACCATAATAAATATAATCATAACGAAAAAGTCTGAAATGTGAGAATTACCAAACCATGACATGGAATGAGAAAATGCTGTTAGATAAATGGCACTAATAGACTTGCTCCACTTAGGGTTGCCACAAGCCTTCAATTGTAAAAAACCACAGTGTCTGTGAAGCACAATAAAGCAAAGCTCAATAAAATATTGTATACTTGTATTTGTTCTGACTAACCTAAAGGAAGCCTTCTCTCAAATACCAGAAGGTAGGATGGCCGTTACCTATGATCTGATGATACAGTCATTTGATGTAAGAGCTTATACTATATGGATTAAAGGGCTCAGTGAAGAAAGAACATGTGGTGAAACTTCCTTCTAAGTGCTGGCTGGTCAAAGAAATGCCAGAGAAGATGGAGGTGGGAGGAGGTCTCTCCTCTTAGCAAAGCTCTTTGTGTCTACCATTCACTGAGACAAACACAAGAGTGTCTGAGCCACCCCCAAGGAATGCTCCCAACTCAAAGCCATTCTTCAAGAGAGACACACAACTCATAACTAGTGGCTTCACTTTTCAGCCTACCTATTTATGTCATCACCAGAAAGACCCACAAGACATATGGACTGGAACTCCAATAAAACCTGAGGCTCCTGTCAGGCTACATTCAGGTAATAGCCATGTGACCTTAACAATGTCAACCGAGATTAAGCCTGGTCTAGTCAATCTAAAGAACTATAGCCTCCGTTAGCAAATACCTCAAGTCACCAATCTTGTTTATTTTTCTTTTTCTTTCCCTTTCCTACTTACTTTCACGTTCTGAAGTCCGTAAGGTGGACCTGGGGATGTTTACCTTAGCTCTGGTCATCTGTTCAACATTGGTCAGGAGGTCATCCACTTCTAGCTGCAAGTCATTCTTGTCTTTTTCTAATTTCTGCTTGACCTGTTGTAAATTTTCAAGTCGGCCCTGGAGTTCAGCCAGGCTGTCTGCATGTCTCTTCTTCAAAGAGGCCGAAGTTGTCTCGAAGTGCAATGTAGCATCTTCCATGTCTCGGCGAAGCTTCTGGAATTTTGTTTCCTGTTTCTTAGTTATGTCCAGCTGAGCCAAACTGGTGCCTCCTGCCTCCTCCAGTCTCTCATTCAAGTTTTCCAGTTCTTGAGTGAGGTCAGCTCTCTCCCTCTCCACCTTGGCTCGAGTGGTCCTTTCAACTTCCAGTTCCCTCTTTAAACCTTGTATCTGTACCTGCAACAATAAATAATTTTGACTTTTACTAAGCACTTGTAGCATATTTTATATTGAAGAGTTTACTGAATTTTTGTACATTTTTCAACACTAAGAAAAGTCATTTTACAAAGAAGATAGAATACACAGAAATTAAATGGTTTTCCTCAAACCAGTACAAAGGCCAGAATTCAAATGTGCAGTTGCCCAAATCTTCCAGTCCTTGGTGATGAGCATCTTCATTAAATTCTATACATGGAGGGGAAAGTACAGTAAAGAGCACTTTCCAAAGCAATAGGAAACATTTTTCATATAACAAGAAAAACATTTAAAGCAAGTTAATAAAAACTAACATGATGAATTTTATATGCAATATTTACTCTTCTAGAATTAGCTGACCAATCTCAATTATTGTGAACTTGCGCAAAAATATCTGATGGATAGAATATCTCTGAGTCCAAGCAACTCACTCACAAGAAACAGCACCAGTGTAATTTTACACATAATTCTGACAAACTTGGTTATTTAGCTTCTTAGTTAGCAGGTGACTTCAAGTTACCAGGAGATCTGAAGGAACAAATTAAAATCGGTGGAGGAATGGGGGCTGCTACCGTGAATGGTAATCTGATACCATTAGAGGCAAAATTATTACATAAAGAAAATTAGTGATAAGAACTCTCAGAGCCCAAAACCCTTTTAGCGTAAGGGCAAATGGCTCTACAAATCTCGATAGTGTCACTGTGGTTCAGGGAAGCCACTGATATTCATTAACTATCACCTCGTATAATTAGGCGTAGGTTAGGATAGGGGTAGAAAAGGATAGAATCTATTTTAGAATGTGTTTTCCTTTCCTTGAAATGAGAAAACGTGGATTTCTAGATCATGCCAATACGTAGGCTATCAGATCTGTAGATGAGTTGTGACAGAAAAGGCGCTAAAAAAATGTATGACTTCTACATCCAAGTAAACACGATTCCCTTCCCACTAGTTATTTTGGGATCCAATACCTTTATCCCAAACAATACTATCATTAAACCAAACATTTCTGAAATGTTTCTTCAGAAATAATCTTCAGAGCATTTTTTAAAAATCATCAAGGGAAGAGTATTTGTCTCTTGGATAAATTGAAACTTCTGAGTCTTTTTATTTTGGATAAAGTCAAGTATCATTTGAAGACAAGCCTGGTGAATATGATAGATAATCACTTGGAGATTAATATTGTGTTTGAAATCATGCCTATAAATCAGTGAGACTGGCTTTCTTATTTGGTTCAAAATGTCTCAGAAAATAATTATCAGAAAGAGGCTCAAAATTATTTTGAGTAATGGCTACATTACTGAGATAAATTTTTAGCTCCAAAGGAAAAACATCTATCATACAGATGTATATGCATACAGCATACGTAGGGAGTTGGATATATGTGTGTGTGTGTGTATCCGTACATATTTATATTACTCTAGAACATGGTCAAATAGTATAAAACAGCCACATGATCTAAAACTTATAAATAGCTTCCCATTATCAAATAATGTTTTGAGACTACAAGTAGATATAAAACAGATTTTCGGCACAGAAATAGAATTGCCTGTTAATCACAAAAACTAATCATCATAAAAAATTAAATTGCTAACACTGAATGCTTTCCATGGATCAGGCTCTATGCTTACCACTTAAATGTTCCGTTGCATTTAATAATATTAGCTCAAAGTTGTCAGGAAGATTAATAACCAAAAAAATAAATACCGAGGCTTTCAGCACAATGTTTGGTTCACTGCAAATATTCAACAAATTATCTATGTTGTTATTATGATAAGAAAGCCTAAGTTGAAAAAGTAATTTTCCTGAATCACATTATCTGGGGGATACCACACTTTACCTTCTTAACCACTGCTCTCTTCTGCCTCTATCCATAGTTGGCTAAGGGTCTGGATACCCTGGCAAAGCGTTTGTTATCACCCATAAATCTATATACAGCTACCCACAGGTATTTGAATAAACAATCACCTGAAGCTCTTTAACCATGTTCTGAAGCTGAGCCACCAGGCTTCTATCCTTCTCCACCTTTGAATTCATCTGATTCATTTCTAGTTCTTTCCTGTGAGGGAAAAACGTATTAAATGGAATTGTTGAGATTGATAACGTTTGGCTTAAATATTTTTAAAATTATAGTAATGACACATGAATTCATTCTCATTGTAAAAATCTAACTATTATGTCTTTATCTGGAATCTCCTCAGCAATGACACCCAATCTTTGTTCCTTCCCTACAGATAAACACCAGTAGCAATTTGGTGTGAATCCTTCCAGACATTTTTCTAAGTATTGACATACGTTTGTGTTTATATATTGGTAGAAATAGTTTCACTTTCTTTACTGTGAAAGGCATAATGTGGCATCTGTATTTATAGTTCTGTAACTTATTTTTAGCCCAATGACACTTTGGGGGTGTTCCCATGTTGGCCCACACATAAATTATTTCATTTAAAAATTAACTGTGACATACTATTCCATGACTTAGGCATGCTGTAATTTATTTATCCATTTCCCTATTAGTAAGAACTTAAGTTTTCCCCAATATTTTCCTTCTATAAATAACACTGTTCATATCCATGCCCCCTTGTACACATGTGAGTGTTTCCTTAGAGTGGATACTGAGCAGGGAATCTCTGGGGCAAGTGTAAGTGCGTGCTTAAAAATATATAGCCCTGCCCTTTGCCCTCCAATAGCAGTTTGAGATTCTTCTTCCTCATTTACACTTAATATTAGCATACTTCTAAATTTTTCCTAGCCTTAGAGAAGTTAAAATGTTTTTCTTTTTAATGTCTTTGTTTAACAGTAAGGCAGCATCTTTCAACTACGAGGATTTAAAAAATGGTCCATAAACCAAATAATCTACTTGGTGGTGTCTTTAATCATTGTTCTGCTAGGTTGTTCATATAATTATTGAACTATAGATTTCCTGTTAGTATACTTATTTATTTTCTGACGTCTGCTGCAAATATTTCTCGCATCTTATATCACTTGTTCTGATTTTACTTATGCTGGCATTTGCCACTTAAATGTTTAAATATTTTATATCATTAAACGTATCAAAAAATTCTTTTCCTGTCTCTGGCTTTTGACACTTATTCAAGAAAACTTAACCTGCCATTTTCCTAAGACTTATCACCTAAATTGTCTTCCAATGATTTTTGTTGTGTTTATTGTGGTAAGAACATTCAACATGAGACCTACCCTCTTAACAAACATTTAAGTGCATAATACGGTAAGGCTAACTATGGGCACAATGCCGTACAGATTTCTAGAACTCAGTCATCTTGCATAACTGAAACTGTCTACCCATTAAATAATATCCCTATTTTCCACTCCCTCCAGCCCCTAGCAATCACCATTCTAATCTGTTTCTATAAGTTTGACTATTTTAGATGCCTCATATAAACAAATCATGAAGTATTTGGGTTTTTTTTTAGAATTTTTATTTATTTATGATAGTCACAGAGAGAGAGAGAGAGAGGCAGAGACACAGGCAGAGGGAGAAGCAGGTTCCATGTACTGGGAGCCCGACGTGGGATTCGATCCCGGGTCTCCAGGATCGCGCCCTGGGCCAAAGGCAGGTGCCAAACCACTGCGCCACCCAGGGATCCCGTATTTGTTTTTCTATGACTCCTATTTCACTTAGCATTGTATCCTCCAGGTTCATCTATGGCGTCACACATGGCAGGGTTTCCTTCTTTTTTAAAGGTTGAATAATATTCCACTCTATGTATACACCACATCTTCTGTATCCATTTATCCATCAAAGGACATTTAAGTTGCTTCTATATCTTAGGGATTGTGAATTATGCTTCATTTTCTAATGGTTTTATAGCCTTGTTTTTACACTTAATTCTTTAATGCAACTGGATTTTGTGCATGTGACTAGTGAAAGTTAAATTTCTACCTCACATCTCAGAAAATAGCTAATAACCTCAGCATCATTTATTAAGTACTCTCTATCCAGTCATCACTGATTTGAAATGCTTTCAATGAAATACGTAATACCTTTATCATGTATTAAGTTTTTATATATGCATAGGTCCATTTAGAGGAAAAGTTTTAGAGTTAAAGTTGTACCTTTCTGAAAACACAGATTTCTAAAATGCCAGAGCTCTTTGACTTACGGCCTACAAGGACATGGAACATCATTTTCACTTTGCTGAAGTGAAACATCATCTTAAAACTGAATGCTCAGGGACCTCTATCATGCTTTCACCGTTCCATACATTTATGGGATTACTTATTTCTTCTTTTTCCAAACACCTATCAAGTCCAGTAACTTCTTAGAATATTAATCAAGCCTGAACATGAGCATGTATCATGGCAACTCATGCACACAGACAGAAAGACCAGGAGCTCATAGCTGCTCACTTGACTCCCTTCTCCTTGTGGCTCCAGTGATGGATGTGCTCCTAGCTTTACCCTGACCTTACCTCACTCTTGGGCCTCGCTGCCTCCCGCTCTTATTTGATCTATTCCCAATAACTTGAAAATCCCTAATGGTTAGAATTAAGCCTAGCTCAGCAGGGGATGACAAGAGACAAGAGGAGAAAGTCCATTTCACTGACTAATGAAACTAGACTGAGGGGCCGTCTTGCCTTGAATCCAAGGGAGCTGAAAGCTCCACTCATTTTGATTGTTATGTTTTGCTTTAAACTTTAAAATTTAGTATTTTTTAGGGTAAATTACTTGATAGAAAATGCTACACAAATAACAATGAAGTTAAATCTGGCCAACTTTTTAAAAGTGATCAGAGGCTTATGTTGAACTTTATATTAGAGATTGTTTTGTTTTGTTTTTATTTACTTTTGCTTTATCTTTTTTGTTTTGTTTTTACTTTTTATGCCATTGCACTCATCATGAGTAAAAGAAGTAAGCCATTTTTATTTTTCGACTTGTATTTTGGACTTGTAGCCTCAAATTTCAATAATTTACATCTCATATGCCTTACACTTTTCTTTCCCATCTGCTAGTCAGATACCTTCTCACTCATCATCTTCTAGATTATGCACTGACTCTCTTTTTTACAACCATATAATAAAGTCCAGAAAAAAAAATCATTTCCTTTCCTAGGCTTGTTATCTTCCCCTTCAGGTCTTAAGACATCTGGCCCTGGAGTCACAAGGATAAATGACATGAGAGAGCTGTTCCTTCCAATCTAAGGTCTTCCCGAATGTCAGGTCAACAGCAAGGTGGCTTACTCGCTCAGCTTTCCTGCCAGCTGCAGCTGGCTGCTCTCCAGGTGCTCCATGCTCTTGCGGTGCAGCTCAAAATCGCCCTCCAGTTTGCTCCTTTCCCTCTCACAGTTCATTCTTGCTTTTCTCTCCCGCTCAAGGGCACCCTCAAGCTGACAAAAAGAGGTATTATTTAGCCAAATACATTGGTAAAGTGTATACTTTGCTAGATGTGTTCAGTAACACTTACCTTCTGGAAAAAAGAAGGAAAAATGCACAGATTACGTAAATGTTGCCCAGTGATGTAGATGCTTTAAAATAAATATTGTGTGCATCGATAAGACAACAAAAATCTAGAAATTACGGCGATGAAGGACAACTTTGGAGATCACGCAGTATGAGCTCTGTCCTAAGGAAGGAGCCACTAATAAATAGCCAGTGAGCCCTTGTTTGATGGTTTCTCACTGCTGGGAAGCCTACTTCTTCAAACAGCAGCTCATTTCATGGGTGGATAAGTCCATTTACTCAGGAGTGCTTCCTCCTAAGAAGCCAGAATATTCTCTGTAAATTCTTCCCATGAGTCTAAGCTCTGTTCCCTGGAGCAACACCAAGCAAATCTGTCTCCACGCAATCATCTATGAATATGAGGCAGCTGATTTCACAGGCCCTTTCGTACACATCTCACATGGCATGACTTCCCTATCTCCTTCACCACCTTGGTACCCTCTTCTCATCCATATCATGATGTCATATCCTGGCTCCCCACCAGGGTGGTTGGAATGTCCCAGTGTTTTCTGGATTAGTGTGGTCAACAATACTGAGGTTGGTTTAGCAGGAGGCTAGAGAACACATAAAATATGGCTGTTTGTTCACTGATATATTGATATGTTTACTTTTCAGCAAGAGAAGCTATTTTCTGTAACCAGCAAAATACAGGAAATTCAAATAGGAGGAGGAGGAAGGAAGATTTCTAGAAAGAGTATGTAAAAACCTGAGAGCAGATGAACTCCAGGAGAGACCTAGTGTGTGTTTGTGAGAGAGCGAAAGAGCGAGCGTGCGCGCACACACAGAGTAAATCCTCAGACTGAGGCTTTGTGAGACACACAATCCATGGAAATAGGAAGAAAATTGAGACAACTGATAGAAAGGCATGAGGAAAAAGCAGCAAATAGTTCAAGTAAAAAAGCCAGACCACCCTTGTCAGCAATTTTATAAAGGCTAAGCTTTTGCAACTTCGAGAGCGAATGCATATGCTCTACCAGCTGAGGAGGGAAGGGAGAATGAGGAAGCTACCACAAAGGGTGGTTTAAAACATCTTTATTTCCCAGGGTGTTTGGAGCAGAACAGGGACACCACCTTTAGAATCTGCCAAGTATTTTTCCAAGTCACAGCTTGTGATTTACATATCTTTCCATTATAAATAAGCCTCGGCACAGCACCGGAGACACAACAGGGCCTTTCAACTCATCTCTCAACACTAGTGTCAAGTAGAGAACCAGCTTGTCTGTAGGGCAAAACACCAGGTTCTGCGGGGGCTACAGGAGACAGTCAGTCACCTGCAGGGGTAACCCTTTATGATTCCTCTCGATGCTCTTCCCCCACTGCCCAGGGTTGTATGGAGGTTCCATTTAAAAACTGATTACACGCAGGGGCTTCTCATGTACTGGAGTGCTTCTGTGTACATCGAGAAACAGATAAACCTCTGTTTCCAAATAGTAAAGATACAAGCCATGCTACTAAGTTTTCCCCAAATTGTCAAGATAAATTAAGTAGAAATCAGAGGTTTGGATAGATGCAGATGGCTCACTAGCCAGACACAGCGCTACCTACCTCATCTACTTGCCGTTCCAACTTCAACTTGGCTTTGCTCAGGCTGCTGAGTTTCTCCTCCTCTATGTGCAGGTCGTCCAGTGTCTGCTGATGAGCCTCCTGCATGACCTTGGCTGCTCTGGTAAGTTTGCTGATATCCTCATTTAGAGACTCCACTTCCTCCGTCAGGTTCTTGACCTGTGGGATGACGACAGTGACAGTAGCATTAGAGTTTCTACTGGGAGGGTGGGCATCGTGCTAAGGGCCATCTTGTGTCTTTTCTGGTACAGTCTCAAGAGGTATCCAAGGTCATAAAGAACCAAAGTTAGCCAAATTCCCAATCTCCTGTTAAAAACTCTAAATTCACTTTTTCTTACACACACACACACACACACAGAACGTGTGTTAAGGAATGGGGTATTCTGGTCAAGCAGGTATCAGGATAGCTCATTTGATGGCCAGTTTTCAGTGTGTTGTATTGTTATATAACAAGAACACCACTAAAGGTAGTTTTCTGAGTACTCAGGGGGCACATAGCAATCTTGTCATGTCTCAAACCCTGAGAGTGGCAATGAAAGAAGAGTTCCAGCTGTTAAAATATGCAAAAATGGAAGCTGGCTCTATCAGGCCCACACGCTTTTATGAAAGGGAACCAACGGCACCAGAGTTGCTATTTAATCTGCCAAAATTACAGTGTCATTCCAGAGACCAGTTGTTCATCAGAGGTCGGAAACGGACTCCTCAGCTAGTTTCAATTCATACACAGATGCGCAAGTTAAAATCCTCAAATGAAATGAACGGAATGTCAAAATCCTTAACTGGAATTAACATGACATCCTCAAGGTCGAACTTCAAATTAATCACAGAGCTAGAGGTTCAGACACATCCCAAATCACCTTTCAGTAAACTGCATCACGATCACTCTCCTTCCAGACAAGGATACTCAGAGGCCCAATGAAACTCTTCTGGTCTTTCCACTAGATTTCAGATGTAATAAGACTGAAACAAGTGAAGATGTTTCATTTGGAAAATTAAGTGCGGTCCCATAAGTTCGAATTGGAAATTTGAATCGGGACAGCACACAGGTCATCCGACCCTTCATTTCATGCTGGATCCGATTGGGCCTGCTGTAAAGCTGCGGGCCACCGTGTTCATTCATTTAGGCTGAGCAAGTCTGATACTGGAACCTGATGGGGAGTGGGACTGGGGCGTCCAGGCCCCCCTAACATTATTGAGAAAAGTACCTTGTGCTCCGTAGCACGCTTCTCCTTCTGTGACTTCACCAATATTGTTTCCAGGTCATCGATTTCTTTCTTCAACTCGGAACATTCATCTTCGAGCTTCCGCCCCCTGGCCGTCAGCTCGGAATTTATCTCCTCTTCTTCCTCCACTCGTGCAGACAGCACCTTGACTCTGGCCTCCAGCTGGATCTTGGATTTAATCAGTGACTCACACTGCTCTTCAACATTTGCCAGGGTCTCTTGCTCCTGCCATGATGAGGAGAAAATTGTTGCCAACAGCTGGAAATAATTTATCAGCTAGGCGAAAATGCTGCTTAACGCATAGCAAAGAGATAATTGCCTGCCCTGTGACCAGTACTTTCACCTGCCTTCCCTCAGCAGGTGAAATAATATTCCCAGTTCCCTGATCCTATTGTTGAGAAGTGGAGGAGTTGCTTGTGCTTGGAGGTGCTTTTGATCTTTCGGGCCATTCAGTAGATTAGATTACCTCTTCTAAAGCACTTAATAGAATCCTGGTGGCCTAAAGGAGCTAACATGCCTCCAAAAATCAGTGGCGTACTGCTTAATTCACAGCGTCTGGAAGCATCCACATGGGCATAGAGTCTGAGGTTGATACCTGTTCAGAATACAGTCTTTTAAGAAAGCAGTGTTCCCTCAGATACTAGAATATTTATATTATTGTAAGTGCCCTGATGCACTTGTTTTATATATGTGTGTATCTTCCAACAAGTAGAGTTGTATATTTTTTTTATTTATAGGTTGAAATTTAGAATTCATAAATTTTACTTGCAGGTTACTAACTAGATTTTACTATTATTTCCAAAGAAAATCTTTTCCTCAATGATTCTGTCAGTGGTAAATTCCACAAGTTATACACCAAGTATAAAACAGTCTTTGTTTTTATCCTTTCAAAAATACTGCCTCTAATTCTCCAGTGAGTGACCCATTGTTCCTGTGTTATGGGTCAAGTAAAAAATGAAAGGGTCAATTGCCTTTTTGCTACAAACATGCTTTATAACTTTGAACCCCTCTAATTTGTCTCTGTTCGAGGCTAAATAAAACCCCTTCCTTGTAAGCAAGTTCTTAATTACAGTAGGTCTCCTTGCAACATAACTTCACATCTAGCTCCATCTTCCATCTTTAGACCTTATCATCCATTCTTTGCAATATGCCACTCGTTTTATTTTTTTAATATTTTTTTTATTTGAGAGAGAATGCGGAAGTGGGGGGAAGGGCAGAGAGGGAGAGAGAAATAATTCTCAGACTCCCTATTGAGCATGGAGTCAGATACAGGGCTCAATCCCAGGACCCTGAGATTGTGACTTGAGTTGAAATCAAGAGCTGGCTGCTCAACTTACTAAACCAGCCAGGCACGCTCAGTAATTTATTAACTATCTATTTGCCTGGCTTCAGTTGTTTGAAATGTAAATTGGGGTAGTCACTCAGGAAAACAGAAGGAGGTTCCCCAAAAAGTTAGAAATAGAACTAGCCTATGATCCAGCAATTGCAATACTAAGTATTTACCCAAAGGATACAAATATACGGATTCAAAGGAGCACCTATACTCTGATGTTTATAGATTTATCAACAATAGCCAAATTATGGAAAGACCCCAAATGTCCATCAACTGATGATTGGATAAAGAAGATATGGTGTATATAATGGAATATTACTCAGCCACCAAAAGAAATTTTGCTATTTGCAATAACATGGGTGGAGCTAGAGAGCATAATGCTAAGTGAAATTAGTCAGTCAGAGAAAGACAAATACCATATGATTTCATATGTAGAATTTAGGAAATAGAACAGATGAACATAGGGGAAAGAAAAAAAGAGAAACAAACCATAAGAGACTCTTAACTAGAGAGAACAAATTGAGTGGGGAATGGGCTAAATGGGTGATGGGTATTAAGGAGAGTATTTGTGATGAGAACTGGGTGTTATGCGTAAGTAATGAATCAATTCTACCCTTTTTTTAAAAAAAAAGATGTTATTTATTTATTTGAGAGAGAAAGAGTAGGAGGCAGAGGGGGAGGGGGTAGAGAGGGAGGGGAGAAGCAGACTCCCCCCTGAGCAGGGAGCCTGACATGGGACTCAATCCCAGGACCCTGGGATCATAACATTTAGCCCACTGAGCCACCCAGGCACCCTCAATTCTACTCTGAAACCACTATTACACTATATCTTAACTAGAATTTAAATAAAAATTTGAGGAAAAAAGAGAAGAATAAGGCAAAATTCTAGGCCATTGATTTCTGGCTAACTGTTGAGAATGGCCATCTGCCCAACAAATGGGGCTCAAAGAGGCACAGATGGGGAAGGCATAGAATAGTAAATCTCCAACATCACTGAGGACCAAAAGAAAAGGGATAAATTCAAAACAAACAAAAATGTCAAAGCAGGAAGCATCTATGCAGATCAGAGTAGCTTTCAATGTTTGGGAAATAATGGGAACATTTGATCTTAGTTCACACCAGGTTGACAAGTAGAATGCTTATTTGCTCTATTCCATTCAGCATGTGTACTGGACCTGTCACCATCACTGAATGAAGAAGACAATCCAATCGACCATCATTGATCCCTTCATTAAACATGACAGCAGGACTTGGGGGCCAGCTGAGCAATGGTGTGGCAGGTTAACAGTAAGAACATCCTCTCCCTGATGGCACTTATTCTCATGTACTCATAACATTAATTGGAATGGGTTCCCTCAGTTCTGCAGTATTTTGAGTAAGTGATGGTTTTAAAAAAATCTTTGTTTATTTGATCCCTACTGTGTTCAGCTGTGTTCTTAAAAACAAATAATAATAAAACATATCATGGCTTTGTCAACTTTAAAAATCTCAGTTACAATTTGAACCCCTCTCAGCCTTCCTAGGTTTGCTCAGGAACTGGCTTCCATGCGGTTCCCATGCTTCCCACACTGATCCTTTATCATGTATTCCAGGCTTTTACCTACTACCTCCTGCATGAGGTGGGTCCATTTCTATCTTCTACCAGCTTAGGTAGCACTGACCACTCTCTCTGTTGACAGGGAGAATGATGAAAACTGGGAGGCCTCTCCCCAAGCTGCACAAAACATGGTACTATGAACAGGGATTTTCACAGTATGAATTGAAAGTAGGTGTAGAGTGGGGCCCAAGAATTTGTATTTCTAACAAGTATCTCAGGTGAGGCTGAAATACACTAAAATTCTAGAACCACTGTTATGTTAAATATATATCAGAAATATGGGTTTGGGTGAAATTCTCCTGCAAAATATGGCCTCTTGGAACACATGAATAAGTATAGCCCCAAAATAAAAGAATAACTTGGTAAGTCTAAAATTATTAAATTTTTTCTGCTTTCTGTAAGTTCAAAAAGCAGGAAAAAGGTGTTTTATAATTGTATTGCATAAATTGTATTATAAATTGCATATAATTGTATTGGAACCCAGTATTTATTAACTTAACTCTGTGCTAAGTGGGGTGGAAAATATAATATCAGCGGGTAGAATCTCATCGCTGCCTTTGGGATGTTTGGGGATAACAGCAGTCCTGGTGGTTAGAGAGGAGGAATGTGAAAGGGAGTGAGTAATGGCACAGTGGCATCAGATTGGAGATAGAGGCTCAGATGCCAACACCAAGGGTCTGGAGTCTATAATGCACATATTATAGGATCTGAAACTTATTCATCAGGGAAGCAACATGATGTTTGTTTAAGACAATGGTTCTCAATCCTAACTGGGTATCAGAATCACCCATATAGATGATTTGAACCCATTCAGGGCTTGCTTAATCAAAATACCTGACAGTGGGGTCTAGGCATCTTTCTTTTTTATTTTTTAAATGCTTCACCAGTAAATTTGAGGCAGAGCCAGTGTTGAGAGCTGCTGCTTTAAGAATTGGACTGATTAGTGAGGTTGATTTGGAGTGGAGAAGGGGAAGTAGAGAGGCTAAAATCAGGAAAACCAACTAGAAGCATACTGCAATAATCCTGAAGATTTCAGTAAAGCTTTTCTCAGGATCTACTAAATCCTGTCTTTTGATTTGCTAATGAATCATAGAAAACTTAAATTAAGTCCCAGAGTTTCTTGGCTCCCATGATAGATTGTGCTGCTTTTATATAGTTAAAACCCGTCTAATGGTTTGTCCCCTTTTCAAAGACATCCTGCCAATGAAATCACTTCACTATAAAACAGGGTGTCTCCTTAAGTGTTCCCATTGTGTTTGGTGAAATTCTATAGTATTTGAGAAGCACATGCCTCATTTTTCTCAAGTGAACACTGCCTGCAAAACAAGGGACTCTAATTAAAAACTTGATTTGAAGAACAAATGGTGGGGCCACTCACAGCCTGCAGCTGAAGAAGCAGGTCATTCTTCTCCCTGATGAAGGAGACCTGTTTTGCTTTCAGTTCTTCCCTCTGAGATTCTGACTTCTCCAAGGCTTTTTGCAATTGCACACACTCTTCCTTCAGAGCAACTATCTCCTTTCCCATTTCAGCAGATTTAACAAGAGGCTTGATCTTGAAGAAGAGCCTCATCCAGGGCCAGTTCTTCACAGCCATGAAAACTCTTATGTTCCACTGGATCAAAAGAAGTGCGTCCCTAAATCAAGAGGGAAAAAGAAAAACAAGTTAACCCAGATGATATGAGAGTCATTTTCCCAATCCAGATCCTTAAGAAGCATATCTTCTGAGGAGTCATTAAAATATCTCATTAGTCTTCAAAGCACTTCTACATCTGGGCTCTCATTTGATTCTGGCAAAAGCCCTATGAGGGACTTCTTGAGCTAGCAATATTGTGGGCTAGATGTCCCCAAAATACTCCCACTGCAAACATTCTCTCAATGAGAGCAGAGTCTGAAAGAGGGTAAGAAAGAGGGAGCAAAAAAAACCTTAATGAACGTGTGTATAGCTTGGCCACCTTCATGAAAGGTGGGATCCAGTTTTGGTATTGTAATGATTTATATTTTTATATCCACATGGATAAAGAAACAGGCTGAGACTTTCGAAGAACATCATTCTTAATGAAAAGAAAAATTTTTAGATTCACCACTAGCACAAAGTGATGTCAAAGAGAAGTACATCAGATTTGCTCTGGGCTTAGGATAAAGAAAAAATTCTACTCCAGATTTTTTTTTTTTTATCCTAGACCAGCACCATTGGAATGTCTGAGGTTTAAATCATACTATCCGATCAGTGCAGATGTATGTAAGAATTTAGCATAACCTTTTTTATGCTGGTAATAAACACCCTTTGGGCTTTTGGGAAAGGAGAATGCAAAAGTGCACTGAAGAAAATACCCTCAAATCAAGCACTAGAGAATCTCCTAAAGTCCCTTGGTAGATGAGCTTCCTCTTCAAAATTACAAAACACCTACAGAAAAAAAAAAATCAACCATAAGTGAGGGAGGGCAACTATAATAAAAAGTCTGATTATTCCCCCAAGAATTTTAAATAATTGAACAATCTGGTGGAGACCATAAAATAATTGTTAAAAATTCTTAAAGGCATAGAGGAAAGACTTTAAAAAACAAGAAATAAATGAGCCTTTATGATAAGAGGGCAGAAAGATTTGAAAGAGGACCAAATAAAATATCTGATACTGGAAAATATAGTCATTTAAATCAAATTCAGTGGAAGAATTGAGAAGCTGAATATACACACTGAAAAAAAAATGGGAATTAATAAACCCAAAGCAAGTGGAAGGAAGGAAAGAATAAAGATGAGATCAGAGACTAATAAACTAGAAAGAAAAAACAAAATGAAAAAAGGTGATTACATACTCTATATAAGTATCTGACATAAGTGATCAAGAAAAAGGAGAGAAGACACGAATAAACAGTATTAGAAATAATATTCTAAGAATAATCTAGGATTATGTTTAGAAACATATAGATATGGTAGAGATTAAAAATCATAATCTAGCAAATTGGAAAATTTAAAAGAAATGCACAATTTTTTAAAGGAACATCTAAACCAATTCAAGAAGAGAAATCTCAATAGGCCTATAACTGTTAAATAAATGGAATCAAAATTGAAAAACCCCATCACCATATCTACTTGGTTTAATAGGCAAATTTACCAACCATTCAAGGAACAGATAATCAAAATAAATTGTTTCATGTTTTGAAAAGAAGAAACATTCTCTACCTGTCTTCCAAGGTTAAAGTCGTCTTGATCCAAAGATAGATAACATAGTAGGAGAAAAAAATTACCACACTTATTCATGAAGAATGTTGCAAAACTCCTTATAATACTATAAGCAAATCCATCAATGTATAAAAAAGGTTTTTTTAAAAACAATATTCATGAACAATGTTGCAAAAATCCTTATAATAATACTATAACCAAATCCATCAATGTATAAAAAATGTATTTCAAAAACAAAGTGTGTTTAACATTTTTAAAAACCAACTAATATAATTCAAAAAATGGATAGGTCAATGGAACAAAACTGCGATTGTTTCACTAGGTGGAGAAAAAGAATTTAACCATTTTCCTGGTAAAAGTGTTTTACAACGTAGGATGGAATGAATGTCCTCCATACAATATATCATACCTTTAAAAAGAAAAGTCTATAGTAAACATCATCTTAAAAGGGAAATGATAGCTTTCCCCAAAGTCAGAAATATGACAAAGTTTGGCAGAAGTTTTTGAAGTCCAAAACACCAAAAGTTAGTAATAACCTAGAGCAATGAGATTTTCATACACTTCTGATGATGAGTCAATTGGAAAGCATATTGGCAATATCTCATGAAGATAAGTTGTGTGTAGGCTAAAATCTAATAATTCATACCCTAGAGAAAAGCTACTGAGAGTGTGGGTCTCACTAGCTGCTACCCACAAACTCTCAGAGCATGAACCAACATTTTGAATAACACTGTTCTCAAAAAACTCTCGTACATGTGAAGGGGCAGACATTTACAAAAATGATGCTACAGAGCTGTTCCTAATAGCAAAAAGTCATAAATGAGTTAAATTAACTTGAGCTGGAAAATGAATAAATAAATCATGGTATATTTATACAATGGAATACTATATAGCAGTTAAAATCCATAATCTAGCACTAAATTTATCATTAATAAATTGCAAAAGTAGTTCTGAATATAGAGAATGAATTTCCAGATAATATATGCAGAATATTATATAAATGAAGACTCAAAACAGGCAAAATCATGTAACCTTTTAAGGATATCTGCATATCTCCATAGGATTCAGATCAAAGCAGAAATACACAAGGGGCTTCAACTGTATGTTTATTTTTTTGTAATGTTGTGAGCAACTACAGAAAAATATGTTAAAGGTATGAAAACATACCTTTGTATGCTTTATACACAAAACATGAACGAAACATGGAATGACAACACAAATTCAGGATCTGGGGAACTAGGTATAGGATCTGGATCAAGGGAGAGATATAAAAGGACGTCAATTTTGCAAATATTTTTAAATTGTGAGCAATTATAGAGAAAATGTTAGGAACTCCTAAACTTTGATGATAAGCTCCATGAGTGCACATTAGAATATTTTCTATATTTTTTGTTTGAAATACTTTATGATAATTGTGTAAAGCCATCCTGTGATTTAGAAGGAATGGATAGTAAAGACCTCATTTTACAGATGAAGGAAGAGAACTATATAGAAACTGTAAGACTTTTACCTGAGTTTACACAACTAGTCTTAGAAGCCATGTCTCCCATCCCCAAACTTCCATAAATTCCCATACCATACTGAGCACAATATCAGTCACAGAAAATTCTTAGGAGAGGTCTCTCTATTATCTTTGATATCACTATGTAATGATATTTTCCTTTTTTGGAAAAACAGAAGGAATTAATGATTGTCAATTAAACAAGTTATACCAAGACCTGTAGACTTCTCTCCAGAAGGTTAACTACACAGTAAAAAAAAAAAAAAAAAAAAGCAACAACTGCAGAATCTCTTGCTCACAATCCCTTTGTTTGGAGATTTTGCTAGCTTACTTTCCATGACTCTCTTAAACAATAGGCAAGACCTACACCTTAGTGTCCAAATGTGTTGATAAATGTCCCCAGTGAACCTGCCTGAAATGAAATAAGAGAGTTATGATTACATATCACCAACAGCCACAATTTCTGACCCAGGGGAAGTTGTAAAGTGGTCGGCACACCTCCCCACTCTGTAGCAAATTTCCCCAGAGCTGGCTGTAGGATGCATGCAAACCTTTCCAGTTCTGCTTCTGTTATGAACTATGAGTCATGCCATCCTCAGAGACCCAGACTTCCTTGACTCTAAAGAATCCCTCTCAAGGGAAGCCTGGAAACAATACAAAAAATATCTGAATTACACTTATCCTTAGTTGGATAAGGCAAAAAAAAAAAACAAAAAACAAAACAAAACAAAAAAAAAACCTTATGCTCTGTTTGTGTTCCAGGATTTAATTTTTAAGTGAAGTCCCAGCCTAAGCAGGTTAGCAGCTCTTTACCTTGACCTATTATAAGAAAATGAGATGAAATCACACTGATTCAGGCACAGCACCACTCTAGCAGATGAGGTGTAGGGGAGGGATATCCTACCTCTCTTGCAGAATCCTCTGGAACTTGATTCGCATCAATTTGCCCCGTATTCTGGCTTGGAACAATGTAAAGACTTTAGATAGTCTCTCATCCCTCATTGCTTCCAGTTGTTCCAGAAAGCCAGCTTTTAAAAACACCTAAAAGAAATAAGTTAGATGTTAGTTCCACTCATAATGGGTATTTATTAGATGTCTACCGAATGACTGTATGAACAACTGGTGTATTCATTGATTAGTCATCTGTCTTGCTAAGTTTTACTCAATGTGTAAAATGTACATTCTAGAAAGTTTGGTTTTACAAATGTAAAGTTTGCAAAAATATTTTATTTAACCCTGTAGTTATTGGTCCCTATGGACTATGCTCCTCCTCGATAGGAGATCGAGGGAACCTGGTTTAAGTTTTAAGACAGACCCAGCCAGGCAGTGCTCTGAAGTGCCAGACATGGGTCTGCAAACTTTTCTATAAAGGGCCAGAGAGAAAATATTTTGGGACTTTACAGCTCACATAGAATTTTCATAGATCTATAGAATCTTCTTCATCTCCTCTTTTCCTTCATTTACCTCCTCCTCATCCTTTAAAAAACAAAAACAAAAAAACCCAACCATTTAAAAATGTCAAACCATTTTTAACTAATGGGCCATATTAAAAATAGGTTGTGGAGATGGCCCTTAGGCCAAAGTTTGCTGATCTCTTTCCTAGAGAAAGTCACTTTGTCTTAGGCATTATAGAATCCACATAAACACCTTTTCACGAATTATTAGCAATGGCCAAGATGAGGTGAGTGAGGTGTCAGGCACAAATTTTAAGGAAGCACTCACTTTCAGGGTTGTATAAGTCAGTACTTACATAACCCTAATAGCGAGTGCCTTCTTAAATTTTGTGCCTTAGGAGGCTCTCTTGCCTCTTGCTAGTCTCAGTCTAGATTAGTAGTATACAGCAAGAATAATTAAGCCCACAAGGAAATAAAGGACGAGTAGTGGCAATCAGCAGAAACAATGACACCAGAAGCAGATTCTCAGGCACTCAAAATGTGGGAGTCAAGTACCATTTTATAGTCATGTCCTATGGAGCTCTTCTTCTGTGAGCTCTTAATCCTAGACCCTCCAATTCTCTTTCTAATAATTGGGTCTTTCCAAGTCTGTCATTAGGAACCACCTGATGTCGACCATCAAATGAAACCAAATCTATTAGTCAGACATTTCCCATAATATACGGATCATACCAAAATCATCTAAGGCAAAGCCGAATTTAGCCAACCACATTTAAAGAACTTAACTATGGATTAATTTTTTGGATGGTGAGGTTGACCTTAGCATTTTTAATTACTCATATAGTCTTCTAGAATTAATTCCCTAAAAGAGTACTTGCAGACTAATCCGTTCAACAGAGACAAGCAATTTATTCCAGTAAGTTGAATTTACCTTTTTCTAGCCCTGATGTCTCTGCACATATTCTAGCACACTGAGGTTGATTCAATATTTTATAGCTTGGCACAAACTTACTTAGATGAATAATTATAAAAATGTAAATGTAGTCAAGACTGAGGGCTGAAGAAGCATTGAGTTTTCTCTCAAATAGCATTGAAGTTTCCGCTTTCAACTGAGCTCTATTTGTGTTATTTGTGGTCACAAGAACTGTAGAGTGCCTTATCATGGATATTTTAGGATACACACTCTTTCCTCCCACTCTTTTCCAAATGCATTCTTCCTAGTTTTCCGGTTACCTTAGTGATTCCAAAGCGGTACTGGATATGGTCTATCTCCAATGAGCCAAGTAATTCCTCAGCTGCTTTTCTGCTGCTTACAAACCTACTCTTCGGAAAGGCTCTTGGGTTCAGAATGCAGTACCTAATTGAAATAGATAAAGAATAAATCCTGGGGTCAGGGAGGTCACATGATTCAAATAAAGAATAATCTGAACAAATGAGGTAAAGGAGGTACAGACTTGTACCACTCCTATCAATATGTTCGATTTTCACAAAACTCTGGGCAATAATGAGGATACAAGTAATAATCTCTTACTTTGGCATAATAATTTGTACTTTTCATAGTCCCTTGGAGACAACATCATTTGAGTCTCTGCTCAATTAGGGAGGGAAGGAGAGATTGGGAGGCAAAGGGAGGGGAAGAGGCAGGCTTATGGATCTCCGCTGTACAGATAAGAAAGCTGAAAAGCAGGGACATTAAATGTGTCTTCCAAGATTTCTTCACCCTAACAGTGAGCTAGTGCAGAACTAGAAATATACCTCTTAACCTTGAGACAGGTTCCCTTTCTAGTCTACCATACTTGGCTCAAATTTGCTTGATGACCTATAATTTAGACTTTTGGAATTCAGAAAATAGAAAGCAGAAATGCCTCTCCTGCCACACACCCTGCTGGGTTCCTTTCTTTCACAGGCTTGCTAGTAAAGCAACAGCCTGCTTGGAAGGCAGCTACGATTAAGTACACACAACATTTCAGAAATTCAATTCAGCCTCCATGTCTTTCTTCTGTATATATTTCTTCTATATGTGGGTCTATTATCCGTTAATAGAGATTTAAGGATATTACAGCTACATGGATGTTGGATTTAAGGGGAAGTAATAATGGAACTCTGTCGTCATATATCTCACCACCACCAAAACACATCGATCTGTAGTCTGGAGGCCATCAACCAAACAAACAATGCATGCCTAAACACTCAGAAAGAGAGGAAAACAGAATGGGCTACCTTAGGCTCCTCGGATCCTGGGATGGATGTTTACCTTTGTTTAAAATCAGCATATAGCAGTTGGTTCGGAAAACCTTCACAGCATATCCTGATCCCTTCTAAGACACCATTACAGCGGAGCTGCTGCAGAAGCAAGTAGGGATCCAACTCACCTGAAGCAAAAGGATCCTGTTCAGTCTGTGTCCAAAAGAACTATTACCCAAGATCTAGTCCTAATTGCACATCTTGGGATTTAAAAAAGTTTGAATTTGGTGTTCTCTATATAAAGGGTAATAGGAGTTCACTTCACTCCCAGCCTGATGTCACTAACAGTACCCATCCTATCATGTAAGAGTCTCGAAATAGGATTTACCTGAAGTTTCTTTAATACCTAATGAACCCTTTAATTCACAGTTAGTCAAATTTTATAAGCAAATACACCTAGAAGATAAAGAATACATTTTTGCTAGGATTATAAATAGCTGGTTTTACATCCATTCTCTGGCTTAAAACCAGCTAGAGAGGGGAAATATGAACACAAAAGGGAACTGCCATCTCCAGTTAGGAAGGGAAAGAGATTACAAGAAGGAGAATATAAGAAAAGGAGAAGATAAGCACAGCCACAAAATTCTGCTTATTATTTTGCCTTATGAAGGACTTGGTCACATCCCAGTCTACATTCTCTGAGAGAGAGAGAGAGAGAAAAAGAGAGAGAGACCACCTATGCTTTATTCTATACCATAAGCATCCTCCTATCACCTCCTTGTTTATCAGATGAAGTCCTACTAAAGCTGCAGCTGCAATCTCAGAGACAAGCCTTTGAAAAACCTTCCAAGAAGCCACTGTGTCTCGCTTTCAGAAAATCTGCTGGAAGAAGCCAAATAGCATTCCTCCTAAGACAAAGGCCTACAATAGTATTATAAGAAAAATGGAAAGGAGATGAATCTTTGCTTATGTCCAGGGTCACAGAAATAAACTCTAAGCCATATATCCATATTCCTGTACTCCAGTCCCTTTGATAGACAGGACAGATGATCTGTAAGAAGGGGAACAAGTGGAGCTCTATGACCCCAAAAGATCAAGCATGCTCATTCCCTTTAAGTACATATGAAAAACTGTCTTGATTAGATCATGAAGCTTTTCTTAGGACTTTGTCTTATGACTTAAAAAAAAAAATCAACTGCTAAAATCAGAGCTGACTCGATGGGAGACAACTCTAATAGGTAACAGAATTGCTCCAAAATAGAGGCAGCTAATTAGATTTCTTGCCAAATGGAAGCAGTGTCCCTGGATGCATTCAGAAACCCAGCTGATAAGAAACAATGAGGCAAAAACATACAGCGTCGATGAACATGAAGTGTTTGTGTTGCAAAAACCCAAACTGCAGCATCATTGTTTAGTATCACACTTTCCCAAAATAGGTCACAGACTGTCAAGACTGGGGTCCTAATTACAGGAGGTTAATAAAAATGCAAGATACTACAGAACCTCAGAAATTAGAATCAGCAGCATCTGGCTAGCTATATATTCCAAGGGTGATTAGAGCTCTGAAGACATAAGCGTGTATCATATACACAACTTTGAAGGTGACAGTCTCTGACCAAGTTTTATAGAAGCCTGTAATTCCAAAAAGAAGTCTGAGAATCTTCAAACACATGATGTAAGGAAAAGAATCCATGTAGTTAATACCCATAAAAACTTTGTTTTGGCAATTAAGAACAAAAAGTAATTCACCACCCACCACCATCCATTCATCAAAAAGCATCCAGTATAATAGCCAAGACATGGAAATAAACTAAGTGTTCAGAGATGGAAAAATGGATAAAGAAGATGAGATATGTGTACACACACGCACACACATCCCTGCATACATATACACATATACACAATGGAATATTATTCAGCCATAAAAATGGAGAAAGCCCAACCATATGCAACAACATGGATGGACCTTGAGGTCATTTTACTAAGTGAAGTAAGTCAGGCAGAGAAATATAAATATTGTATGATCTTGCTTATGTGTGGAATCTAAAAACAAACAAACTGATGGAAAAAGAGATTAGATTTGTGGATTTGGAGGGGAAGTGAAGGAGGGAGGGGAAATTAGACCAAGGTTGTCACAAGGCACAGACTTCCAGTCATAAGATAAATAAGTATTAGGGATGCAATGTAAAACACAACGGGTATAGTTAACACTGTTGTATGATATATTTGAAAAGTTAAGCATCAAGGTAGTAAAGCAAAGAGAGTCAATCCTAGGGATGCCTAGGTGGCTCAGCGGTTGAGCATCTGCCTTGGGCTCAGGGCATGATCCCAGGGTCCTAGGATCAAGTCCCGAATCAGGCTTCCCATGGGAGCCTGCTTGTCCCTCTGCCTGTGTCTCTGCCTCTCTCTGTGTGTCTCTCATGAAATCTTTAAAAAGAGAGAGAGAGAGTCAATCCTAAGAGTTCTTATCACAAGGAAAAAAAATATGAGATGATAGATGTTAATTAAACTTGGTAATTATTTCATGATATATATGTCAAATCATTATGCTGTATACCTTAAATTTATACTGTAGTGCTGTATGCCAATTATATCTCAATAAAACTGGTATGTGTGTGGGGGGGAGAAACATTAAAAATAAAACCATCTATTCACTGCTCACAAGTACATAACTAAAGAGATGTGTGCTATTAGGGAGAGGGAAGATTAGCATTGGGAAGGAAGGCTAGAAGGGGTTCTTAACAATTAGAAATGGATTTAGGAACTGTCTTCATGGTCGATTTAGATAATTCAGATCAAATAATTTCTTATATGCTGAAATATCTACCTTATTTCCACCATCGATTATCTAATCCCTTTTATTATACTTTGCCCTTGTAGACAATGGCATAGAAACTCATCCAGGTTTTAGCATAAAACTTAAGGAAGAATTTAGATGGTAATATCAAGCATTCTAATGTTAACCAATTGAATTGGCCTTGTGAAATCCTTCTGCACATCCACTTGAATCTCAATCCAAAAGCAATCTTGAGGAGGTTCAGAAGACCTCATTTTTAAAGTTACTTTCATTTTTCTACTTGAAATCTACTCTAATATAAAAGGAACTGGTAAATTTTCTTAAAAAAAAAAAAACATTCAACATAGCGTGAATCAAATGTATTTCCTAGTGTGGATTACAAAGAAATCTAGTTCTTACCTGGTATTTTGTTCACATTGGGATTTATGCATCTCACAAAATGAGGTGCTGTTGATTTCAGCTTAGTCATCAATTTATTTAGGTTTTCCTTAAATAGAGACCGTAAGAAACACAAAATCACTTTGCAAATCACTAAAAACACCAATCTACCTAACAATTGTCTCCAAGTCTATCAACTTAATCATAAAGCCAAGATGCGTATCAACAATAAAATAATGAATTCAACATTCTTCCCTGCTTACTAAACCATACATTATTTCTTTCCTATGACACGTCAATATTTATCTGACAGATACAGTTCTGTTGTGAATCCTATCTACCTGTTTTGAATTTGATAGCAATAATTTATGGCTGGGCAATCAAATGACTTGAACACAAACTGTTTCTCAAGTTTTCTGTATGGAAAGTTTTTCTTAGGTCAGGTTCTTTGGAAGCAGTATCTGACTTGGGTTTGAGTGATTTACTCGAGAAGCAGGGGAGGGGAGGGGAAGAAAAAAAGCAATGATTTGTATTCGAAGTCGACTGTGATCCCTGCAGGAGCTCTGAGCACAAATGGACCAATTGCACCACAGTTGGTCCCCACCTTGATGCAAGAAAGGAATCAGAGTCTGGAGGGATGAGTAAGGAGATAGCTAAGCTTCCTATTTGGCCAGTGGCAATTCTGGCACCTGTGAGTTGCTACGAGCCAACATTCTCATCAGCTGGAAGATGGCTGACAAAGGGGACCTAAGTGAGACAACAACAGTGTCCACTAAAACCCATTAATATCAACGTAAACGCCAATTTCTCCAACTTGACTAACTTTAGATAGATACTTTTCCCTTATTTGAAGATGTGAAATTTCAAGTAAGTAATAACATATGCAGATTGTGAGGCAGTTAATATATGAATAGATGCAATTAAAAATTACTTTATGCAGAGATGCAACCATTTGGAATGAAACTCCTCTCTTGCGCTGCTTTTCCCCAAACTGTAGAGCTAAAAAAAGAAGAAAAAAGCATTTAAAAAGCTCTTTTTTGTCACATTACCATACCCTGTTGATGAAAGTATAAATTTGTCAAGTTCTAGAAGCAATATGGCAATATCTACAAAAAGCTTTTAAAAATATTTGTCTCAACACAAATGTCTATTTCTAATGCTCTTCCTTAAGGAAATAGGCAACTGTGCAAAGACACTTGCTGCAGCATTGTTTAGTCAGTGTATAAATCAAACAAAAAATAAAGTTATCAAAGCAAATATCTATCAAGAAGAGATTGACTAGTTAAAGTATGAGTATGTATACAGTGAAACACTGTGGCCTTTTAAAATGATGAGGAGGATCCATATAACTGAGATGGGAAGATCTCTGGGATTTATTTTAAGAGAAAAAATAGGGTATAAAAGTTTGTGTGTTATGATCCTGAGTGTTTATACGTGTGTCTGAGTGTTAATTATATTTTTAGTGACTATATACATAAAAAACATCAGGAGGAGCATATACCAAAATGTTAGCAATTGCTATCACTCTATGTGGAATGATAGGTAACTTTTATGTTTCTCTTATTTTTCCATATTGTCTGCATTTTTGGCAACTGTCATGCACCACTTTTATAATTTATAAAAAACCATCTATTTCCATTTTCTTGAAGCAAAAGGGTCTATGCTAAGCCAAATTATTTTACAAACATTTTTGTAGTGCTAACTCGCAAAGATGTACAACAACAACCACCGCAAAACTCCCAGGCAATCTGGAAAAACTGGACCAGCTGTCAACACGAAAAGCAAAATATTGTTTGCACCCGAGTAGCACTGGGACAGATGTCCTAGCTCTTAATCACTAACGTCCTGCTGACATGCCCCAGACCCTACAAGTCAATCACTGGACCCCTTAGTACTTCAGTTTCTCCACCTATGGAAAGAGAATACTACTACCTTCCATTATTAATTTTTTAAAACAATTATACCTCTGGTTTAAAGTACCTGGATTCCTCAGAAGAAAGTATGGTTATTACGGGTAATTTAGTGTTTGGATGAGTGAGAAACGTGGAGGCAAGTATTTTCAGGGGGTGCTTAAAAATTACCCCAAAAAAGCACATTCTGGACAATTATTCTTTTCTGCTTCCCAAGGACACAGCACAAACCCTGAAGAGTTTGAAGATGATTTCCTGTCTGCTTCTATCCCAAATCCCTGCCTGATCTCTTATGATCAGAGAATGACCCATCTGGGAACTGTAAGCTTAGGAGTCACCATCTATCCAACTGCTCAGGGGCACTTTAGAAGCCATTAGAATCAGGCAAATGCACTGCCTGGAGATGATGAGGGCCCAAATACAATAGCCTTCATTTCTCAACCTCCTCTTGAGGCAGGCCAACAGAATTTCATGTCTGCTCTGAATTATGTCATCTGTGCTGATGAAGCCAGAAGTGCCAACTTCCTTCTCCATTTCCTCACCACGTCAATCAGGGGACCCAAATTAGCCTGCCGGAGCCAGGAGTTAACTTAAAGCTGGGTGTGAGATAACAGGACAGTTGAGGAGGTTAGGAAATGAGAATGCACACTCCTTCAAGAAGAGCTGGTACATGTTGCTCCATTGCCACAAGGGTGTCTGAACCCAGGCTGGACAGATTTTTCTATTTTCCCATGTTTTCTACTTTTTGTGAGAAAAAGGAAATGCAAATGTGTATGTGGAAACTTCTGATTTTTTAAACCGTGCGGACCAAACAAAACATGTCTGAAGGCCAGGTTTGGCTCAAAGGCTACCAATCTGTGACTTTTATTATGATTCATGGAGAGCTTCCCTCTGTAGCCAGCAGCCAGTTGTGAGGCTGATGTTCTCCACATGGGCTCAGTATCCTCAAATCTGGTGCAGAAATCTGAATTATGTCCTAAATACTCGTAGCCTGTACATCTCTCTGTCTTGTTTCTGGAAGACAGTGAGAGAAGTACAGGCACTAGGCCAGGAAGCAGAATTCCTGCTTCCTACATTGGTTTTGCATTTACTACTGTTAAATTAATTAAACAAGGAGGCCCTTAGACTGATGTGGTTCTAATTCCGTAGTGACCTATATCAGCGAGCCAAAATCTAAGCCTATAAATGTCCCAAGGTTACAGAATCAAAACACTAGGGACAACCAATCACAGTCGAGTAGGCTTTAAACTACAACCAGTCAATAGCTTCCTTATTTTGCCTCCACCTTCTCTCCATAAAGTATCTCCCTGAGCTCCGTCAGTGGAGCAGTCTTAAACACTGAGGGTTTGACTTGAATCAAATGAATGATGTCAATCAAATGAGTCACATTTTTGCTCAACTAAATGCTTAAAATTTTTTTTAACATGCTTCAATTTATCTTTGATCAGTAGATTTGTGAAATCAGTAGATGCTCCTTAACTCTTCGTAGTTGCCCCTGTAAGTAAGGAGACATTTCCCTTTCACTGTATCTGAAAGGGTCATGGCAGGGACTAAGATAATATATCTAAAAGTGCTTTGTAAATCACAAACTACTAAACATGAGTAGTTATTCGTCGATCAATAAATATTTATGGAGTGCCTGCTAAGCAGGCATTTGCTACATGCTTGAGGCTACAGTTAAACAAATCAGACATAATCCCTGCCCTCAGAAAGCTTATCATAACCCCAAGTTACTATAACACAAAAGCACTGTGAAGGCGAACTCCAAGACACTTGGGGGAATATAGATTAAAGAGGCTTGTTATTTCCCCAAAATCATTTATCAAAATACAGTTTGCTGCTCCCTGTTTGCAGCAGGGTTGAGTAGGAGCTAAAAGTGGACCAAAGCAGGCTCCCTGAATTACATCTATCTTAAAGCACCATTTCCCTGAAGAACCGCCAGCCTGAGGACAGAAAGGCTAATAAGAGGGGATGACTCAGACCATGGGAAGCAGACACAGATATCATAGGAAAGAGGCAAGGTTTTTATAAGCACCGAGGCAGCCATGGGTTCCATTCTGAAGCTGAAAAATTAGGGAAGATTGTTCAACTCACCATTGTCAGTACCGACGCGATTTTCAAAAAGATTTGCCAGGAGTCTGTTTGAGGACTTCTGAAATACAGCCACCACTGTTTCATTAAGAAGGTCTTTGTTCTTTTCAAGCCAGCCACTAATGTTATAAGGCACCTTTAGAAAGGCATGCAGTTCGGGTAACAAAAGAAGAGAATGCATAAATTAACATAGCAAACTGTGCATTACTTTTTTTAAAAAAAATCATAAATTGTATGGGTCCTTTAACTTTAAATTGGTTTGAGGTAACAGTACTGAATAATACTCCAGGAGTCCATTGTGCAACCCGAAGAGATTCTCAGGCTTTACCATTTTTACACTGTGGAAAGAAAGGAAGAGAAGGGGAGGGAAGGGAGAGGGAGAAAGAATTAACTGGTATTTCCAGTAGAAACAATTCACATCAGCTCTCCCTCACAGGCAAGACTAGATGAAATAATCCAATTGTGTCTGACACACTGAACATTCAAAAAAATTAGCAATTGTAATGATATTTTACTGTAAATATCATTATAATTAATATTCCAGGATGTGAAGGAAGACAATGACAAGCACATCTATGTACAGTTGGCAGGTCATTTTTAGAATGAAGAATTATTATATCCATTATCAATTGTCTTTGTTATACCCGGAATCACTGACCAGAAGCTGAAAAAGGAGGCAACACACACACCCGTGGGGAAATGAGAAGAAACAGGGAGAGTCATTAGAAACCTTTGTCGGCCATAGTTTGGAGGCCATTACTTCACAGTAACTATCTCTTTATGAGAGAGAGGGGAAAAAAAAAAACTTCAATAAAAAAGATCAATTGAAATCACTCATTCACACAATGTTAAGTTAAAAGGACGGACGAATATGGAAAAACCCATGACTTTGATAATCTCCATGACTTTCTGAAGCTGACTTACTTTGAGTTGGGATGACAGAGTCTATTTTGAGATTTCTAACCTTTGTGCACATGGAATACTATTATAGTATGGGTACTTCATTTCCTAGGTGCTAAAAGGCTATGCCAACTTTTTTGCTGGAACTGAGATTTTTTTTTTTTTTGTTCATCTCTTCATTTAATCTAAACTTTGCTTATGTATTATCTAGGGACTTTGGCAGAATGCATTTGAAATAGAGTCAGGAAAATTCAGGGCTCAGTGTCTAGAGGCAACTTACCGCTCCTGCATAATGGACAAGCTCAAAATGAGCTTCACATCTCTTATCATCAGGCTTGGGCTTCTGGAAATGAACCGACTTCCCAAAATGGTGGTCAAAAAGTTTGGTCTGGAAAGTCACATCTGTGGCCTGAGGAAACATACATTCCTCCTCGAGGATGGAAAGGATGCCCATTGGCTGTTGGAGATACATACGAACAGCAGATGAAAGAAAACACCAGGACACAGTATTTTTCAAAAGGGAGGAGGTCGGTGTAAATTCCTATTCCAGGAGACGAAATCAGTTGACAAAGGGAAAGAAGGTTCACCACATACAACTAGTCAATCATTCACTCAACAAATATTAAGTATGTACTAGGTGCTGGGCACCAGTAGGAGCTGGCGATGTAGCCATGAGCCACATACACAAAGTGCCTGTCCTCAGAGTGACTACATTCTAATGAAGTAGAAAGTCAATAGTCCGGTAAACACAAAAGAAATAATTTAGTTTCACATAAGTGTCCTGAAGAAAATATACAAAGGAAAGAAATAGAGAATGACGGGGGTGGGGAGGGGAGCAACTGGGAGCTGTTTAAGCAGGATAGGTAAAACCCTCTGACCTGGACCAGAAGAGCAAATCCTGAGGTCTGTGTACAAGTACTCTTGGCAGACAAGTAATGACTGCAAAGGCCCTGAGGCAGGAACGCACTTGGCAAGTTTGAGGTCCTACCAAAGGCAAAGCGGACAGACCTAAAGTAGTCAGATGGCACATGTGGTAGGAGATGCAGCCAGACATGTAAGCAGTATTGGATCCCAAGAGCTGTCCAGGCCATGCTAAGACATTTGAATTTTAAGTGTAATGGGAGGTCTTTGTAGATTTTTTAATAAGAAGTGATGTGATTTGATGTTTGCTTCAAAAGGGTCACTGTTTTTGAACAAGGCTGGCAAAGTAGAGCCTGCCGGCCAAATCCTGACTGTGGCCTGTAGAAGAGACCCAATGAGCTAATAACGGTTTTTACATATTAAAAGGGTTGCCAAAACAAAAACAACAAAAGAATATGTGGTGGAAAACTGGTGATCCTACACCCCATCAGCAAACCTTTTCTTTAAAGGCCCATGTAGGAAACAGGCATTGTGGGCCACAAGTTTCCCACTACACCCCTGCCATCCACTCAGCCATTTCAGGCCTGAAAACAGCAAGTGGTGATATGTAAATAAAATGAGTGTGACAACGTTTTATTAAAACTTTATTTACAAAAACAGGCTGCAGGCTAGATTGGGCCCCCAGGGACCTAGTTTGCTGACCCCTGGTCTAAATCGGCGGTAGTGTCAGAGATGGTCAGAAGTCATCAAAATGTGATATAGCTTGAAGGTAAAGTGGAGTAACAACCTGCTGAGGGATAGAACGTGGGTTGTAATACAGAAAGAAAAATGACCAGGTTCTTGACTTGAGCAAATGGGTCATGAATGCTGCCATTAACCAATGTAGGGTACGTACACATAGGGAAAAACAGGGTTGGGGGGGGGAGAAAAAAAAATCAAGGATTCTAATATTTATTATTTATATATTTGTATATTCATTAATTTATTCCACAAATATTTTTGTAGTGCCTTCTATGAATAAATCACTGTACCAGACACATCAGGTTATATGAGGGTTGTGACTCCAGAGCATCTAACCAAGGAGGCAAAACGTGTATGTGGGTGTACAACAAAGCACACAAAACAAAGTATAAAGAAAACATCATCAGAATTCTGAGACTCAACAGGACCCCTTGGTCCAACAGCATAAATTTCATGATTTTCCACCAACACTTTGTACCTAACAACCATAGACTCTCAGGTTTGGGAGGGACATGAAAGGTCTGGTCCAATCCACCTAAAAGTTCCTTGAATTCCCTTCATAATTTCCTTCTAAAAAGCTAGCTAGTTAATGCTTAAATGTTTTCATGGCAAGAGAACACACCAACTCCCGGCCTAGGCTCTGAATGGGTAGATACATTAAAAGAAAATTTGTTTGTAGTTTAGATTTTGTTCTAAATTATCCCACCGAAGCTATACAAATGGCTCTAATTTGTCAGAGTAGTGGATCATCAGATATTCAAAGATCATATTTTTTTTAAGGTTTTATTTATTTGAGAGGGAGAGAGAGAAAGAGAGCACGAGCAGGATGAGGGGGAAGGAGAGAGGCAGAGAGAGAGGGCGAAGCAGACTCTCTTGCTGAGCAGGGAGCCCAGCACAGAGCTTGATCCCAGGACTCCGGGATCATGGCCTGAGTCAAAGGCAGATGCTTAACTAACTGAGCCACCCAGATGCCCCTAAAGATCATATTTTTGATCCATCTGAGTCTATTCTTGTAATACATGGATTGTGATTTTCTACCTCTTTTGTATGTTCTCCTAGATTTAAAATCCACATTCCATAGAAAGCATAATTAACAACATTTCGCTACTAATTCTTGGGCTGGAGAGTTCTCGGACATCTTCCTCCCAAGCATCTAGGTGGGGAATGAATCTGCTTGCTCCTGGCAGCAGTGACCTTGCGAGTTCTTGGCAAAGTCAGTAAGTGGAGGAGCATGAGAAGGTGGAGGGAGAATCTGAAAAACGAAATAGTTGTTTCACCAGGGTAAGCTTTTGGAGGCATGGATTCCATCTAGCACCACAGAGTTTCCTGCCGTACGTGCAGTCAACCCTCAGTGAAAACTGGGCTTATTTAAAAATTTAAGCATCTCCTGGGATGGTGCCTGCTAACAACAGGGTCGCAGCAATGCCTCATGAGGACGACAGGCTCCATCTCAAATAATTACCTTCCATACATCAGGGCCGCCATCATGCTGGGCATCTAATAGAGCCAACTGCCATTGGGGGATGACTGGAAGCTTTATTATTTTTCTTTATTTTCTTTCTTTCTTTCTTTCTTTCTTTCTTTCTTTCTTTCTTTTCTTTCTTTCTTTCTTGACTGGAAGCTTTATGCTAAGCAAGAACATGTCATAGTTTGAAATGGAACAACTTGACCACTGATGAAGGCAGACAAACACTTTTTTTCAGAGTCTTCTCCATTTTTCCATTCTTCAGGAGGTTTAAAGCTTCTGATAAATATGAGGCCTTCGGGCAAATTAATTTCCAAATAGGTCAGGAAAGAAGACTAATTATGTTCTTCCCTATGGCATCAAATGTCCTCTGTGGCGCAGTAAATGACTGGAATCAGGTGCCCTGACTCCGAACCTTCAGGCTCTAACCTCTCCCTCCTCAGATGTTATCAGTCCTGCCTTCTCTCCTATGAGGTCTATCACTTTCTTACTATTTCCATTTCTGTTGTCCGGATGCAGGACCTCTTTCCTTCTCACCGGGACTGCTCCACCAGCCCCCTGAACTGCCTCACCTTTGGCCTTTCCTTCCGTCCCAGACCCTAGACACACACCCACAGAATAAACGCAAGCAGCTCTGACTGCCCCATCACCCAGCACAGAAGCCCTCTTTGGCCCCCACTGCCAAAAAATAAGGGATAAACTACTTAGAGTCTCTTCACAACCTTCCCTTCCTTTCTTCCAGCTCCTCCTTTCTGTGCATCCTAGACTACCTAACGTTTTGGAACGTGGCCTTTGCAGGCACTCACCCCTCTGCCTTAGCTCTTGCCAGGGCTTCCCTCACTAGCTTCCTCTCTTCACCTGCTAAAATCATAATCATTTCTTAAGCGCCAGCTGCAATTTTACACCCTTTCCAACCGGATCTTCCAAGATTCCCACAGGCAGAGGCGACTCCTGCTCTTCTGGGTTCTGTGGGCCTTTGTGCCTTTCTGCATTTATACTGAGACATATTTTTACACTGATTAGACTTACAAATCTCCTACTTGACTGTATACTTCCTAAGGGCAAGTGCTACTTATAACAACTGCTTAAGTTTTCGACAGCATTTAATTCAAAGTCTTCTACACGGTAGTGTGGTATTAGGCCTAAAATTAAGGCCCAACATTGTGTGTGCCCTGACATCTGGGGAAAATTGGGAGGGCCTCAGGGGATCCGATCACAAGTTCCCCTTCCCATCGTGCTTCATGGTCGAGGTCCCCTCGCCAAACAACCGTCCTAATCATGGGACGAGGCACAGTGCCTATTTCCTTGAGTGATGGGTTTCAGACCTCTGCCAGCCAATTACTCAACCAAGCCAATCACATCCTCTCTTGAGAATCAACAGTCACCTCACCCTATTCTTACTATAAAACCTGCCTCCCAAGCCCCTTTTACTCACTCTGCTCAAGAGTACAACCACCACGTGGCCATGCATGGCATGCAGCACCCTCTTCCTTTAGGGAGTGTGTGTGGCCACTAGGCTGTTGTCAACCTCACCTGTTCAGGGTCAGGTCCTGAGTTCAGCCATCCCTCCACCCCAGGGCAGGAATCCCTCTCTCACCAACAAGATGACAAGGAAGTGATCAAAACAAGTAGTTGCTAAATAAATTTACTCATTTGTTTAATCAAAAAAAAAAAAAAAGTAAAAGTTTTGGTCTCAGGAAGATGCCTTTCTGATGATACCCTATGTTCCTGTACAATGGGCTGATGCCTCTGACTCACATTTCTCACAGCCCTTAGCATAAGTAGGTTCTGTGGGGACTGAATGTAGGTCCCCAGCCAAGTTCTGTTAAATAATTGATTGGCAGGTGAGCACCAAGACATCTAGGTTTGAGGTTTGGGATCTGGGCCGCTTTGCTGTGGGCAGGAGTCAGGCAGAAAGAGTTGTAACCAAAAGCTTGGAGTGATGCGTTTCAAGGAAATACTCATGGGTGTACAAAAGAGAACTCGATATTAATGGGATTCATTCTATAATAAGAAAACCAGACTTAGCATACCCAAAGAATGCCAGCTGGGAGACAACAAATGTATTGCCAAAATGCTACCAGGATTTAAGATATTTTAGAAACAGGATCACTGCGGAGGAACAATGAAAATTCATTTGGGCCAAGTCAGGCATACAAGGTAAAAAAAATGTGGCCAAGTGAGGTAATACAGTTTGGACTTAAAAACGTGTGAGACGATCAGTACTGCAGCTACTTTTCTCTCACAGCTGGTAATGTTCTAAAACCTTATCCAAATCCGCATCATATGAGGAAGTTTTTGCAAAAGGGCTGAATTATTGGAAAATGGAGGCAGCCTCTCAAGGTGACTACAATGATAGGGGCGGCAAGGTTTTAAATGTATAATTTTGGATGTATTTGTCTACTACAATATCTATGCAAAATCATAAATTGTATACCTATGCAAAACCTATGCAAAAACATAAATATGCAGGCATATGTTAATACTTTAGCATGTAAATTATTGATGCTCAAGTTCTAAACAAATGAGAATATTTCAAGTAATGAAATAAGTGTGAGCTAATCCTGTAATAGGTTTGTTCACTGTCTATATAGGAGGCCACTGTATGCTTGATGACCAAATTAACAAATGTTAAAATACATTTTTTTAGTTTGACAAACTTTTTTGTAAACATAAAAATTTGAAACTTTTATGTATGAAAATCCCTCTTCCTTATATATGCACGCAGATGCATGCTCTACAGCATTTTGTACATATTGATGTACTTCCGTTCTTTTGAATTTTGAAAATTTCTCATGATTCATTCTATTTCAAGGAGTAAGTTTGGTCATTAATATTTACAACAAATTTTCTTCATGTAGCCTGAACCAGCTCAACGGGTCTTTTCAAAATATAGAATCATGTCAAGAAAGGTTTTAGTATTCCTCATTTGCCTGACCTGAATACCTTTGAAATCATTCATTGGAAAAAAAAAAAAAGAAAGAAAGAAATCATTCATTGGAAGCCAAAGACTTATCTTTTCCTTCTATCATCTGGTCAGGTTTTTTTTTTTTCTTCTCTCATTTTACCGTACCAATAGAAAATGCAACAGGAAATTACATCCATGTTGCTAGTGTGTTATTTGGAATCACGGAGACTGGCATAAATAAGACAATGGGCTTCAGATCAACTAAAAATCAGTAATGTTCACAGACCTATCTAGATCTGAATAATGTCTATGTCCCACTTTCCTGCCCAAAAATGGTATCTCGCCATAATCAGAGTAAGCAGATATTATAAGTGACACTTGCCCAAAGCTAAATCTGCCCCTCTACTTCTTTAGTTTCATTTCTCAGCTTGAATAATGCCAGCAAACATGTACCAGATCATGGTTGGGCTATTATTTTTAATTAGCTCAGAGTTTGGTTCGTTAACATTATTATTATTTTTTTTAATCAGCCTGTCCTCCCTCTACAAAGCTCACTGGCTATAAAATAATAAAATCAATGTGACGTCCATTCCTGTTAAGAATAGTGGCTATTTTCAAGGAAGATATCATTTCATCTAAAGCTCAATAAATAAAGTTGATGGGACGCTGATCAATAAAACCCGAGGCCCGCAGAAACAGGTAGAGGTCAATCACCCTAGCTCCTTCCTGGCAGGGCTGTTGAGAACCAGATGCAACCACTTAGCCAAAGAGAGCATTTCCCACGTTGAAGGCACTAGGCATTGGCCTTCTCAGACCTGACTCCAGAATTCACTGCAATCTAGTCATAGCAAGACACTCCACCATGCATGCTCCCAAGGACAAAGCCACAGAAAACATTGTACTCAATTCCCCCAGCTAACCCAGTTCGTCTTTCCCAGAGCACCCGGAAAGACTTGGGAGTACAAGAACATCATCGAATTCAGGAACCACACACTGCAGCTAATTTACTAATAAGCCATGAAGTATTGTCATAAATTACTTAAACTAACTGGTACTTGTCCAATTAAATGAACAAACTACATACTGCAAGGTAGAGGCCCTTGAGGATTTATGACAGTTGTTTGTTTGCATGCTAATTTGCCAAATTTCGTTAAGCTGCTCTGGGTCTACTCATTCACCTTATGCTAATCAGCCAGGCCCTACAGTGCTCATATTTTCAGCTCTGTGTTTTTCCAGTCAAGAGCATGACCATTTTTAATCTCGACAAGTTTCCTCACGCATTAACAGTGGAGGCCATGCATAAGCAGCCTACGTGCAGCGACAGTCTGTGTGGGAGATGATGGAGCGGGGTAACCGACGTGAGGGTTGAGTTAGGTTGCCACAGGTGCTGCACATAATATGGATCAATATGGCAGCAGGGACAGTTCTCCTTAAATGAAAATGAATGAGGAGAAAAACAAGAATTACCTTCTCCATGAGATCTATGCAGGCTTGTAAATCCAGACCAAAGTCGATGGACACCCAGCCAATGCCTTCCTTCCTGTATTCCTCTTGCTCCAGAACAAACATGCGCTGATTAAAGAACTGTTGTAATTTTTCATTGGTAAAATTAATGCAAAGTTGCTCAAGGCTGTTATACTTCAAAGATGTGATTAGGTGGGGAGAAGAGACAAAAGTAAAATTGACCAAATGGTAACTATTTGAGGTGATGGACAGGTTAACTAATTTGACTGTGATTATTTCACAATGCAAATATGTGGCAAACCAGTAAGTTGTATATCTTACACATACATATTTTTTAATTGTCAAATATATCTCAATAAAAAATATAATAAAATAAAATTGAGGTCCACTTGGAAAAATGTAGAGAGAATATCATAACCACAATCACGTGATGGCAAATAGACTCAATGAGTAACGATTCTTCAGTTAAATCCTTAGCTCCTTCAAATATACTAGCAAACTAAAAATTATAACAATAACATGTAATCATATCAAAATGCAAAATCATAAAAGGTTCTTTTATTTCTACTTATCTTTATTTGAGGCTGAATTTTTATTTTTATTTTTTTTTTAATTTTTTTTTTTATTTATTTACGATAGTCATACAGAGAGAGAGAGAGAGGCAGAGACACAGGCAGAGGGAGAAGCAGGCTCCATGCACCAGGAGCCTGACGTGGGATTCGATCCCGGGTCTCCAGGATCGCGCCCTGGGCCAAAGGCAGGCGCCAAACCACTGCGCCACCCAGGGATCCCTTTATTTTTATTAATTATTATGTATTAATATTAATAATAGCTCTTTTCCAGCCAGGGTGGCCCTTAAGTTTTCACAGAATGAATCTCCTCACGCTCTGACTACCTTTTCTGATGTTCAATTCACATTTTCTGATCTCCTTGTAAACACACATTGACTTCATTTTAACTCGATATACTTACATCAAGGATTTCAAAACCAGTGATGTCAAGAATGCCGATGAAGAATTGCCTGGACAGCTTGGCATCCAGCGCCCTGTTGATTCGTGCCACCAGCCACTTAAACATCCTTTCGTATATTGACTTGGACAGGGCACCAACAGCACAGGTCACCTGGAAATCACATTGGAAGCACCTCACATCTGCCAGCAGTGTGCATTCTAATCCCAGGCATTTTTTAACCAGCAGCTAGTAAAATCGGGATCTATTTAGTGCCTCTCTGTGTGGTTCTAGCATGCTGCTGAGATGATACAGGAGAGGAAATCTGATACAATGAGAAGAAAGGGAGAGGAAGCAAGGAAAGGAGGAGAGGGAAAGGAACCTAGAGGCGAGCCAGCCTGATGCCTCCTTGCCAGACACTTCTGTGAGAGAAATCATGTTCCTATTATCAAAGGACCACCTTTCTGGGGGTAGAGTGGTAATGCATCCTAAAGCCTTGCCATTCCAAGTATGGTTCTAAGACCTGCAGCATCAGCATCACCTGGGAGCTTGTTAAAGACGCCGACTCTCAGCATCTCAGCATCCAGTCCCAGACCTATGAATGTGAACCAGTGCTCTAACACGATCCCCTGCGGACTCCTGTGCACCATTAAGTTTGGAAAAAGCCGGTAGAACAGGTTAGGGATCTGGAATGCCTAGCCCTTGTTGCTGCTAATAAATTGTATAACCTTTGGTAACTGGCCTAACCTCTCTAGATTGAAGTATCTTCACCTGAATAATGTTCTTGAAGGTTCTTTCTAGCCTCAGCCTCCACATTCTCTACTCTATCAGTTCCCAGGGGTGCTCTCAACTTCCTGTGGCAATTTAATGCATCAATCTGACTCAGATCGTCCTACTGTAAAACCCAGGCTGCCTTTCCCCTGCCTGGAGGTGTGCGGCAAAGGCTCTAATGTAACCTACTGGGGAGAGCTCCAGCCTCTGTGCTGGTTGATGCCGTATAAATGCAGATGCTACTTCCATGACGCAAAGGTGCTGCTATAGTAGCGGGTTTCTGACAGACTCCAAGTAGGAGTGGATTTCAGCTGGACCTTCTCCAAGCCTGGAAGCAGAATGTGCTCCAACCGCTTAACATTTAAAATAGGCCTAGCCCATCCATCCTTCAGCTGCCCAGGAGCGAGCACGCAGGAGCCAGTTGGTGTCTGGTGTTGATTTAGTTATGAGTCACCCACTCTCTGATCAGTTATCTTGAGTCATTTCCACAGTAATCCATAAGCCGGATGGCATCACAGTTTTTTATTATGGGCGTCAAGAGCACACCCGCACAAATAAAGCACTAAGAATGATTTTTATCCCCCAGAGCCCTGAGGAAATCATTCTCTGTCTACAGCAGTCACTTTGAAACTTTCAAAAGAACATGACAAACTTGCTTACCCACCTTTTAATTCCCTAAATATTCAGAAGTGGGGGTGGGAGAGAAACCAGTCAGGGGTGGAGAGTAATGAAGAAACAGGAAGAGAGCTTGAAGATGTGGTCACAGGAAGAAATAGAAGATATGGTGTCTGCTGGCTGAAACCAATAAACCAGCATACAGCTTACAGATTAATCATTTTCATCATTTTCCAGCCATTTTCCAGTCCTTTCGAGGACTACATGGACTCATTCCTTAGCTCTTTTTCAAATGAACTCAAAGACTGATCGTTGGGGAGCAATCGTGAGCAGTAGAACAAAAACCACCACCAAAAAGAAATGGAGTCAAACAGCCATGTTTGCAACCACATTGATCCCTGCCTTGCTCATCTGCAAAATGACATTAAAATATGCTTCTGCTAAGGTTGTAGGGAGAGAGTCAACGAGACAGAGGGTGTAAATATGTGTAACACAAGATTCGGTCCCTGGAACCCAATAAATGTTAGTCTCACTCTCCCATCCCCTTTTCTGCTTTTATTACTTCCCCAACTTCACTCTAGTATTTACTATGCTACCCTGAGAAGCTAACCTTTGTTAGGTTCACTGTCTTTAACTACAAAATGGAAATGGAAATAAGATCAATTTTGTAGGGGCGCCTGGGTGGCTCAGTCAATTAACTGTCCGACTCTTGATATCAGCTCTGGTCACGATCTCAGGGTTGTGAGATTGAGCCTGGTGTTGGGCTCCATGCTGAGCATGGAACCTGCTTAAGATTCTCTCCTTCTCCCTCTGCCCCTCCCTCTGCTCAAACCTTTTCTCTCTTAAAAAAAAAAATCAATTTAGTAGGCTTGTTGTCAGATTGAATGAGATAGCCATACAAAGCACTTAGCACATGCTTAGTGGTTACTATTATGATTTTTTTTTATTACGAATCTTTTAAAAATTAAGACAACTTATTTCTAACAGGCATAGTTAGAACTCTCATGGAATCATAAAATACTGGACCCGAAGGGCCTTAGTTCTTATTAATCATGTATAGTGGCTCTCAACTGGGGTGGCACCCTGCCCCTGAAGGAGGAGTGCATTTGAAAACAGGGAGTGTGTTTTTTCCAATTATCAGCATGACTGAGGGTTACTGGCAGTTAGCACCTGGGAGCAGGAATGCAAAACCTCTCCAATGTGCAAGACACACTCACATCTGAAGGACTGTCCCATTTAGATGCCAGTCACCCCTCCACTAAGACACAGAGGATTCCAACCTCTTCACCGGATGCTCAGAGAGGTGAAGATATTTGACCGAGATCCCAGAGTTAGTCAGCATTAGAGTTAGAATCAAATTTTGTAAGTGTTAACACTGCAAGAATTTTTGCCATCTTTTGCAATTGTCATCAACAGAGCATATACATCTCTATTCTTAGCAGTGGCAATTGTCTCTATAAAGTCAGTAAAATTCCTAAGAAAAGAAAAGCCTTACAGTGTGCTTTCTTACGCTCTCTCCAGGAGTAAGAGAAAGAGAAAGAGAGAGAGAGAGGATGGAAGATGAGGATTTTTTTTTTCTTTTAGTGTTGGATAATAATACATTAGCTTGCTTCACTGGTTCTATTATAGTAAAGGCTGGTGGTAACTCAGTTCCTGAGAACACAATATTAAAGAGGCGAAGGTTTGATTTCAGTCCTCCTCTGGGCTCATTAGTTTTACACAGAGCAAGTCCCTGTTCTATAATCATAGCATGTCATGCATGCATGTCGTGGCGAATGTGTTAAAAAGCAAGAAACTGCCAAACACTCCTAGCCTCACTACAAGAAATAGCTCAACTCCTTGTCCTGCTGATCTTGGCTCAAATTGAGCTCGATATTTAGTTCATCTCAACATCTACGGAGCACTTACTGCTTGCAGGGCACTGTGCTAGGGGCAAGGGGTACTAAAATGAATTAATCATAGTCCATGGCCTCAAGGAGCTCCAGTGATGAGGGAAAACAAAGATGGAAACTACTGCTTTCAGTACGGTATTAGGATAGAGGTAGAATTATTGATTTATAGAGTAAGCTAAATTAGGAAAATGCTGAAATGCTATAAATAGCACAGTCACATCAGATGCTTTAATATACCAAAAAGCAAGAGAGTTGATTGTCAGCAAAATCATTGTCTTCTATCACGAATGTGTGCATGTGTCTATCTCATTTTCAGATTTAGAACGTATGTAGAGTAAGACAATCTAAATGTCACCTGCATGTTAGCTGTGTGCCCTTTGCAGTGTTACTTATGTTCCCTAACCCTCAGATTCCCCAACTGGGAAAACATCAGTATTCCTGCTCTATTTACCTCTGAGTATTGGTGAAAGAACACAAGGAGACAATGCCCGTGAATGCTTTATACATGCTATACATCATCATACCCCTCCCTCTCTCCAGAAAGACATTTCTCAGCCCTCCTGTGGCTAAGAGGGTAATTTGACTAATTTTCACCAATAGAATATCAATGGAAATGATATCACTTCTAGCCCCAAGCAGTTAAGGTGGGTGTACTTTTTGAACAGAAATGATCTGTTCACCTTGTGCAGCAACTGTGGAGGCCATGTGTTCCAGGTGTCTAACTATCGTATGGAACAAGGCTGTTCAATCTGTATTGGACTTGATGTAGGGCATAAATATTTCACTGTCAACTGAGATTTCAGTGTGTATGTGTTACTGCAGCATGGTTATCACATACTGACTAATATGCATTAGAGATGTAAATTATTATTTTGAAATGCACTAGCATACTTAGACGGTCTCATTTTCTGGCAGCCCTGGGAACATATATTGCATTCTGACAAAGCCTCAGGATCAACAGTCCTCACAGCAGTTGTTATTTTACCGTTAAAATACTCTTCTGGATGCTGCACAAAATCTACATGACCTTCCGTTTCTCATTTCTGCTCTCCACACCCCTCCTTTAAATACTAACTTCAGCCTATATACATATATTCTTAAAGATTTTATTTATTTATTCATGAAAGGTACATAGGCAGAGAGAGACACAGACTCCCTGTGGGGAGCCCAACATGGGACTCAATCCCAGGGCCCTGGGATCACTCCCTGAGCCAAAGACAGACACTCAACCACCAAGCCACCCAGGTGCCCTTCAGCCTATATTTTATTTATTTTTTTTTTCAGCCTATATTTTAAAACCCTATCTCAACCAATGTGCCTGTTACTCTAAAAAGTCAATATTCCAAACAGGTGGGGGATGCCAATTTGCCGATTTTATTCATGTCAGGAACTAATAGCTTTGAAAGCATCTTAGCTGGACAACAAAGATGTTGGTCACAAGTTAATGGCTTGCTACATCTACAAAGAGAGTTGCTACCTGCAGGAAAACTGTCAAACAGCATATTAAGAATCTGGAAAAATTCTTTACACGAGAGCATTTACTGTGCTATGCATCACAAGTGAAAGCATTCCAAATATGCATCACAGGAGCTTTCTTGCCTTTTTTTTTTTTTATAGAAGCTCTTGTTGCAGACATCAGAAGCCAAAAAATAACAATATGTATACAATTATTATAAGATCATAGAGTCCTAATGCTCTGGAAATATCACCTTACCTGTTCTACATTTTGGCCTCTAGTAACATATTCATTACCAACTTTGATTCTAGGGTGGATCAAGCCCTTCACCAACTCAGAGGAGTTAATGCCCATGAGGAACGCAGCTTTGTCAGCACCTGGTCAGAGAAAAGGAAGGAAGAGGAGGAGGGAAGTGGGGAGAGGAAGGGGCAAGGAAAAAAGGGAAGAGAAAGGAAGGGAAAACACTGTTAAAGTTCATTCCATTATAGTCAAACAGACTCCCCAGAGGACAAGAGAATAGTGGGTTTAGACAGATGTAGCAAGGTAGACTGTAGTTTTGAAATAAAATGCTTGAATCCTAAATGTTTAAAAGACTTTAGTTCTTAGAAATGGAAATCAGACCACAATGAAATGTCACTTCACACCCACTACACTCGCTATAATCAAAAAAGACAATAAGAAGTGTCAGTGAAGGTGTAGAGAAATTGGAACCCTCATACATTGCTCGTTGGAATGTAACATGATCTGGCCACTATGGAAAACAGTTTGGCAACTACTAAAAAGTTAAATAGAGTTACTCTAGGAACCAGAAATTCTATTGCTGGGTTTAGACCTAATGGAAGTGAAAATATATGTTCACACAAAAAAATGCACACAAATATTTTTAGCAACATTCTTCATAACAATAAAAAGTTGAGAAAACCCTGAATGTCCATCAACTGATGCATGGATAAACAAAATGCAGTATATAAAAACAAAAACTTTTTTAGCCATGAAAAAGGAATGAAGCATTGACGCATGCTACATCATGGATCACACTTGAAGATGTTATGCTAAGTGAATGAAGCCAGAAACAAAAGGCTGTAGGTTGTGGGATTCTAATCATATGAACTGTCCAGAATAGGCAAATCCAAAGAACAGAAAGTACCCCTGTGGTTGCTAGGGAGCAAAGGGAATGGGAAGTAACTACCAATGGGCACACAATTCTTCTTGTGTTGTTTTTTCTCAAGTTTTTATTTAAAATCCAGTTATTTGAGATACAGGATAATACTGGTTTCAGGTAATAGAATAGGATTCTTTTTGAAGTAATGGAATGTTCTGCAATTAGATAGTAGTAATGGCTACACGGTCTTGTCAATATGCTAAAACTCAGTGAGCTGCATACTTTAAAAGGGTGGATTTTACGGTATGTGAATTATACCTCGGTTGTAAAAAGAATCTTTCTTGATACTGACCCTCTTCTAAAAAGAAATATTTATCTGACCAACATGGAAAATCTCATCTTTATTATTTGCCTATTTTTCCCTACTACATATGTACTTGTAGATTCTTTCAAAGAAACAGGCACTTGGGCCAAATAGTCTGAAAATTCAAGAAACCACCAATAATCAGCAGAACCCAGGAACACTTCTATCAAAAACTTTTCTTCTCCGGCCAAGTCTCTGTTTGCTCCATAGTGCCCTCTGCTGCCCAACAGGAATACTTACAACCCACACAATGGTTTTTTTTTTTCTAAAACAGTGCTTCGGTTTTCTGTTTTCTAAGGAAAGTGGGGAGGAATGAGTGTTATCAGAAAAAAGTAAATACCCATGTATTACATCATGTGTTCTTTAAGATGACAATAATAGAAGAGAAAGCCACAGGCAAAGGGTTATAAGCACATTTCCAATTGTGTACTTCTTCAGTTATCAAATAAAAGGAGTATTTCACTCACCTGAGACTTACAGTGCATCCTACATTTTTAGATGAATTCTGATAAACGCTAGTATATCTGATGTTCTCACTTTGTAAAATAACATCTTAGAATAGAAGGAAATATAGTCTTTCCTTCACTAAGAAGTACAAGATTTCCTGAGCAATAACCACAAACAGGGAATAAAGTAAAAACAATTAGAGTGCTATATGTCATTTTTATTATCTATATCCATTTCCTTTTGTGGGCCTTTGAAAGTCTCACAAAGGCTTAAAAAGCTTGAAATGTGTATTTGCTTGTTAACTAAAATCAATACACATTATACATGCATTTCTACCAGCTACACACCTACTCCATGTCAGCGATAATGGCCCAAGTCCTCAGTTGCTATGAAACCTTTCAAAATGCAAAGCCCATTTGGGAAAATAAACGGAAAAATCAAAAGTAGAGCAGATGTGTTCATCCAATGCTGAGATATCTCTGCTAAGAATGCCATGTTTGTAGACAAAAGCATAGTTATTTCAAGTGGAGAACCCAGTGGATCAGAATCATAGCCCTTTTGCACTGGAAGAGACTTTATTTTTTTTTTATTTTTTTATTTTTTGGAAGAGACTTTAAAGAACACATTAGCTAGAATGAAAAAATTTAAAAGAAAGAGAGAAATGTAATGTGCCTGATGAATCTAAGTGGACATGAATACTAACTGCTTATGTGAAAAATTAACAATTCTGCAATATCTGCTCAGGAAAAAAAAGACAGGAGTTCAGTTTTCTCAGCTTTGGAAGCATTTAGATGGACAATACAGATAATAATAGTCTCAAACTCATATCTCCTTTTTCCAGTGTGAAGGACAGTCTTTTTAGTCTATTTTTATCCACGAACAAAGGAAACCCAAATTCTCTGTACAATATCTCACCGTAGGCTCTACCAGAAATAGCATCCAACATTACAGAATCATTTCCCACCCACTCCAGAGATAGTCAAGAACCTACAGAGAAGTAGTATACCTTGCATTTATCCTACAGGTATACATTACACATTATCCAGTTTTTTTGTTGTGTTTTGTTTAGATAAGAAACGATAGTCCTCTTATTCTAAAACAGAAATTACTTCATTTGCACTAAAAGTTTCACAAGCAAGGTGAAAATAGTTTAAGTCTATGAATAAGTATCCATCTGACATCCAGGAAATGTTTATTAGGGACACAGCAAGGTCTATAAACACATTTTCATCATATGACCTGATGTGTTTTCAAAAGAGGCTTTATGAATTTCCCACCATCATGCCCTAGGACCTTGTGAATAAACCCACAGATTTTAATTAGGCTGTCTGATAGTTTAGCTAGAGCAGGTGTTCTCAAACATTGGTGTGGATCAGAATAGCCTGGAGAGCTCATAAAGGCCAAAGGACTAGGCTTACTGAAGGTGATTGGGGTGTAGACCCTATTCTTAACCTGCTCCCCAGGTGATTCTGACATACATGAAGATTTGAGAACAGAGTCCACATTATAGTGCTGAGGAAACTTGGCTGCACATTGGAGTCACCTGGCAAGATGTCAAAACAGACAATGATACCTGTACCTACTCATATTGGTCTGAGTGAGGCCTGAGCTTCAGAAATTTCATAGCTCCATGCATGGGTCCATTGTGCAGCCAAGTTTGAGAACTATTCTCTAGAGAGTGGTAGCCAGTTCTAGTAAGTACATGTTTTTAAGATTTTATTTATTTATTTAAGAGCTCACACATGTGAGCAGGCGGAAGAGCAGAGGGGTAGTGAGAGGAAGGGGGAAAGAATCTCAAGCCAACTCTGTGGTGAGCGTGGAACCCGATGCAGGGCTCAATCCCACAACCCCAAGATCTTAACCTGAGCTGAAACCAAGAGTCAGAGGCTTTCTTGATGAGACCGTCAAGCACCTCTAGTAAATACATTTTGAAGTCAAGAAGATAGAAAGAAGTCTGACTTTACCTGAAAACAAGTAAGGGGATAGGGAAAAACAAAAGGCAACCTTTTCCAACTACAATTTCATCCCAGTTCCATCCCATATGTAAACAATCAGATATAAAGAAAGGAACAAAATCCAACTTTGTCAATCCACAACCTGGCTAATGTGGAAGAGGGGTTAAAAGAATGACATCAATTGTTAGCCTTTTATGTAGGGTCATAATAGGATTTCAGAGCTGTTCACATTTTACTAATTTATTGGACAACGTTTACTGAGCACTTGCTATGTGCAAGGCCTAAGTGCTAGTTGCTGTAGCAAGAGAGAGAAAAAAGGCAAAAAAATATTGGCATCAAGGAGTTTATAATCTATGAGAGTAAATAAACAAAAAACAAGCCAGTAAAACAACTGCTTATCAGAGACAAATTGCTTATTATGAAAGTTTGAAAGAGGGAGAGATCCCTTCTGGACTGCCTGACCAGGGAAGATTTCAAATGAATAGTATTTGATCTGAGCCTTGAAAGATGAGAAGGATTTTGATAGGCAAATACAAGAGAACAAGAATCTCTGAGACAGAACAGCATGACTTACAGGAATTGCAGTAGGAGAGAGCAGGTATGTCAAAGACTGGCCACAAAGTCAGGGGGTGAGCAATAAACGGAGAAAAGCGAGTGATTTCTGGTCACAGAAGACTTTTGACACCACTCACTATAAAGTATTCATTGAATAATGAGGAAACTTTAAAGGGACTACATGGCATAGAGTCAGGCTTCACAATGATTAATTTTGTGCAGATTTACAAAACTTACCAGAGCAAGAAGAGTAGAAAGAATGTGAATCTATTACAAGATACCAACATGCAAGGGGCTGATGGTCTAAATTGGTAATAAAGAAATGGGAAAAGACTGGGGAACATGACCAAGAGGGTTCTGACCTAAGAAGTAGAGGGAAGAGCAGCATCGTGAATACAAATACAGAAGTCAACAGGAAGACATCACATGGGAGAAGAGGATAAGAGTTTTAGCCATGCAATTTAGGGTACCAGATTATTCAGTAGAATGTGGGAAATGTGGGATTGGCACTTGAAAGAGGCAAGAATGCCCCATTTGGTTTGGGTACTCTCTCCCTTTACACCCTCCTATCTGTGCAGCTCCTTCAATCCTCCCTCCATGATTAACTGAGGGTGGGGGTAAGGGGGCATCACCAAAGCTTAATACATTATTAGCCCTTAGAAATCAGTAAGAAAAAGTCAATTGTTCCAAAGAAAAATGTTCTCAATTTTTAAAGTGGGCTAGGGATGGAAACAAAAATCCAAAAATGAGGCAATGCAAATAGGTAACAACATACAAAAATTAACTTTATTAATATTTAAATATAAAACAAAAGCTGACTACTTGACAATAAAAAAAAAATAACTGTTGGGGATCCCTGAGTGGCTCAGCGGTTTAGCCCCTGCCTTCGACCCAGGGTGTGATCTTGGGAGTCCCCGATGGAGTCCCACATCAGGCTCCCTGCATGGGGCCTGCTTCTCCCTCTGCCTGTGTCTGTGCCTCTCTCTCTCTCTCTCTCTCTCTCTCTCTCTCTCTCTGTCTCTCATGAATAAATAAATCTTTCTTTTTTAAGAAAAATAACTTAATGTTAGTGAACTTAGTGCAAAAGTTATTTTCAGAAATTACTGATGGGAATGTAAATGGTAAAACATAGGGCAGCTTGAGAACAAAAATTTACTCAGAAGTTTACTGAGGAAAAGCATATGTATCTTTGAATCTGTAAGGACGTTCACCAAAATTTTGTTCATGATGAAATAAATATTCAATGGGACATTTTGTAGCCATCTAAAAAGATATTTCAGAAAAGATACCGGATATTCATGTATAATTTAGTAAAAAAATCTAGTATGAAGAATATGTAAATATATATTTTATCTTTAAAAGTTCCCTGAACATATTCAACTATAAAAACATGAAAGATATGTTCTGTGGCATTAATGGTGATTGTCCCTAAATAAGTAGGATCCTTTTAATAATTATCTACTACTAATGTGCCAGGCACTGTTTTAAAACTTATAAACACAGCACAGAACACACCAAATCAAGTCCCTGCTTTTATGGAGCTTACATCTGAGGAGGATTGAGGAGTAGGATGGTCAACCAAAAAATAGATGTATGAACGACATGGAGAAAAAATAAATATTCAGGGTAAGAGGATAGAGAGCGATAGAAAGTGGTGGGAGTGGTCAGGGAAGGCTTTTCTGATAAGGTAACATTTAAGAAGTCACCTTAATAAAGTGAGGGAGTGAGAAATGAGGATGCGTAGGAAAAAAGAGCTCCAGATGAAGGAGGAATCAGTGAAAAAGTCCTGAAACAGGGGTTCCTGCATACTCTAAGAGGAGCAGAGAGAGCAATGAGGCCAAGTGAAGAGAATGAAAGTAGGGAAATGGTAGGTGAAGGCTCTGTACCCTATTCTCAGGATTGAGGTTTGTGGGGGAGGTGGTTGATTCCATACCGAGCCATTCTGTGAACCGGCTGTGTGTCTTACAATTCAACTCAATTCCACCTAAAGGTAGCATCAGATTCCATGGGTCAAGGATTCAGTTCTACAAGACTGTTACTCCCCCACTTCAGAGGTCAGTTGCAAGTCCAGGTTGTCTCCTGGGCTATTGACTCACGGGCTATGGATTCATGGTTCTAGTGACCCCCTCCTTGGGTTCAATTAATTTGCTAGGAGTTCACAGAACTCAGAGAAACATTTTACTTACTATATCAACAGTTTATTTCAAAAAGATATAACTTAGGAATAGTCAGATTGCATAGAGAGCAGAGGACATGGTGTAGGAAAAAAGTGCAGAGCCTTGCCCTCTCTAAGAACACTATCGTCCCCAAACCTTCATGTGTACACCAACCTGGAAGCTCCCCAAACTTGTCCTTTTGGGGTTTTATGGAGGCTTCATTACATGGACATCACTGGTTAAGTCATTGGCCACTGGTGATAGTACTTGGTCTTTAGCCCTCTCCCTGCCCCTGTTGGAGGTAGGCCCCAAAAGTGCCATCTCTCTAGTTCCAATGGTGACCAGCTCCCATCCTTAGGTACAGTTTGAAAGTCACCTCATTAACCAAACAAAATCACCTATATTGCTCTCATCACTTAGAAGATTCCAAGGGTTTTAAGAACTCTATGCCAGAAACTGGAACAGAGATCTATTTTTTTTTTATTATAAATCACAATATCACAGTAGGAGATAGCATTAGAGGGATTTTGAGGTATCATGAGCACAAAGAGGCTATGATGAGATCTTGGGGTTTAAGTGGGCGCCTGGGTGGCTCAGTCAGTAGAACATCTGACTCGGTTCCAGCTCAGGTTGTAATCTCAGGGTCCTGGAATTGAGCCCTTCATCAGACTCAGCACAGAATCTGCTTGAGGATTCTTTCTCTCCCTCTTCACTCCACTTATATAATCTCACTCTCTCAAATAAATAAATATATAACTCTATTTTAAAAAAAAGGACTTGAGATTTAAGTAAGATGGGAGCTATTGATGAGCCTAGAGTGAGGAGAGGACATGAACTGATTTATACAATGAAAGGATCACCAATGGCTGTTCTGTGTACAACTATCAGTAATGAGAGAAGGGTGAAGACAGAGAGACCAATAAAGAAGCTATTGCAGTAATCTGGTAAGAAACGCTGGCTCAGGCTTGAGAGTAGCAGTGGACATGGTCATGGCGAGTAAGTAGTGATGAGCTTTACATGGGTTTAAAGGTAGACACAGCAAGGCAGAGACAAAGGAGTTCAAGATGATGCTAAGAGTCTGGGCAACTGAGAGAATCCAGTTGACATCTACTAAAGACTGAGAAATGAAGAGTTGGTAGCAGGGGCAGAGTGAGATGAAGAGTTCAATACCATACATGTCGTGTTTGAGATGATCACCTAAAGAAAGAACAGAGAGGGCTGGGAGGGATGGGGAGCACACTCTGAGAGTTCCAGTAAAAGGTTCTGAAGCTGCGGGGGAAAAAAAAAGAAAAGAAAAGAAAGAAAAGAAAAGAAAAGAAAAGAAAAGAAAAGAAAAGAAAAGAAAAGAAAAGAAAAGAAAAGAGAAAATATTCAAGGATGGAGCCCAGCATCCAGATAGCAGTCAGAAGTAGGACAGATGAAGACATCTAGCAAAAACTCTGAGAAGGAACCACCAGGAAGATTGGATGACATTATGTGCTTCATTATAGGTATTTTCTGGTAAATAAGTATACCTAGTTGTCATAAGGAAGACAATTCCTCAAAAAACCATTTCAAAGGGTGGAAAAAGAAAAAAAAAACCCAAAACCCAAAACACAAAAACAAAAAAAAACCCAAAGCAACAAAAAGATGTCACAAAGCGTATCTTAATATGTTAATATAGAAGAGGCTTACACAAGTCACAAATCCCATTCCTTCACTTCATTCTCATCTATGCTCAAGTATTCTCTTCCTTCAGGGGATTTTCTGACCACTCTATGAGAATATTATTATTCTTTATTCTTCTGTTCTGCTTGATTTTTTTCATTATGACTTCATGCAAATTTGTCTGTTTCTGTATACAAGCTATCTCCCAACTAGGCAGTCAAGACAGGGATGATATTGTGTTCCCAGGTATATCTCCAGCACCAGAATAGTGCCTGGCCTGTGCACTGGCCTCAAAACTTATTTGATGAACAATAAAAAAAAAAACCCAATTCATAAATGGGCAAAGTACCTGAATTGGTATTTCTCCAGAGAAGATATATAAATGGCCAATACGCACATGAAAAAATACTCAACATCACTAATCACTAGGAAATGCAAAACAAAGCCACATGAGATATACTCATTAGAATAGCTATTATAAAAATTTTTAATAGAAAACAATAAATGTTGATGAGTATGTGGAAAATTGGTAGCATTATGCATTGCTTGTGGGAATGTAAAATAGGGTCGCCACTATGGAAAACAGTGCAGTACGGTTCCTCAAAATAATTTAACATAGAATTACCATTTAATCCAGAGAGTCCATCTCTGGGCATGTATAAAAGAATTGAAAGCAGGGACTTGAGTAGATATTTAAATGCCAATGTTCACAACAGCATTAATCACAGTAATGAAAGGTAGAAGCAACTCAAGTGTCCATAAACGGGTAAATGGAGAAACAAAATGTGAACTATACATACAATGGAATATTATTCAACTTCAAAAAGGAATGAAATTCTGACACACACTATAACATGGGTGAATCCTAAAGACATTATGCTAAGTGAAATAAGCCAGACATAGAAAGACAAATATTGTAGGATTCCACTTACAGGAGATGCGTAGAGTTGACAAATTCATAGAGACAGAATAATGATTGAGAGGGGCTAGGTAAAGGGGGTAATAGAGAGGTATTAAGAGGTACAGAGTTTCAGTTTGGGATGATAAAAAAGTTCTGGAGATGGATACTAGTGACTGGCTGAAGAACAACGTGAATGTACTTAGTATCACTGAACTATCCATTTAAAAACAGCTAAAGTGGTACATTTCATATTATATATATCTTATTACAAATGAAAATATAAAATTTTTCAGAATTATTTGTTGAAAGATTTAACAAATGAGTTTTCTCAGTTTTGTTTTAGTGGCTAGGAATTTTAACATTAAATGAAATAATTATAATAACTATGCTTCCTTTTCATAAATATGATTTTCTCTTTTAATGTTCATTCTAGACAGATCACTCATTGTAAGATGCCTCAAATCTTTTTTGGCAAGCAGGCAAGACTATAGATTGTTTTTCATGTGAATAAAACACAAAGGGGGATGAAGCCGGTGTGGTCTCAACCCAATGGAAACTCTACCTTTGGAATTCTAGAGAGCTCTGTCCACACCTCCATGACGTCACTTCATACATCTTCTGGTAATTTTCTGCTCTGTTTTTTTTTTTTTTTTTCAGCAGGCTCTGTGCTGACAGCAGGGCTACCTCTTCGTCAAACCTATATTACCCTCCTTTAGCAAATTTACTGGCATTGTCGATAATTAAGGATTGCTTCTCATTTTGAGATACATAATCATACATCAGAATGGTGGTTTAAGAGGATGATTTTGAGGAACAGCAATTGAGAGAGATTGCTGACCAGTTTCAACATTTTCAAAAAGCACAAGGTAACTGCAGGGAAAGGGGGGCAGGCCTGGGGTCGGAGAATTGAAGAGAGTACATGCCATGGCCTCAAAGTAATTCTTACTTTCTATGCCATCTGCTTCCACTTGCTCTTCTCTGGGTTTCTGTTTAAATTTCATGTTTCCAAAGTGCATGATGGCTCCAATGAGTTTATAGGATCCATGCTTCTCATCAGGAAGAAAGCCCAAGATGTCCATGGCCCGCTGTAAAAAGAGAAACAGATGGCCATGTCTTCATTTGCCTAATGGCTGCAGTAAGCACCTCACCCCCGCTGTGTGTCACACCTCCCTACACTCCATGGGCTGTCAAAGGGAATGAAACAGATCGCCACAGCCCGAGGTGTGACAGCTCTGTTCAAAGCAATGCAAATCGGCCCTGTTGGCACTTGGTCACCCGCAGTCTGCTTATCCCTTTAAAAGAGAATTAGGAAGGCTTGTTTAACTTCCAGTAGTTTTAGAACTTTCCTTGGATGCCCTGCCCCCCACCCCCCTCCAGCCATTGATCATTAACTGGCTATCGGAGGTAAATTATTTTGCCTTCCATCATTACGGCAGAAAGTAGTACTGTATCTGATGGGTTGCTTATTTTGGGACCCCCTGCATTGCCACAACTTTATTCAAAGACTAGCAAAGGGAAACATTTCAGAAAAGTAAAAAGCCATGGCACTGAAGAACCGCACCCTAAAAGCAGCCACTGCACATGGTAAGATATGTGTTCTCACACAGTCCCAGAGGATAGAAATTGGTATAATCTTTCTAGTGGTTAATTTAGAATATGTATCAAGAGACTATAAAAAATTCATAATCCTTGCCTAGTAATTTCACTTTTGGGAATCTAGCATAAGGTGAGTCTAATATATGGAAAAAGCATTTACCTACAAAGATATTTACCACAGTAGAAAACAAAACAGAAACTCTTAGAGTCTAACCATAGGAGAATGGCTGACTACACTATAGGACAAATATCTGATAAAAAATTAAGTATTCATTTAAATGTTTATGAGGACTTTGTAAGAGCACTTGAAAATGTTTATATTACAGGATTAATCAAAAAAGCAAACTCTACGCCGAATAGTATATGCAGTGTGATTGCGATCTTTTATTAAAAAACCCCACCAAACCAACTATATAATAGCAAACCCAAATAGAAAAAAAAGAATAAAGATTATAAAGATATATACCAAATAAAAACAGTGGCTGCCATTGAGTTGAAACACTTTCCTATCTTTCCACACGTTCCAAAGTTACCAACCTCACAATGTGTATGTACTTTTAGAGTAAATAAGTAAACTTTAAACAGACATAGACTTAAAGGGCCTCCTTGCACCCACCACCCCCAGAGAAAGGAAGGTGACTTCTCCAGGACCCTTTGGAAAAAGGATCTGAAATGCTTTCATTTCTCATTGTCATTACCAATCTTTGCTTTGATAACTACCAAGCCTTACATCAGTGGCCAGCAATTCTTCAGCATCATCCCAGCTGTCCACAGCAACGACTCCCTGTGAGCAAAAGGGAAAGTCGGAGGGATCTTCAGACACCAGGAGCATGTCTGCAATGGGAAAACCATCACTTAAACAGTTAAAGAAATCCACAAGGCTTTAGGAAATAATTGACCAATATTCACAGTTTACTCTTACAGCTGATAGCACACTTGTAAACAAGCCAAAATAAAATCCATATTCTACAGCCAAACCTCTGCAATCAAATTTTGCCCTCTATTAACTTGTCAGTCATGTGTTAATGCCTCCCAAGAGAAGACCGGGCGGACCAAATCCAAAAGCAGATTCAATTGCAGCAACTTGAATTGGTGTGAAACAAACAGATAATGCGTGTTGGCAAAACTTTGAAAACAGGAATTTGGCCTAGATACATGGTCGAGGGTGGAGGACAAAAAAATGTTTTGTAAAATTAGAAGTATAACAGGGCTGAATTTCAAAGACTAGGAAGCGGGGCAGACCCTGGGGTTGAGCGCCCAGGGAACATTAGCCGTGTAATCCTGTCATATCACGTCTTCCCGGTTAGGAGGCTGAGTCTGTCTTTCAAGGAATCCATAAATCAGCCTCTGTGTTCACCGCTGCACCTCTGATGGGTCTACGACTCCTGACATGATTCACTTAGTCAGGAAACATAATGCAGGCGGAAGCCAAGGCAGGCTGTCAGCAGCACATCAGCACCCGACTTGGCCACATCACATTAACCACTTACTGCCTAACATTTGCTCCCAATGAAGTTTCTCTGAGCTGATCTGATTTTTGTAATGTTTCCTCTTTTTTAAAAAATTTATTCTTTTCATTTAAATTCAATTTGCCAACATATAACACCCAGTGCTCATCCCATCAAGTGCCCTCCTAAATGCCCATCACCCAGTTACACCGCCCCCACCCACCCACCTCCCCTTCTGCAACCCTTTGTTTGTTTCCCAGAATTAGGGCAAACCATGAGAGACTCCTAACTCTGATTTTTGTGTTTATCACTCAGTGAAGTGAAGCTGCTATCCTCAGCCCCAAAGCTCAGAAACAATTGTGCTTTGCAAATGTTCACGGCGGCTTCGTTTGGAAACAACCCAAGTGTCCATCTAGAATTAACAGACTCTTGTTTGTCCATATAACAAATTATTACTCAGCAAACAAAGGAAAGAACTATGAACATATGCTACAGCATGGAGAAATCTCAAAATAATTCTGCTGAGTGAAATAAGCCAGACAAAAAATGAGTATATACTGTGTGATTCCAACTTACAAAATTTGAGAAAGTGCAATCTAATCTATAGTGACAGGAAGCATATTAGAGGTTGCCAAGAGACTGGGTGGGAAGGGGAAGACTCAGAGGAGTAAGACTCGGGGGCGGGGGGTTACAAAAGATTATAAGAAAACTTTTGAATGGATACATGCATTATCTTGATGGCAGGGATAGTCTCATGCATATATACATATGTCAGCATTTACATTTATGTGGATAATGCTTCAATGAAGCTATTTCACAAAAGTTAAGAAGTAAAAAGAAATTGGGCCAGCCCAAAGAAAATCAAGCTGAATAGATATATTTAATATTTAATAGCAATATAATGCTTAAATCCTTACTTGAGTGATGGCTAAAATGTCCCTTAAATGTTAATACTTCTCAGGGATCTTTGTGTTCTTTCTCATGCCTCACTTCATATAAAGAAAAATTTGTTGAGCTCAATGTGCCAGGTACTATTGTAAGTTTTAGAAATACATCCTAAAATACACGGGGAAAAATTCCTGTCCCTGTGAAGCTTATATTCCAACAGGAGGAGACAGAAATTTTAAAAATAAGTAAAACGTATGAAAATATATGGAACGTAAGATGGTAATAAGTGCCATGGAGAAAAGTCGCAGGGGAGGGGAGTCAAATGTATTGGCAACACAGGGGCACCTGGTTGGCTCAGTCAGTGGAGCTTGCAATCCTTGATCTTAGGGTTGTGAGTTTGAGCTCCACATTGAGTATAGAGTTTATTTAAAAATAAAATCTTTAAAACAAAAAGTACTGGTCATACAGAGCTACAGTTTTCAATACAGTGATCTGGGAAGGCCTCCATAAGGTGATATTTCAATAAAGACCTACAAAAGTTGAGGGAGAGAATAAATGGGGGAGAATGTTCCAGAGAGACAAGAGCAAATGCAAAGGCCCTGAGATGGCGGTTTGCCTGGCATTCTGAGTGGCTAAGGAGGGTCAGGAAGGGGCAAATTGAGGAAGAGGGAGGTGGTAGGTTATGAGGGGCAGAGAGGCATCAAGAGGACAGGTCATAGCTCCTCACAGGCCAGGGTGAGAATTTGGGCATTTTTGCTCTAGGTGAGCTAGGAAGACATTGAAGGTTTTTGAACAGAAGAATGACATCATCTGATTTTTTAATTTACCATGGCTGCTGGGCTAAAGACAGAGGGAGCAAGGATGGAAGCAGAAATATCAGGCAGGAGACTGTTAAATAATCCAGGAGAGAGATGATGCTATTGACCAGGGCAGTAACAACAGCAATGGTGCGAGAGTCCTCAGAGTGTGGATTTTGAAAGTGGATGGAACATGTGGGAGACATAGAGGAGATGAAGGACAGACCTTAGGCACATTAGATTTGAGATGCTACAACGAATACGTGCTAGAACATAGAAGAATCTCAAAATAATTATCCTGAGTGAAGTAAGCCAGACAAGAACTTTATACTGTATAATTCCATCTTATAAATTCCTAGAATTTTTTTTTCTTTTAAAGTGTTTCATTTTTGTGTAAGCTAAAAGGAAATGGACACACTCAAAAGACTTTGGGCATGTACATTAACCTTGTTAAAGGTTCTTCTACACATCTCTTTTTTCCATAGGAATTTCCCATAAACATCTAAAACCCATAGTTTTTACTGTATATATAGCCTAAACCATAGCAATCTAGGATTCTGTCATTTTACACTGTGTAAAATCATCAGAAAATAGTGATTCCATTGGAAAAAAATGAGTAGCAAGTAAATCTCATTGTAACTCATTCAAATAATTTGGTCCTTCTCCAAACCACATAGAGATATAAGAGAGTTAGTTAGCTATGAGTCTGGAATACCGGAGAGAAGTCTGGACCTGTGACCAAAGTGTGGAAGTCATCAGATGCAGATGATCTTTAAAACTGTCAGTCTAGAGGTCACCATGAGATTGATGCAAAGACTGAGCCCCAAGGTGCTCTAAAAGCATAGGTCGGATGAAAGAGAGAGACCCACAAAGAAACACCCAGAGATTTAGAGGAGATATAAGGGAGGGTGGTGTGCTAGAAGCCAAGAGGAGAGATCCTCAAGGGGGAGGGAGGAATCAGTGGTGTCAAATACCGTCATGACTCTCAAGGTCAAGAAATGAAATGTCTATATATTCTTTTGCAAGGCTCATTCATGGCTTCACTGATGACTCTCAAAACTCTATTTTCTGAGCTCCAGACCTAGAACTCCAGCTTCCCACTAGACATTTCAGTGCAGATGGCCATAAGTAGCTTAAACCCAACACTATCGAATCTCTGATATTTTCCATGTGTGCCCTGAAGCTATGCCTCTTCTGTGGTTCCTTATGCTGGCAAATATCACCACCCTACCCAAGCCAGACATGGGGGTGCGATGAAATCTTGTCCTTTCACAGCTCAAATACAGACATCATTTCCATGTAGTTTTTTTTTTAATTTTCCAGCATTTATTTTTTTTTAATTTAAATCCAATTACCCAACATACATCATTAGTTTCAGATATAGTGTTCAATAATCCATGTCTTTGAAATCAAAGTATTTAATCTTTCTTCTCTAGAACAGGTGTGTGCTATTGGAATGGGGTAAGGATATAAAAATAACACAGTCTTTTCCCTCAAGGAGGCTACAGGAGGGGGCCAGTAGTAAGGCACCATGGCAGGCCCAAGTGCTACACATGCACTTCTCCCGCCATGCCTACCTGCTTCCAGACGCGTTATTTCTAGAAGTCATAAAAGACACCTAATGGGCTTTTCCTTTATCTCATTAACCAGCAATATGGCTGATGCACTGGCCTACCCATTCACTGGAGCAGCTGTAGTCAACATGAAGTGGTGGCTCTTAAAAATGTACAAACTAAATGCATGAGTGTTTGAGGAACTCTGAAAGGTCTTTAGCTCAAAACATCTTCCCCACTGGGCCTTATCAAAATTTACTTTCAAGGAGCAATGAATTTTAATTGGGTTGAGGCTTGAGGTTACCTCGGAGTATCATGTAAACAGAGCTTCCTTTATTTAATTAATTTCATTTCTATCAAGAGAAATGGCCCTGAGAGAATGTAAAAAACAAACAGTGAATACATTTTTGTGAGACACCATTAGGGCCAGGGAGACGGTCTAGGCCAGAGAAGTCCCTCGCAGAAAATTGTTGACCAGGCTGTAGGCTTGTGGAGAATGGAGAGTGCCTGTCTGGAGGGCTGAGGACAGCATAAAGAGGCAATGGCACGAGAGGAAGCTAAAGGTGAAAGTCAGTTGCTTCACAACTGCAAAAAGTGCAGGCGTCAACCTTCACACAGGTTCACTTCTAGATCCCACTCTGAAGTAGGAGATACAAAGAGCCCTTTAAGAGTAGGTATGATATCATTCAAGGCTTTGTTTCACATGGCATCCTGACATTAAATTTTACTCTCCGCATAGCTGAATGTTCTCCAAGACTCAGTTGAGTTCACTATGAAAAGAGGAAAAGCTGACATTGGGCAAAACAACAGCAATAAAAAACCCTTAAAATCACAAAGTTCTAAAAAAAATTAATAAAAATTAATAAAACAAAATAAATATCACAAAGTTCTGCAGCCAGTACCTCTATACCACATCACCCACCATTACCTGTTTCTCACACTGCCATGAACATCTGAAAAGGTTGTACACTGCCCAACTCCAGAGAGAATCATTCACAGAGTCTATAGTTTGAATAGTGTTCTCTAGTGTTGGGCAGCGCACAATCTGCAGCACCACAGACACATCTTATTCCTCCTCACAACCAGTGGGGAGAAAGGGAGGAAACATAGGAGACCAGATCAAGAAAGACCTAACGGGTAAAGGGAGCACAACTTAATATGCTCCAGAGTAGGAGGCCCAGATGCTGACACTGTTTCCGCAGAGGCATTCAGGCCACTAGTAGACAGGTTGGGCGCACCTCTTGGCAACCACCACCATGCATTACTGTCACATACTAAAGTGAGTACTCAGGGCAGTAGGCAAAATGTCAAAGATCCCAAGAGACAAGGACATTTTCTGACCCACGTCCTAGAGTTTATACACCAGTTGAACAGTAAGAATGGATACACTAAACAAACAGAAAAAAAATAGTCAAAGAAGAGAAGAAAACTAGGAAGGGATAGGCAGGACCAAGCCATCCTGTTGGCATTAAGAACAAGAATTTCGAGGAGCCGTATCTGAGGAGACGGAGGGAGTAGGTGGGAGCCACACCTTGAACAAGAGTCAGCCTAAACTGAAAGGTAAGGGGAGGAGGGATGCTCCAGATGAGGCAGAGACTAGTTGGGGGCTGGCTCTGGGTGACACATCACCCCATTTCTTTGGCTCCTTCCTTGGGTGCCCAGGCTCCCACAGATTCTCCACCCTTGGTTCTCCTGTAGTACTGACAAGTGCTTCTCTTTCAGGAAACTTGGACATAACCCTTACATTGCCAAGGTGGGCCCTCCTGTAACCACCCTCGGGACACTCTGAAACTCTCCTTGGGCAAACATGAATCAAAAGTTTAAATTTTAAAATGTCCCAAAGAATGACCCGTGGTGTGGAGAACAGGTGGACTGACGATACCCCCGTTGGACCACCAGATGTCAGTCTTTGTACAGTAATCAATCTCTGCAGCCCCCAAAGACGCAACAGGATCAATGAATTCCAGATAAGCCTGCATTTTCCAGGGGGTCGCCCAGAGCCCTCGACCAGTTCTATTAGTAAACAGAGATGCTCCCCCAAATCTTACAGTCGCCGCTGGTTCCCGCATTGGGCCCTACGTGTCAGATGCTTTGCACAGCAGAGAAATCTGTGCGAAGAATATTAGATTTGGCAGGGCTAATCAAAGGAAGATCCAAAAAAAAAAAAAAAAATCTGTTCCAGGTTAGGTGGAAGGGAAAGTAGGAAGGGGAACAGCTGCTGCTTTTACACCACCAGTTGCACCCAGGCCAAAAATAATTGTCCAGTTTGCAGAGCTTGCCCCATTCGGGGGGGCACTTTGAGGGTGAAGGCCGTCACTGCTAAGTGCATGATTAACACTCTGACTCTAGCATAACAGGCGGGGGGATAGCTGCCCATTAATTTGCTCGCCCGGCTCCTTGATCTCCTCCCACATCCACTCCTCTGGGCGCATCCTTGTCCTCAGTGGCTTTCTCCATACTCAAGACCGTGGCAATCCAATCAGCCTGTCGCTCTCCCCTTGCAGTGACTTCCCGTCCTCGGCCTTAGGGTGCAAGCTGCTGCTTGATCTGGCCCTGCCCACCTGCCCCCTACATCACCTTCTTCTCTCCACCCCCTGCAATGGCCACTTTGCTATTTCAAGGATAAGCCACGTGCATTCCTGCCTCAGGTCCTTTGCACTCACTGTTCCCTCTTCCCTGAACTTTATTCCTGGAAATCCGGCCTGCTCGTTTGCTCACTCGTTCAGGTGTCTGCAAAAATATTGCCTTCTCAGAGCCATCTGGCATGACCATTCTATCTAAAATATAACCACCTTCTACCCTACCAAGCCCAAAATCACTCTGTCCCCACACCCTACATTTTTTTTTGTAGACCTACCATTCTCTAAAATTATATATTTCTTTGTTTCCTTGTTTATTACTTGGTACATCCCATACTAGAATGTAAGCTCACAAGGGCAGGGACCTGTCTGCCTTATTTATTTTCCAATCCTGCGCTTAAACTGCAGTGCCTGGTGCACACACAGCAGTCCCATAATAAATATTTGTTGAGTGACTGCATGAAGTTCATTCTCTTACTCCATAAATTACTTTTCTATTTCTCCTCCTGGCACTACCTTTATCTTGGTCAAACTATAAAACTTGGGAGTATCTTTGACTCATCACTCTCTCTCATTCCTCCGTTCAGTCATTGCTAAGACCTGTCTATTCTTCTAGGAATCCACCCCCTTTTCTCCCATTCCCACGGACACAACCTTAGTCAGTGCCTTTTCATCTGATTCCAGGACGACTATAGTCACTTCCCCCTAGGATCCCTGCCTTCCATCCATCCTGCCCACCACACCAGCTTAATTGTCACTGCCCCCAACAAATCATGACCTCCTATTACCCCACCCTTGTAACACATGCACGCCCCCCTAAATCCTTGAGTTCAGAAACCATCGGAATAAAACCTGCAAATCCTTTCATCCAGTCTGATCTCCGCTCCCTGATCTTGCCCTGCCTTTTCCTGCCACTGTACTCACTGCTCCTCCCATAGGAAACCCCTCCCCACATTACTCCAATACTCATTACTCATAAATCCCCTTCCCATCCTTCATATCCCAACCCAAAACCTCCCTTCCTCATAAAACTCCCATTGACCACTATATACCATGGCGGTAGCTCCCACTTCTGGCCTCTTATCTATATCATCCCTGGGGCTCGAATCTTCTAATCACTGAAGGCCTTAAATTATCTAATATTTTACACACATTCGTACATGCACATGCACACACACATCCATTTATACCTGCTGGGCATCCCAACCACTTCCAAACACTACCACATTGGAAAAACATTTACTCTCTAGCCATATAAAATTATAGAACTTTGGTTTTATAATTGGTTTGATCATTGTTTACCTTTTAGGCTGAACAAACTGAGTTCTTTATTTTTTTAAGATCTTATTTATTTATTTGTTTATGAGAGGCAGAGACACAGGCAGAGGGCGAAGCAGGCTCCCTGCAGGATCCCAATGAAGGACTCCATCCCAGGACCCCAGGATCACGCCCTGAGCCGAAGGTAGATGCTCAACCACTGAGCCACTCAGGTGCCCCTAAACTGAGTTCTTATGAGACTTATGAAACAATACTTTTGTAGGTCCAAGAATCTGACATCTGTCTCTTGTTTTAGAATGTCCCTCAGCTCCAGAATACTACACTTACCACGAAATTCTTTTTTCCCAGACAGAATTTGATAGAATATGTGGTAGTTCCTCTCTCCAGGCTGCTGGAAAATCACTCGGGATTTTTCAAGCAAATCTACAGGATGAGAGAAGGATAAAGAATCATACTTAGGTGTTCTCGCAAAACTTAGAAGGAAAGTAATCAGAGAGTGCAGCGGCTACTCACAAATATCAATGTCTGCAGACGACAGCTTGCCTCTGGCACAGAAGTGCATCCTGATGAACTTGCCCTAGGTAGACACAAAACACAGCCTCCTATTGAAACATTCCCAACAGTTGCAATGGCTCTATTGTACACATTATTCCCAAAGTGACTACTTCTCCAAAAGTTAAAAAAAAAAAAAAAAGGCAACATGGGCCTGAGACGGCACCAGTGAATGCTAGGAGGGCAGGATGATCACCAGGACTAGCATTGGTCCTGGATTCTAGTCTCAGACCTGCCAGCTTCTAGCTGTGTGTTCTTGTGTGTATTACTGAATCTCTCTGGGCTTCAGTATCCTTACCTAAAAATGAGAAAAATAATATCTGTTCAGCATATTCTTTCATTATTCAGCAAACATTCATTGAGCGCCTACTACCATTCAGGAAAACTATGAGCCCTGGACAAATCACATTAGAAAAAATGAGTGTGGTCATGGGTGGCTCAGTCGGTTAAGCATCTGCCTTCAGCTCAGGTCATGATCCCAGGGCCTGGGATGGAGCCCCACACAGGAATCTGCTTCTCCCTCTCTGTCTGCCTCTGTCTCTGCTCCTCACCCTGTTTGCTTTCTCGCTCTCAAATAAATAAAATAAAATCTTTAAAAGAAGAAAAGAGGGATCCCTGGGTGGCGCAGCGGTTTGGCGCCTGCCTTTGGCCCAAGGCGCGATCCTGGAAACCCGGGATCGAATCCCACGTCGGGCTCCCGGTGCATGGAGCCTGCTTCTCCCTCTGCCTGTGTCTCTGCCTCTCTCTCTCTCTCTCTCTCTCTCTCTCTCTCTCTCTCTCTCTCTGTGTGTGTGTGTGTGTGTGACTATCATAAATAAATTTAAAAAAATTAAAAAAAAAAGAAAAGAAAAACAGGTGTGGTCCCTACCCTTCTAAATTCTAAGTGTAAACAGCTAATGCAATGGCATTAATGCGGGAACATTTGGTGATTCTTGAATCATACAGATGAGTCAGCTGTGCGGGAGTTCAGTGAGTAAAGGAAAGGGGGGCAGAAAAGGGAGTCTAAGAGGTAGACAGGCACCAGGCACCATGCCACATAAGCCATATGGGCCACAGGAAGGAGTACGGTTTAATTTTATGCGTGCTCAGAAGACACCGGGAGATTTTGAACAGAGGAATGATGTGATCAGATTTATGTTTTAAAACACTGCTTTGGCATCAATACTAGATGGGGTGGCTTCCTTCCTTTCTTTCTCATGAAAAGCCGTAAGACAGGATTTAATGGGACAGAAAGGCTGCTGCCCAAGGAGACAGCTCACATCAGAAGCCCACTGCAGCTAAGGAGGCAGTCAGCGGGCCCTGGAGCTTGCAGGAGGAGGATGTGGTGCCAGGCAGGTGCCAGGCCGGTGGAGGCCACCCATGCGAGGAAGAAGGCAGAGCAGGACGGCAGCCAGGCCAGGGAAGGAGAGAGGTGACAAACAGAGGGATTGAGCCATTAGGTTAACAAATGTAGAGGAATGGGAACCATACACACAGATACACATATATGTGCATTTATATGCACACATATAGCATGGTATTAATTGAAATAATTTAACCTGGATTTATTTTTTTGGACTCCTTTTACTCTTTCTCCTCCTCCCTTCCTTTCCCCTTCCTTCCTTCCATTCATCGATCTCTGTATATTTTGCTTCTCTACTTTTTTCTTCTATCCTTTTTTGGCATTGTTTTTCAATTGCTTTCTTATTTATCTTTCTTTCCACTTGCTGTTCTTCCTTTCTTCCTTTTCTTCTACTTTTTCCTTCCTTTATTCTCTTGTCTTCCTTTTTTTCCCCCTCTTCCCTCCCTTCCTTCCTTTTCCCCTCTTTTTTTTTTCATATTTCAGCAAAAAATCCTTCACATTCTAACCAACCCAAATCTAACAGTTGTTTTATGGACCGATATTAGCACCTGCTATGCAGCCAGACCTGGCAAGCAGATGTAAGTGCAGGCAGGGCAGTGCTAAGGCCCTGGGTAGAAACCAGCCACATCAGCATGAAACTGTTATTTAATTGTGCCCAAAGATTCAAACAAGAAGCCTTCTGCAAATTTCCTTATAAATTATAGAGTGGCGCCCTGCCACTCATTTTTGGCATTAGATGGGTTTGTGAAACTAGATTTTGAAATCCAAATTCTTCCTGTATCCTGGGAATGCAAGTTATCAAAATCTATTTTTAAATATGTTTTCTCCCAGGGCAGCCCTGGTGGCTCGGGGTTTGGCACCGCCTTCAGCCCAGGGCGTGATCCTGGAGACCTGGGATCGAGTCCCATGTCCGGCTCCCTGCGTGAGCCTGCTTCTCCCTCTGCCTGTGTCTTTGCCTCTCTCTCTCTCTCTCTCTCTCTCTCTCTCTCTCTGTGTGTGTGTGTGTGTGTTTCCCATGATTAAATAAAATCTTAAAAAAAAATATTTTCTCCCCAAAAAAATTCCCCAGTGGAAAATATGCAGAGGTAGGGGAGCCATAGGCAAGAATAGAAATAATAACTGTACTAAGCGATTTAGGAAGTGCTTACTAAATTGACTTGCTATAAGGAGTATAGGAAATTATGAAGGAGAAAGTACTTTCAAATCTGTAAAATGCAATAAAATATAAAGTATTATTAGAATTTGTTGGATGAGCGTCCCTACTGGAAGTGGAAAGGAATTTGAAACTATTAAATATGGTCTTCTGGAAATTGACCAAACAATAGAAGCTTCTCTGATGTATATTTATATGTAGTTTTAATTTCTTAACAATGAAATTGATTTCTTTCTTTTTTGAGGAATCTAATAATATTGGACTTCTTTGATGTTCTAGAAATTGTTTTATACCTATGTGCTCAAGAATGAATTTTGTCATTTGCTTAAAAAATTAAAGACTCTGATGCACTGCTCAATCGTGCTACTTACAAAACGAGAGGAGTTATCATTTCTCAGGGTTTTGGCATTTCCAAATGCTTCCAAGATAGGATTCACTTGCTTGATTTGATCTTCTAAAGACCCCTGAGATACAGGTAAAATAAATACAGCAGGTGAAGTTTTCAGTAAAATTCTGTAATATGGTAAGCCCTGCATCCCTAGGTCAGACCCTATTCTTGCTTTGATAAATAGGAGCCAAAGCTGTTTCCAAATTTGATTATACAATGTTACTTCAGAATGAGAACTCAGAAAAACAGATGAATGAGAAGCTGTCTTAACATAAAATGTCCCTGTGAATATATATGGGAGCTCATTTATTTGCAATACTTCTCTTTTGGTCGGAATTGGCCTAAGTGTGAAAAGAAACTAGATATCTACAATCAACCAATTAATCAATCAATCCCATAACCTATTTCCAGACAAACTTCATTCCTTATATTTTCTCCATTGTTAGTCTCCCTCTCTTCCCACCTAATTCTTATACCTGGAAATTTATCCTAAGCTAACACAGCAGATTCTTGGCATTATTAAATTATATTTTTCCTTCTTACTATTCCTTTATTTATTTATTTATTTATTTTTTCCTTCTTACTATTCCTAAGTAATCTAATGGTCCATGCCAAGCTGTGAGTCAATGTTGGTATTCATTTTGATTTTGAATCATATGTGCTTAGGAGGTTACCTCCACAGAGTGAGTCTGAATGAGCACTCAGCATCCTGATTGCAACATGGCTATGTTGTTTTCCACTCAGCATCAAAGATCCATTTTATGGGAGGGATTACATGGTATATAGTATTCAAGAATTTATAAACTTAGGGGTGCCTGGGTGGCTCAGTTGATTAAGCATCCCACTCTTTATTTCAGCTCAGATCATGAGATCAAGCCCCACTTCTGTCTCCGTGCTGGGTGTGGAGCCTGCTTAAAATGGTCTCTCTCCCTCTCCCCCTACCCACCCACCTCCACACACACACACTCGTGCACACACACTCTCTCTCTCTCAAAAAAAAAAAGTTTATAAACTTACAAAGACTATATCCCTTCTAAGTATTATTGGTCTACTATCCTTTAAAGAAATAAAAGGACTAGATGAGCAAGGATTTTCATAGAAGTGATATGTATTATGTATTGTTATGTATTGTCTATCATAAGGCCAATGGCTAGACCACACAATTACACAAACAACCAAAACGCACACAAAAATGAAGTAACATCTAGTGAATAATAGAGTTCAATGATACCTAAAGAAATCAATCGAATTCAGGAATGTGGCAGTTGGGAAAGAAACTTTTTGTGCTTTGAAAATTGGACCAGTTTGCTATTTTGATATACTTCTTACTTTGCAGAAACAGCAGGAAGCATCCAGGATTGAATTGAAAAAGCAAAATAACAATGCCAGACATAGAAAGATGAGAGGCCCTAACAGCTCAATAACTCATTGATTCTGAGTCCCACTCAGCATTATCTAGTTTTATTTTGCATACCAATTCTCACGGTCTAGTTACTCTCAAATTATTACAAAACCCATCAACCAGTTAATGGAGCTAAACAAAGTAAGCTAAATTAAAAATCACCAAAGATAAAAGTAATTAAGTAGAGAGGGAAGGTAAGTAGAACCTGGAATGTGATTAAAGTTGAGAGTATGTCCATCAGGCTTTTGGAATTTGACCCAGGAGTTAGTGATGAAGGAAGCAGACTTCTACTTTTTTGCATTTCTGTGGGAGTCTGACATCTCATGGTAGCTAAAGGGATTCAGAAATATCCAAAGTAGCCATTCAAGGCATTGATGATTCTAGTGTTTCGGGAAGATGTTTGGATCTTAAGTGTTATTCTCAGAGGGTCTAATCAACAAAGATCAGACTAAATAGCCCTTAAAGCAAATCTGAAACAAATTGAGTCATTTCATCTTTGGGGGTTACTGGTTTGAGCACTTGATAGTACTCTCAAGAGGCAAAGATGGGGGGAAAAACTTTTCTATAATTTTCTAATTGTTTTATGGCTTTCGTCTCCTCTTTTCTCCCCAAAAGTGGTCAAGGCAGAGCCTCCGTGATTAGTGGATAGGACCCCCTCACCTTTCTTGCCAAGATATATGAATACTTACCGGCTTTTCCCTAGATTCACCCATGGTTGCAATGGTGGCAAAATACTGGATAATATGTTTGGTGTTCACAGTCTTTCCAGCACCAGATTCTCCTCTGTGATTAGAAATTCAGTGATACAGTTAACTGGTTCAGATTATTAATGCAGTGGGAGTTAAATCACTTTAACCATATAGACTAAGACAAAAAGGAAATGTTTTATGGAAAAATGGAACTTAAGAGGAAACTTAAAGAGATGTAGATATTTAATTGGTTGGGAGAAGGGGAAGAACTATCTCAGGCTGGAAAAACACCACGAACAAAAGTCAAAACTGAATACAGAAAGATTAAAGATTTTATAAAAACTGGAAGCCTGTTCTTCATGGTCCTGTTAACAAGAAGTTGAAGAACTCCTCTATTAAAGACAAATCTCCTCACTACCAACTGTTCGAGGGATTTTCACATATTAAGGCTAGCACATGTCTAGGTCCAACCCTTTCCCTGAGAAGAGGACCTACCAATCATTCCACCAGGCAGTTAGGTTTTAGGGTTCCTTTTTCACCTTTGATAACCAGTTAACTTTGTCATGTGGGAAGAACACAGTGGTGCAAGTCTTATCACAAGCATCCTAGGTCAAGGCCTGCCTTTATCTGTATGAAACTCCAGGAAATATTTTATCTTCTCTGCAAAGGGCTAAACTCAAACTCCCCTTCTAGCTCTAAGATTCTGAGACTGTTATTCTTGAGATGACTAAAGCCAATGGAGAGCCCATTGCTTTAGGGTGACAACACCATTATATAGGAAGACCAAGAACTTTAGCATTTCATGATCTCTTGAATCTTAGTCACCCAGCCACCATGCTGACATTTCACCAGGCCAACCAGTGCTCTTCCCATCAAAATTAGCATCCAATATGGTATCGCTGAAGTCTTTTCCTTCCTTTTCTTCTCCAAGTTGCATCATCTTTTACTTCCTATTTAATGTACCTTAGTCTGCCCCAATCTAGCTGCCCAGATAATAGCAGGTTACCTGTTCATGGTCATACTCCTTGAACTTTTCTCTCTGCCCAATTAGTCCACAGACCTTTGAAAATGACTATTTGGACAAATTGTTCTCCATGAGGAAGATGACTAAGATCAGCTTGTGCACTATGCGTTCTAAAAGATCTACTAAGATGGTGGAGGCAGCCTAGCGAGTACCATATTTGGAGTAGTCACGGACTAGAGTGTTATGACAATTTCCTGAGTATCTTATTCTTGCCTACAATGTATTCTGTATGTAAAGAGCAAACAATTCAAGGATAGTGAATTTCTGTTTCATTCCCAGTAAAATGTAGGTGTCTGTTTCCATTGAACCTCTCACTGCTAGCCAAAAAGAAGAGGCAAGGCAAACACTTACGTCAAAAGTACAGACTGATTCTCTTGATCTACAAAAGAAAGGAAAATGTCAGAACATTCTTCTGCGAGAGCTTCTATGTTTTGGCAAACTTATTCAAAATTTCCTTGGTTGCGGTTTGAAGTCAGACACAAGGAAAAGGATTTGCTCCCAGCTGGAGAAAAAAATACCATTTGAATAGTACAGAGTAAAAGAGATTTTTCCCTTGCCCCTATGTATGTCAGTCATATGAACATACAAATCTCAGGCCTATTTTCTTGCTCCAAATATAAATGATAACTGACTAATGGTTGACATTTTTGCCGTTTTAAGCCTTTTAAGAAGCATGGTGTTACAATAGCTACAGAGAAACTTCTTAGGCCAGAAACTCTAGCAGGTGCTTTATGTAATAAAAGCTGCCATCTACGGGGGGCTTCCTCTGGGCCAGCCACTGGGCCGAGCACTTTCAATGCATTATCTCCCTTAATTTGACATGTGAGCTAATCATCCAGAACCCTAGGAGGCAGGCTCTATTTTGCCCATGGTTTTATCCAAAAGAAACGGAGGCTTCAAGTGATTAGGTAACTGTAAAGGACACGCTCCGCTCACAATGCCTACATGCCTCTTTAGTGACACTGAGAAAAAGTAGATCAGATATTTTTACCTTTCGTTTTGTAGGGCAGCCACTTACTGTGAAGCATATCCTGAAAGGCATTATCGGCAACAGCGAAGATGTGAGGGGGAGCTTCTGATCGCCTCTTCCCTTTGTAGGCAGCCACGACTTCTTTCTGATACACTGGGAGCCACTTGTAAGGGTTTATGCTCACACAGAAGAGACCGGAATATGTCTGAGGAAAAATATCAGAGGAGATTTCAGAAAGCAGGTTAGCAATACTTCCTGGTTTGTCAGCTCTCTCACTGCCAGATAACATTTGCTGAAATATTTACTCATAAAGGAACTAAAAAGAGGAGAGAGCTTTTGGATCCTTACAGAGAAGAGACTGTAACAGGAAGAGACAGAACCGGGTTAGAGTAGCAGCAGGGCCTGGGGTTATCTCTCCCCGGGGAGACCCACTAACTATGAACATGTCTGACACATACACCCTTTGAAGACAGAGACAACACCAACAACAGGCTGAGCAGCCATCGGGCATTTGAGGCCAGAAGGTGGCTTATGTTTCAGCAAGATTAGGAACCTGATTTTTAAGGCATGAGAAAAGAGCTCATTTGGGTCACTCAGTCACTATAATGATAGAATTATGCCCCCCACCCCCCAAGGGCACATTCTGGTCCTAATCCCTGGAATCTGTGAATACAATCTTATTCGGAAAAAGGATCTTTGTAGGTATAATTAAGTTAAGGATCTCGAGATGCTATGTGGGTGGGCCTTACATCCAATGGCTGGTGTCTTTATGAGACACACAGAGAGGAGAAGGTATGAACACACAGAAGAGAAAGTGATGTGAAGACAGGGGCAAGAGCCTGGACTGGTGTGGCCACAAGAAATGCCAGAAGCCACTAGAAGCTGGAAGGGTTAAGAAATGATTCTCTCCTAAAGACTCTAGAAGGACTATGACCCAGCTGATTTGATTTGATTTTGGACTTCTGGCCTCTAGAACTGTGATAGAATAAACCTCTGTTGTTAAGCCAACCGGTTTGTGGTAATTTTGTTACAGCATCCAAGGGAAACTAATATAGTCACGTATAACAGACGGCCAAGGAGCAAGTTGGCTATATGTCATGGCTTCTATGGAAATGGAGCCCAAGTGCGACCATTTTGGTCCAATCTACTCAGTGCCGCTGCTGTTGAATAGGCTCTGAGTAAATCAAAGAATCTAAGTAACCATCACCAATGTAATGGTGATGAAAAAAGTCATTCCTTCTACTGAGCACAAACGGGGTGACAGGTACTGCACTATGTGCTTTACATTCTCTGTTTAATCCTCCAAGCTATCTTGGAGATCCAAGCATTCTTATTCCACTTTACGGATAAGGGGACTTGAAGAAGTTAAGAAACTTAACAACGAGTGAATGACAAGACTAGCATCTGGACACTGATCTATCAGGCTCCAAGCTTCATACCTTTAGTTTGAGAACCTAGGGAAAGGGATATGAATGTTGACAAAATAAGACCAGGGAAATGCTAGGGCGAGGTCCCTTTCCAGGGGCCATTCCTCAAGGATTATCCCCATGGAAGTCTGCTTAAGTTCAAAGTAACCTATTATCCAAGAGAGGGTTAAGAAATTGCCAATATGAGTGCCAACAGGATATTTCAGCAGTAAAGTATATATACACACATAGATCATCCAGTGGTCATAGCGCCTCTTCAGGGTATGCAGGACCGACGCTTCATTGAGATGAGTCAGCATTGCTAGATCTTCAATCATTTCACACTTTGGGGGATTCATCTGCTGGACTTCAACCTCCTTGACACTCAGACTCTGCAGAGAGGAGAAAAATCTAATATGTATTTCCCTATTTTATGTTTCTTCATTTTACCATAGATTGGAAAGAATCTTCAAAAATTCTAGAAAAAAGATAACTCCTGAGGGATGGGTCCAGAAGTTTAACCAATCCTAATAAAAGACAGGTGTTTCTTCTACCCAAGATTGCACCTTGTCTGAAGATTTAGTTTTAAAAAGTTTTTGTTGAATGAAAATATTCTATCTCACGGAGCTCTAGTCCTGTGTCCCCTCACTGACTCTGGCTGCCTCTGAGAGCACACACATCATATTGCCTGTGGTTTGGCACTTCTCTTGATGCTTTAGAAGGGTTAGAGGAAGGAATTGGGAGTGAAGGATCAAGGAGGCAGATGAATCCTTCCAAACTTTCTTCAAGACCTATCTTCTCCCTCAATCCTTGCTCCACTCCCTTAGCTCATTTTTTAAAAAAAATATTTTACCATATAAACAGCCTATATTATCTTGGCACAATCTTTTGCACATGTTTCAATAATTAAAAATGTTAGACTATCTCTCAGCTAGATTATAAACACCTGAAGGAGTTCTGATGGTGTTTTTATAGTTACTAAAGCATCTATTACAATGTGACACTCGTGGTAGGTACTCAATAAATATTGATATCTTGATTAATATGGATGAATTGCTACCCAATAGTTGTTCAGAGTTGCTCTCAAAGTTTCCTAACACCATTTCCTATAGCTCTTTTCCTTGTTTAATAAACATTAGCATAATTGATGGGTCCATTTAATCCCAGTTGGTGATGGATTCCTCTTTCAAACCTCTCACACTCTCCATATTCTTTTTTTTTTTTTTTTTTTGAGTGGTGGGGGGTAAAGGGAAAAGGAGCGAGGACAGGGGGAGAGGGAGAATCCTAAGCAGGTCCACACCCAGCACTGAGTCCATGGCAGGGCTCAGTCTCACAATGCTGAGATCATGACCTGAGCCAAAATCAAAAGTTAAACACAAACAACTGAGCCATCCAGGTGCCCTCACATTCTCCAGATTCTTCATCAAATTCCTAACCATAATCTGCTTTGACATTGCTCCAACAGTGATCACTTTTCTTTCGAATCTCTTTAATTTCCATATGTCAAGGACTCCTTTTCTGTAGAACTTAATCAGGTGTCTTACATCTTTAAATACCTCCCCTTAGCTCTGATTCTGTTTTTTCTATCTTCTTTCATTGCCTACTATCTTCCATAAGTATTACTCTACACCTACTGGTTCCCTGTCTCTGTTAATGTTACAAAGACTGTTCATATGGTGATTGAAAGTGTAGCTACTTCTAACACCAGGAGGAGGAAGCCTGGAGCTAGGGAGATACAGAGTGGGGCTAAAGGAATGGGACTGTCATTATGTGGTGGAAAGACAAATAAGACAAAGCAAAATCCTTTAGACTCTTCTTTCTACATTATTAACTTACTGTTTTCATGCTCTTCTTCTTGCGATTTCTTTTGATAATTATTATAACCATATATATTTACAAATCACCTGTTGAAAAGACAGTTTTGGAACATGTACTCAGACAATAAAGTCTCTCATTTGGAGGACTGATAAAATAGGGTTGGATCCCACTAAGAAAATGAAAAGATGGGGATGTAGGTGGCTCAGTCGGTTAAGCATCTGCCTTCAGTTCAAGTCATGATCTCAGGGTCTTGGGATGGAGCCCTGTATCAGGCTTCCTGGCCACCTGAGGAGTCTGCTACTCTCCCTCTACCCTTCCCCGCAACTCATGCTTCCTGGCCTACTCTCTTACATGCTCTCTCTTAAATAAAATCTTCAAAAAAAAAAATAGTGAAAAGACAACACTGGGAAAAAAAAATCTTTGCAAATCATAGATCTGATAAGAAACTTGTATCCAGAACATATAAAGAACTTTTATAATACAACAACAACAAAACCAATAAGCCAATTAAAAAAATGGGCCAAGGGTTTGATTAGACATTTCTCCAAAGTTACACAAGATGCTCAATATCAATGCCAAGATGATATTAAGATGCTCAATATCATTAATCATTAGGAAAATACAAATAAAAATCCCATTAAAATACCACTTCACACCCACTAGATTGACTATAATCTAAAAGGTAATAATATGCATTGGTGAGGATATAGAGAAATTACAACCCTTACAAACTGCTGGCAGGAATAGAAAATGATGCAGCCATTTTGGAAGACATTTTGGCAGTTCTTCAAAATGCTAGACATAGAAGTTATCATATGACCCAGGAATTCTACTAGGTATATACCCAAGAGAAGTTAATACATCCACACAAAAACTTACATGCTCACATTCATGGGAGCATTATTCCCAATAGCCAAAAAATGTAAACAACCCAAATGTCTATCAACTGGAGAAAGAATGAACAAATGTGGTGCATCCATACTATGGAATATTATTCAGCTATACAAAGGAATAAAGTACTGATACATGCTACAACATGAATGAATCCCAAACACTATACTAAGTGAAAGAAGCCAGACACAAAAGATCATGTGCTGTATGATCCCATCTATCCAAAATGCCAGAAGAGGCAAATTTCTCTATTGAGGAATAACATAGATCAGAGGGGATAAAGGGAGGGCATCCCATCTGGGGTCCCCTCCCTTTCTAGGAGCTTTGTACTATTGCTCAATAAACTTTGCTGCCCACCAAAAAAAAAAAAAAAGTGGGGAGAGGGGATTGACAAGATTTCTTTTGGGGGATAATGAAAATATCCTAAAAATTAGATTACAGTGATAGTTGCACAATTCTTTTAATATACTAAAAACTGTAAAGGCCATTTTTAGGTAAAAAGGCTTTGAGTGATGGACTGTAGAAAGGGCCTACAGCGACCACCTGGTTGGATACAGACTGGCCCCTGGGGGGACCCAACTTCAAGATATCCATACACCCTAATTGACCCATGAGCTACTTACAACCAGGCACAGTTACCAAAATAGGGAGAATTCCATAATTCCCCATACCTCACCTTCCCTCTAAAACCAGCCCCCACCCCCTGCCTCTGCAGACAGCCTCTCCTCTGCTGTCCTGCCCACTGCTCCCTAGCAGTGTATTCATTAAATTTCTTCCTTTTTCTGCTTCAGGTAAATTCTTGTCACTGCCCAGACCACCTGCTTCCACCCAATCATCCCCCTCCAGTTAAGGGCTGCCATCCGACCAGACAAACACATTTAACCACCACCAAAACTATTAAATTGCACACTTTAAAGAGGTGAACTCTATGGTATGTAAATTATAGCTCAATAACGTTGTTTTTAAAAGTTGGCATGGGACACCTGGGTGGCTCAGTGATTGAGCATCTGCCTTTGGCTCAGGTCGGAATCCCGGAGTCCTGGGATCAAGTCCCATATCAGGGTCCCCGTGAGGAGCCTGCTTCTCCCTCTGCCTATGTCTCTGCCTCTCTCTGTGTGTCTCTCATGAATGAATAAATAAAATCTTTAAAAAAAAAAGAGGTAAATAAATAAATATTGGCATAAACAATGATGGGAAAAAGATATTCATATCTGCTTTCTCTCTTTTAATAAGAGATTGTCCCAAGACTCATTTCAGGGCCCATCTTTCCTTATTTAGGGCATTCTGATTTTTTTTTTTCTTGTCTATCTAGGTAAGTTCCTGCTGATAAGGCCCAAGTTCTTAATTCCATTACTTAAATAAAATCTATCTAACTGGGGATTTTTTATGTCCAGATACTGTCAAAAAGGCATATTAAAATACCATAAATGGTCATTTAAAAGTGGTCTCCAGAGCTTTACAACTCAAACAGCAATGCTTTAGATGATAAATTGTCCAAATACGAAGATAAGGATGTGAAAAAGAGGAGCATTCTTGGTAATGTTTGTTGTGGAGCTGAGGCACAATCAGGAGACTGGAGACATGACTCTGGGCATGGAATTGTCTAGAAAATCTACCAGGAACTGTTCATCTGAGTCACGGCAGAAATAGGGACCAGCTCACCACCATGGGGCTGGCAGGCAACCCGAGGTCAGTGATTCATGGGAGGGTCCCGAGGTGGATCGTCTGCTCAGGGTTATCCTGCTGCCCTATATGCCCGAGGGGCAGGGGAAGGGGCTACAGGCCCCTACGACCCTCCATTTTTTTTTTTAAATTTTTTTTAAATTTATTTATGATAGTCACAGAGAGAGAGAGAGGCAGAGACACAGGCAGAGGGAGAAGCAGGCTCCATGCACCGGGAGCCCGACATGGGATTCGATCCCGGGTCTCCAGGATCGCGCCCTGGGCCAAAGGCAGGCGCCAAACCACTGCGCCACCCAGGGATCCCTACAGCCCTCCTTCATATGCCCTCCCCGACCCCTTACACTCTAGTTTATGCTCAACACCTGCCCTAAGCCTCTTTCAAAAGGTCTTAAGTGACCTCCTAATTCTGAAACTCTGAGGCTCTCTCCAAGACTCTTATCTCTTACTCTAAGGTTTGGCATTACTGACCATCCCCCATCTCTTGGCTTCTCTGACCCTGTGCTATTCTTAGTCAAATTATCCCTCTTTTTTTTTTTTTAAGATTTATTTATTTACTTTAGAAAGAGAGAGACAGCACGAACAAGCATGAGGCATGAGGGGAGGGGACCAGAAAGACTCTCAAGCAGACTCCCCGCTGAGCACAGAGCCCAGGGCTTTGATCCCCCACCCTGAGATCATGACCTGAGCCAAAATCAAGAGTTGGATACTTAACCAACTGAGCCATTGAGGTGCCCTGAATTACCCCTCTTTCTTAATCCAAACACAACTTGCTTCAGAGTTCTTTAGGTCACTATTCACTGCAAGGAGCACCTTTAAAAAACAACAAAACTTGAAATGTTGGTGAAAGAAGAGAAAATTGAGTTCTAGAGTCAATGATCTTTACCACTGGCAACTGTTTTACTCTGATTTACCCAGTGTCATTTAATCTTTGATAGGAAATGGAGGAGCTACTCATAGATGTATGAATTTTCCAAAAGCGTATCTATCAGTGGCATCTCCTACCCCAGGTTTTTAATTAAATTATCAGAGAGAAGGCATATTTAATTATTTAAGTAAAGAATAGTTATTCCAGAGAGAAAATAAAGATTCCTTTACCTTTCCGTCTGCTGTCTCAACAATTACTTTGCCATCATTTCCACTCCCTTTAACCTCGGCCTCCACGTAGGCATTTCTGCCATCAGGAATCCAGCATTTCTTCTTCCCTACGGAGCCAAAAAAGATTATAACCATCGGACTTGTACAAAATAGATGCTGGACACTCCTGTACTGAAAGATGTGATCTCCTTTCTGCTAATTCGGCCTGGTGACTTGGATTCACCAATATAGGAAATTGCAGGGTTAGATAAAATCGTGAAAGCTCATCCCAAAGATGACACACTGACTCTGCAGGAAGGAGAAATACTTGAGCAAGCCAGACAAGGACCATCACAGACCATTGTGCTGCAAGGAAGTTACGGGGCAACACCCTACAAGCCACTCTTCCGGACCCCAACACTTAGCTCCCACTCCGTCCCAGGTCCTGGGTGTTCATCCTAGTGCCTCCCGCTCCCCTGCTCCCTTCCAGAATACTTCACTCAGAAAGGTCTGGTTATATCTAAGTGAAAATTAGGTGAGTGGTCATGCCTGTGTTTCAGGGTTTCTTTAGAATGTCTTAATTTTGGAATAAAAGCCTGCTGAGAGAATTACGTGGTCAGAATTGGAGGAGAGGGGATATGGGCTATTTTTGCCAGACAAGCATAACTGCTTCATGTTATTTCCCCCATATAGCATTTCTGTTCTCTGCCCCTTCACTTCCACATCCCACCCCTAAGCAAAGCAGCTGATCACAACGTGATTAGCCAATGAGAAGCTTTGGGGGAAATGAAACACCCTTATCACACCTGAGACAGCTTCGCTTGGCCGCTTCTGGGCTTCTCTCCCACCTGAGACAGATGCCAGGGAATATGAATAAGACATCTACTTTCAGGAGCACCTGGGTGGCTCAGCTGGTTAAGCATCAGGCACTTGATTTCTACTCAGGTCATGATCTCAGGGTCCTGAGATTGAGCCCCCTGTTGGGACTCCCACTGAGCGTGGAGCCTGCTCAAGATTCTTTCTCCCCCTCTGTCCCTCCCTGCTCCCTCTCTCCCTCTTTAAAAAAACAAACAAACAAAAAAAAAACAAACAAAACAAAACAAAACAAAAAACCAAAAGCACCTACATTTAAGGGAAAGTGAGTCTTACCAGAAGCTCATGGAAGTTTCAGGTCTCAGCTCATCAAGTAGGTAAGGGGGAGGGAAGAGCAGAGCACTTGGCTGGAATAGGGAAAGTCTGAACCAATGGCTAGGAACCCAGTGTGGTGGAACCCCACTGCAACTATAGCAGGGGTGGGCAATGCCAACCCCATCACCACCACCACCCTCAACACAAAAGTTAGGAGGCCTCATTGGTGCTGGACAGGAGGCCCTCACCAGACGCTCTCCCCAGAGGTGATCTATAGGACCTGACAGTGTGTAGGAAGCTGGGCTGGAGGAAGGGGGCAGGCCTCGGGTATGGCCATCCCGGATTGGCTTCAGCAGAGGAGACTGAAGGCCAGATGAGGGGGCCCAGTGTGGGGGCTCCAGGAAGAACCAGCAAGAGACAGTCCAACTAGACTTAGTGAGATGCTGTGCGAAGAGTCATGTTTGCTCGGTATAAAGAACTAGATTAAAGAATGGAGACAAGTCCCCTAGGACACAACCTCCTTCTTGTTTTGTTTGTCCAACTCTCCTTTTGTTTTGTTTCTGTTCTTGCTGCTAGAAATTTTTTAAATAAACTTTTTTTCAATGTGAAAAAAAAAAAGAGGGACCTGACAGTGTGTAGGAAGCTGGGCAACATTCGCCTTCCTTCCACCATGCTTGTCTCTGCAAGGGATTTTGTTGCACACTACTTTCTTGCTGTCCCTGTCTTCGCTGTGCTCCCTTCCTTGTCCCCTAAACCAATTTGCCACTAAAACTGCCTGGGAAGATTTTTGTATTCCTGTCAAACTGATTTTGCATTTTAAATACTGGTTTTGCGCTATATTTATCATTTTGGTCTCTTTTTACAAAAACGGATTTTGCTTTGTGTTATGTCTATGAAAAGAGGCTTGTTTTTGAAAAGCACCTCTTTGCATACATTTTGTGTGTTTAAGGTAAATAAATGCACTGTATTTTAAACCAAATGTTATCACTCGAAAGAAACATGGATATCAGCTGGCACTGATTTCCTTTTTTTTTTTTTTTTTAGAAAAAAAAAAACCTGAGGAAAGAGATGAAGAGAGTTGTCTGTAGTCACATAGCTAATTAGTGGCAGTCATTAGAATAATGACTCTAGAAATTAGATCACCCATCTCCTAAATCAAGCTCTTCCATTACAGCACATTTCTTCCATTTTACATGCTTAGTTTTTTTTCCTCCCATTCTTCTCTCAAGGATTAGGTCCATCCCCCACCTCATGATTAGCCCCATCCTTTGTCTTTTAACTTGCCTGGAAATGGTAGGGGAGAATTTTTGGAAACCCTTACCTATCTGAGACCTCAGTTCCTAACAGGAATGTTTTTAAAGACAAAGGAAAGGAACTCATTTTTTAAATTTTTAAGTGTTTTGCACTCGTGAATAATTGCAGAGGTGGAAATGTAAACAGTAATGGGTTTGAGTCAGGCTACCTGGACTTTAGTCCTGGCTCTGCTAGTGACAAGGTGTGAAAGAAGGGATTCATCTCTTTGGGCCTTGGTTTTCCCACCTGTATCCTCACAAGGTTTGCCTACATGATTTCATATCTTTAGATGATTAGATATCCTTTCTAATATAAAGGCAACAATAACAACCAAAAAAGGCAACATGTGTGTATTGGAGAAAAAATGAAAACATAGAGAAATGTATAAAGAAAATTGAAAAAAAAAAAAAAAAAAAACCACCCGTGGTGCACTTGGCTGGCCCAGTCAGAAGAGCGTGTGACTCTTGATCTCAGGGTTGTGTTCGAGTTCCACATGGGGTGTAGAGATTATAAAAAAAAAAAAAAAACACTAAAAAAAGTTACCCATAACAGAACAACACAGAGATAGCCACTGTCTGAAGCATTTCCTTCCAGTATTTTTTCTGTACTATTGATCAAGATTGGAGAAATACTGTATTCAGCTTGGTAGTTATTTGAAATAGAGTGTTTAGGTGCTCTAACATTAAAATCACTTACAAAATAAATAAATAAATAAATAAATAAATAAATAAATAAATAAATAAAATCACTTACATTTAGCTTTGGAGGGGTGCTTTGTGTTTATCTCTTAAAGCACTTTCTCCCTGACACCCAGCCATCCTAGTTTTCCTTCCCAGGGCACATCATAATGTTTGGTGTTTATTTTGCACACTAATTGTTGCAGTAGGGCCTCCACTGAGGAAGGCAGGCAGAGCAAGTGTCATCATCCTGCTTGACAGATGAGGAAACCACAGCTCAGTAAAGTGCAGTGATTTGCTCTGATTACACCGCTGGAGAGGATGGGTGCCAGGGAATTCGAACCCAAGATTACTTGCCAAATATTCTAATCACACTGCTTCCATTTGGCCTGAGTTCAAAAAAGCAGACTCCATTGTCTACTAGCCCAGGGGAATGAGAATCTTCCTTAGTCTTTTCGTTTTTGCTGCCACTGCGTTTCTATGGGGAAAACCGTTTGGCCAAAAAAAATTAATTAAAAATTATTGCTATATTTGAAGTAATTATTTACAGTGCTGATTCTACTAAATGCATCATCCAATTATCTCTAATGCTTTGGCCTAATTTTTATTTTCTCGCTGGCACCACTATGATCTTGTCCTTCATTATCTGACTACCTGTGATAAGCTTTTGCATGCCCAGTTCTGACCTCAGGGATAGTTCTGTTATTGTATTTGATTTGATGGATTATAATTAGTTACTCTAAAATCCAATCATCGTAATGAAATCCAATGACTGGAAACTGGGAACTGATCCAGGACTGGACTCTGATGGAAATAGAATGTCCTACATACCCGGCTTGAATTATAATCGGTCATATTAAAGTCTAATGTTGACTAATTCTGAGTACTAGAACAACAGTCAGCCCTTACGTTGCGTTGTTGAGTCATTTTGGAATTAAGATAGGTAGGTGGCTTAATGCTAGATCACACTGTGAATCTGACTTTAAATCTCCAACTAGCTGAAATTCGGATGTCCATGCAGCCCAGCCACACAAAGAAGGAGCAGGAAATGTAGCATTTATTTAGAGATTTTAATGTAGAACCCAGCCTTCATCTGGAGGGTAAATCCTCATTAACCTTTGTCCTTGCCACGAGACTAGACATCAGGGTGAGCAAGTCTCCTAATTATCTCTCGTTGAGTGTTGGCTGAGTGACCCTGCTGACCTGGAAGACAGCCAGAGGGCAAAGTTCCAACATTAGAAAAGTCTGAAGAGGGCTAGGGACGACTCCTCTTTCTCCTGCCTTCCTCCAAGGCTTTTCTTTTCTTCTTGCTTAGAGTGTACCAACACCACCTACAGTCCAAGCTCCAGGCCCCGGTCCATGCTACAGTGTTCACCCACACTAAGTGGTTTCTAAGAAAGGCTTTATCTGAGCCCACTCCTGGGGGTGGGGTGGGGATGGGGTCTGTGCTATCACAGTGCTTCCTCCAAGAGAGAACAAGTAAGCATGGCTTGGGTTGGGTCTGCCTCCCAGCCGTCCTCCTCTTCCTTGCAGACTCATCTCTACCCAGGCCATGTAGGCCACTTAGCTCCTCAGTTGTCAGTCTAACGCTCGTTCATAGAGGCAAATGCACCTCAAGCAAGCAGGTTTGGTTCCAGAATTGACGGCTCTTCTCAACCAATCAAATAAACCAGCTTCCACCCAGAAGCTGTAAAATAAATGGAAACCAGCAACCCCCACAAGTCTTACCATCAAAGGCCACAGCCTGTAGCAGAAGCAGCTCGGCCTGGCTTCTTCTGAGGAAGGCCGCAGCCTCTCCAAGCTCTGACACATCCATCCTTCTTCAGTGGTCCACCAAAACAGGCTTCAGCCTGAAAGAGAGCAGCAAGGGTTCACTCTGTAGAAGACAGGTGTAGGAAGGAACCGGTGGCAATGTGGCCTCACGCACTAATCCAAGACACTATTCCCTAAAGATGGACCAATAAGGGTTAAATCTTTTTAACTACCCCTCCCCTCCTCTCTCTCTGCCTGTCTCATGTGTATGACGAAGTCGGACTCAAGAACATCTTACTGTATCAGGGCCAACCAATCCACTAGGCGCAGAAGCCACTAGCATCTACGATGCTTTCAGGGGCCCACAAAAATAGTGTAATAATAATTTTATTTAAAATCAGAATAAAACATGAATATAATACTTAGGACACATAATAAGGAATCCATCCTGGGTAATATTAATTAGTCTTTATACCAAAGCAGTTGCAAAATCTGATTTTTAATATTTTTTGTGAAGGAAGAAGCCCACAAAGACAGAAGTGCCTAAGGTCCTCATGAAAATCATCATGCAACCCCAAACCGCGGTCCTGACCTTGGCCAGACTGAGAAACACCCAGTTGTGAACACCGGGTGCCCTGACGGGAGTGGAGGAAGGGCTTGCAGGGATCTGGGTGCATCCGGGGAGAGGGAGCACTGTGGTCAGAGTATGGTGACAATGGGGAGAGGTCATCCAGACTAACAGCATGAGAGAGGGCAGGAGTAAAGATGTGAGTATCCTGCAGAGGCGAGTGTCTGGGAGCAGGTGGGGTGCACAGGTGAGGGGGAGAGCAGGCTGTGTGCTGAAGGCGGTGACCAGGTATGGGTGGAGAAGCTCATCAGCTCAGGTGAGGCAAGCGCGGGTCTTGGACGGGCTGGTGGCTCGGCAAGTCATCGGGTCTAAATTCATTGTGTGTTCTCTCTGTACCAAACACTTGATTTTTGATCTTCATGCTTTACATGTGACAAGCAGAAGAAATAGCATCTGGGCTCTCGTGATCCAAAGTAAGAGGTCATTCTCTCTAATTGGACAAGAAAAGTTTTAGGCTTTTTCCTCTCCACTCAGGGTTGCAGGGCAAATATTATTTGCCCCATTTTACAGATGAGAAGGTAGAGAAGGGCTTGCCAAGGTTGCTCAGCTCTGGTGCTGCTCTCGAGGACTGAGAAAGAAGAAACTAATCGCTTTCTATTTTGCATGTGGATGACAATTAACTAACGCAAATGAGTAATGTATTTCGCTGCACTTAATCTCCTTTCTTTGTGGTGTTTGAGTGTGTCTGGCGATAGCGTTTCTAGGGTCTAAGGAGTGTGGTTTACAGCAAAGACCAGTGGCCCAGGCTAATGAGTCCATTTTCTCTCTGCCAGAAAATGAGCATGTGACTTGCAAGAAATCACTTATGTTCAATTTCCTCCCCAGCATAACCTGAGGACTAATCATAATCTATGGGGACATTTCCTGCGGTAAAAAGCAGGTAGGTACGCAAGGGAAGCCAAGAGCCAAAGCCCAGAAATGGGACTGAGCATGGTGACATGTCCCAGGAGAAAAAACCCAAAGCTGGTCAGCTTTGTTTCCCGCGGGTGACGATTCCTATTTAGGATATGTAATGATAATAATCCACATTGGACTGGATAGAAGGGAGCCGGATAGAGGAAAGCTTAGAGAGCTAGGCCGGGAAATTTGGGAATACACTCCAGGAAACACTGCAGACAGGGTGAGAACGTGAGGGAAGCAGTATTTTAGGAAAGTGGCTCTGGCAACATGTTCAGGGTGGGTTGGAACAGAGAGAAGCCGTAGTCAGGGAGACAAATTGCGAGTCTGTATTTGTGAGGAAATTGGACTGAATCCTCCCCCTTCGCTCTGCGGCTTCCTGGTGGTTTGCACTCAGCACACAGAAGAGCTCAGGAAGCAGATTTTGGAGACAGAAGATCCGTGTGTGTGTGTGTGTGTGTGTGTGTGTGTGTGTGTGTACACACTTCTGGAAAAGATAGCTAAGGAACAGGTATCTATCTGGGGAGTGGGGACAGGATATGGTGGGGGAAGGATACAGTTACCTTTCACTTCCTGGCTTCCTGGTCTATTTTAATTTGTGGCATGTGCGTGCATTTTCATCATAACAGATTTTTAAAAAGTAGTTCTTATTATAACACCCAAGGATAAAAAGATCACATCAAGACAGAGCACACAGCTGTGTAAATCTCTTTCCTAGTCTGGACCACTTAGCATATTTAAAGGTATACGAGGAACAGAATGTGTCGAAAGCAGCACCGGATAGAAGCCTCTGCATGTGCCAAGAGTACAGAGGACCTGGCAACTGTTTGGAGGTAGGAAAGTGAGGCCAAGAGATGACCCACCTGAGCACAGGAAGGATGGAATCTTCCTTCCCCCTTGGCTTCCTGCATCTGTTAACCAAATGCCCCAACTGTCCTCTGGATCCCTTCAGTTTCAAATTGCACATGTGGCTTTAGAACTTTATAGAATAACATACTTAGCACAGTTCAGTCATATCAACACCTTAAAATAGAAAATGAAAGAGCCCAAACCCCAAAAGAAGTAAACAGATTAACCTTACCGGCAAAATAAACAGAAGGTGTAGTTTAACCTTCTCGTGATAGAGAAACAGAATTAAAGAGCTCTTTGAGAAGGAAAAGTTAATCTACATATCGAGAGGAAATTAAATTTGAGACTGACATTTTGGTGCTTTTATTGTCAAAAGACGCTGAGGCCTATTGTAACTTGTATCTGCTGGTAAATATATGTAAGAAGCAGGAGAGAAAAAGAGAATGGGGCTGGGGTGTTGGAGAAAAGGGGAAAGGGTCAGGCACAAGGGGTGTCTGCACATTGCTATGAATTTTTCATATTTGGGCTCCCAGAGTTTGGTTTGTCAGTTTGTGTAGGAAAGATTGGGCTCTGGGAGTCACATAGCTATGCTCGTAAGTATGATGACCATATTATCTAACACCTGCATATATATATGTATATATATGTGTGTGTGTTTAGTAATAATAAATTATTTATTTAGTATATTTATATTGAGTAATAATATAGTACATATATTTAGTAATAATAAATGATTAGAAATCAATAATAAAACTATTAATGTTAATAATTAAACTTGGACAACAGATATAATCTAAGACTTCCCCAAGCAAGTAGGTACATATGGACACCCCACTTATAAGAAAACCAAGGGCTTGGAATGACGATTTATACATCAGCAATAATGGTATTCCTTTTCAATAACTACAGAGTCCTGATTACTTGTATCCATTATTCCCAAGGATCTCAGAGAATATTACTATCAGAAAGTTGGACCCAGAGAGGAGCCTGAGATACTTATGTGTGTTGGCATTCAGTTTGCTGTCCGGCCAAATAATTCCTCCTATTTTGTTCTGGTCTTTATTTTTTCAGGAACTGAATGCTATGTAAACCACCATTCTCACATTTGCATTGCATGGTACAATTTCCAGATTTAAATGTATCTGAGTCACCTAGTTAACAAGGGAAAGACAGGAGTGGGAAGGCCTTACATGGAAGGGAGAGTTGAGATCTGAGGTTTTCACCATGGCCTGGAAAGAATCATGTTGGTCAAAACTTGCTTCTACTTCATAGGAAATAAGTTTATGCCTGCCTGCCATGTGAGAAGTGACACCTGCCTGGGTGACCAACTGATTGGCTAGAGACTGAAGCATTTGCCAGGACATGGGACTCTCAGTGCTCAAACCAGAAGAGTCCAGGGCAAGTAGGGACAAGCTGGCCACCCTACTTTTAAGTATAGAGCATTTAATTACTTTGGGAATAAAATCTCTTGTTTGGAAATGGGCTATTTTATGCTGGTTGTATTCTCTGTCGTCCTCTCTCTCCCGGGGTATTTTATAAATAGCTTGTTGAAAATGTTTAGTTATTCTCAGTCAATATACATTTATTACCCATCTGTAATTGCCCATGCTAGGCTTAGGGGTACAATGATGGGCAGATTACACATACTCTCTGCCTTATTAAAGTAACTGATTTGGACTGGGGTGGATAGGGGAGGAGGAGGTTTCTTCTATCTTAACTATGGCTACACTTCAAGCAAATTTGTAAAGAAGAGTCTTCGTGCCCTAGGATGGGTGGTGCTAGTCATGCAGTAGAGATCAGAATGAGGGAGCCCAGGAGGATGGTAGAAGCCAGGAGAAGAAGGGAGCTTGTACAGCCATGCCTCCCAGCTCACCACTCAGCTAAACCTTTGCTGGGTTATGTTATTCTGAATATGAGATGCCTTTCCTCACACTGTTGTTCCACAGGCCCCTTCACTGCCTCATCATCCTCTGCTTTGGGGGTTCCCAATGGAAGGGTTACTGTCCTGACCCTTGTTGTCCACCAATGTAGAACCCTAGGAGTCATCTCCAATTTCTCCTTTTGTCTCATGCCCACATTCAGTTGATCACCAGGTTCTATTGATTCTATAATTATCAAGTCTTCTCCACTCTCAGCAGACAGTGTGGAGTGTCTGCTGGGCCCACACTCTTCTCTGAGAAGTGCCTGCCTTCACCGAACAGGCATGAACCACAAGCTGTCAAGTCTGTAAGGTGACACTGGCATCCTGGCCCAGCTGATTAGACACAGTATGAAAGCCTGATCCAATCAGGGACAATTAGAGTATCTTTCCTATCTGGAATACCGATTTGGAACCAAGGTGACACTCTTAGTCTGTGCTTTTCGCTTGAATGGAGTGATGTGAACCTGGGGATTGAGGTTGGCACTGTGGTATGGTCACGTGGCGCCACATGCATGCTAATCAGCAGAAACATCAATAGAGAGGGAGTCACAGGAATGAAGAAAAACAGCAGTAAGGGAACAAGGGAAGAAAGAGAGATTGTTTGCTTGGGTTCCAAATAGCTTTCCGGTTAACAGTACCTCTGGAGACCTAGAGACCTGCCTTTGGTTTTCATAGGATCTTTCAATAACCTGCTAATAAATTCCTATCTCTCCTCTCCCCTCTCCCCGACTTTAAATCATCTTGAATTTCTGTTTTTTTCCATCAAAATATTTCTAAGACATTACATCTGATTCTTTGTCCTCATATAGGTTCTTCCTTCTTCTCCTAAGACAGTGTGAATATTGTATATAAATGCTCAGCGCAATGCTGTGCATACTAAGACTTCAATCCATGTTAACTTCTTTTCTTACTATTCAACAGCATTTGTGCAGTCTTTAAACGCTGTGCTGGAGATGCAGGAGGGTGGCTTTGCTTTCTAAATTGCTTAGTGGGTTTGAGATGTGCAAAACCATG